TTTAAAAGATCGATTTCATGGTCGGTCATTATTTTTTAAAAAGAGGTAAGTAAACAATGGCTGAAGGGAGGTGATTCGAAGGCAAAGTCTCGCGCCAGATGATAGATAAGACCATGGGTAAAAAGTTCCGCCTTGTGCGCTAGTTCTAAATAGCATTTGCAGCTCATAATCGGGAGGAGTCGATTCACTGAAAGAGCTTATTGAAGTACAAGGCAGAACATCATGGTGATGTTTATTCTGAAGCTGTTGTTTAACTGTTTATGCCTCCGAAATGTCCTTTTTTCAACTCTCTATTTTGTCATTGGGCTCTTTATGGTAAAGTGCGGAACGAGACCCGATTACGTAATTCGCTCGGCCAAAGGATGCGTGGCAAACATAACTCGTCTATTCCAACCATTGCTACACGCCGATACGAGTAGAGACGATGAAGTCAGGTATTTGGCCCACACGGGGCACCTGCGGTCTGGAGGGCCGCAGGCGGGCCCCGTGGCACTCCTTATATTCTAGGAGGAAATTATAGAGTTATGCGAGAGCATACATAGTAAAGGAGAGGAGGGAACGCCCGTGGTGGGTGGGAAGAAACCGTCGCGGGGAGCCCAGCTCTCCCTCGAGACGACGACGTTGTCGAGGGGAGAGTTGTCAACGAGCCAGCCAGCACGATCTATAGTAGAAAGAGCCGTATCCGGCACGGAATATCGTGGGTCTGGGGAAAAGGCTCCCCACAACGGTCCCGAATAGAACCCATCATATAATTTACACTCTCCTAGAGTACATACAGTAATGGTAGTACGTTTTCTACAGTGTAGTATCGAGGACTCTTTCCAATCTACGTACCCGGTAGATTATTGCTAGGAACCAATTTTTATACAAGTCCTTGCAAAACGACCATTGTGCGATGTTTCAGATAATACGCGTGGATGTGAATCTGTTAATTGAGAAGCAATTTTTATCTGTTTTATCACCGTAACACAGGAGCTTTGATTTCCATGGGCGATTTATAATAGAGTGATCCTACCCTTTCCAACTTGCCAAGTTAACTCTAGTACTTTCCATAGAGGAGACACCGCGGCCCATTTCTTGAAGTGGCGATCAGCACCTGGGCACCCAACTGGGTATTCTGATGATTCCGGCCATGCTTTTTATAAAATACTCCAACTCGAGCAGTATCTCAAGCCTCGCGGCTCAAAGCTTGTCGAATATTCTCACGAGATCGAAAGGGAAACAGCTTCGCACTTTATGCGAAAGACATCCTAATGCGAAAGTTGCTCTATCTCAAAGCGAGACCTCATGTGATTAAATTCCGCCTGGAGACAATATCGTTTAGTAATATTACTTTCTAGGTGTCTCATTATCTATGCAATCTCGCGAACCTGAGGAGAGGACCAACTCAGCGCGAATTCCGAATACCTCCGATTTGGCTCTATCCTCACATGGAAGAGAAACAAATTCCAAACATGCCCACACTCGGCAGATAAGTCGTACGACAGAAAGCCAAGAAAAGTTTACTACCACAACCTTCACAGCTAGATTTTTGTCTGAAGTTATGAACAGCTCCAGCATTACCCCGAGCACTTCTCAAGATATTGAGCATCTGGTCAGCATGAAGTCAATGGAACTGAGCACTCTTCCAATTGTTTCGGATTTCACGTCCTCTGACTCAGCGGAAGTGACACATGTTTCTGAAAACGCAACACCCAATGCGGCTGATGGGCATCACTCTTTCGACTTTCTACCATCTAATTTTGCAGATTATAGTAGTTCCGTGTTAAAAACCGACTCAGGAAAGACGAGTGTAGTGACTGTTTTTGTGAGCCAAGATATAGTATCAAGTACAACGCTTGATGAAAGTTACCTGCATTGGTCATTTAGCGGAACAGACAGGGAAGAAAGAAAACAGGAGTATTCGGGCGGAATCCGTGATCCATACGCTGATGAATCTCCTATTTTGATGGAAAATGTCGGTGTAAAGGCGAATGGAAACACGATTGTCAGTCCCCCGGAACAGCTACCGCAGGTAACAACAATCTTCGAGGATGTGTCCCTCACCAACTCCTCGATGAACAATACAGAAAATATTGGTGACAACGTTGTTATTTCGAGCACGGAGAGTATCTTGGGCGGTCTGAATTTTGGACCTGCAATTTCAGAGACATCACCGGCTCTATCTACGACTGTTTCCCATCTAGTGTCATTTCGAGAATCCGAATCGACAAAATTTTCAGAATCAGAGACCCAAATACACATTGGTTCATCTACAACAGATGTGAACTACAAGACGACCACCTTAATGTCACCTTCATCCTTGTCCTTTATGGATGCGTCCGGCTCGCATGTAATGACTACAAAACAGGCCTCGGTTGTCGCAGGAACCGTTCTGGGGTCTGTTTGCTTTTCCTTCATAGCGTTCCTCTGGGCTCGTTATCGAAAAAAAAGGAGGGTCGGATTTTCCTACTCAGTCAAGAAACCTATCAAAGTATATGACCCTAACAGATCATACTTTTCGCTAGACTCGTAAAAATGTGACACATGAATTATTATTCAAGTGGTTCAGATGTGGCCAAACATTCTGCATAGCCCCAACTGTTCAACGTCACTGATAGGTCGTCAAGTTGAACAAAATTATTGACTCTGATTTATAAGCATGAATTGTATCCCAATATTTTACTCTTATTTATACATCACCGTTGTGCTGTCGAAGCAATCACACATGTTCTTCGCATCTCAAAATGGCCCAAAACCAAACCAACACAATGACTCATAATGGACTCATTTCAGCGGTCCATATACTGTCATTCATTTACTTCACTCTTTTAACTTCTCGCGTTGTCCTAGACTACTTCAACTGTCCATTGTCCGAAGCACATGACAAAGTATTTGATATCTTGCCCATACTTTGCTTTTTCGCTTCCATGATCACTTATTCCTTCTCCACCATTTACATTCAAGTCGCATCCTTAGAAAATGAAGTCCTAGAGACTCTGACAGTATTGGCTCTGATCTGGGCATCTTCACTACCCTTTTTCTATTACCAATTCTACCACACAACGGCGTTACTGGCTATATTGCTCTTCGCTATAACATTCGCCTCAGTGTGGTTAGCGTCGTTTGTTTTAGCATTTCACAACACATTTGAGTACAAATGGGCGTGCTTCGCACTGGGAGCCTTAGCTTCATTGCCCGCTCTTTACGCTACATCACGACCTTCGGCCTGTCGGCACTCACTTGCAGCCGAATATGTCCAATATTCTATCTTGAATGGAATTGGCGGTCTCGTTTGCTTCCTGAAACTCCCCGAAAGATGCGGTCATTTTGTCCATTCAAAGATCAGCCGGATTGCTATGCATCTTACAATTGTTGTGGCCGCTGCGCGATTTACAGCCCACCTAATCTCGGCGTACGCCAATCCTGCCAGCTCTTTTTCCACACCATGTGGTATTTGAGAACCCCACGCCGTACCCGTCAACAAGCAACCCACTCGACAAAATAACTCCTATAGGTACTTGGAAGAACTATGTACCTCGGATTTTTGAAATAGATAGAGATGAGTCATTTTGATTGCGAAGAGCGTGGGCAATTGGTCAATATCGAAAATTGAGTGTGAAGATACTGGACGCAGGTGTTCTGCAAAGGATCCTCCTAATCTATGTCCTCGAGATCAGTATATACAATCAAACGTCGAGTGTCTATAAGTCTTATTGTAGCTAGAGCTGCTATTATGCAGAGGTACCAAATGCTTGGGGCTGCCACGCCACGTTTGTATTTTAATCTAAAACTTCGTCTGACACCTCAATAGCCGTCTTATTGTCTGTGCGATCTAGATTTATACAGTACGGACTGTTTAATTTTGCCATCGGCGGATAGAATTTGAAATTGAGTTCGACCGCTATTTAAAGTATAATTCCCTTGCTGTGCAGTTATAAATGGATGAATGGATTATCACTCTATTCTCCCCGACCACTCGTATAAGTGATATTCAGGCTGCCATAGTGATATATAGTATCCTTTATATACACGTGCGTAGACCTGTTGCCATTTTCGTTATTAGGATGACGTTGTATGCGATGTCAAATTCGTCGAAGTGCCTGGGTGAAGCCTAGGACTTCCGTAGCCGCCTGAAAAATAGTCATAGTCCTTTGCCATTCGTTATCAGTGTTCTAGTTTACCTTTCTTGCTGACCTGCCGTCACTCAGGCTCATGGTTGATATTTGTTGTGAATTGGCTTGCCTCTGGTGTTTATGAGGGAGTTCAAACAACCAACTTATGAATGATCCCTCAGGATTCCAAGTACTGTGCAAAGTAGATAGTTGGTTCAGTCCACAGCCAGTGGTCTATCTTAATTCTATTCGTAGGGAAGGTTATGTTAGTCTGGCTTATTTCTTCACTGCTTCATTGCCCTGTGGGAACCAGAGAACGGCACACCCAACTCCCCATTAGGGGCGGCCCGGGATGGCTTCAGATAGTTTTGAAAGAACCTACAGAAAGCCAAGGTCGTGATTCGGGTTATAAATAAACAACCTACAAATTTCCCACCGAGGATGATGATGATGATGATGATGAATTCATTTGCCCGATGTAGCTTGCTCTAAATATATGCTGCTTTGCGGGAGTGCTGTCAGGCCTGCCGACAGTTGGAACCTTGGATTGGGGTACAAGTGTGATAATTCTATTCAGACTATGAAACAGCTAGCTATTTGTAGTCGCATAGCTCACCACCCTACTGCCTAGCGGAGTGGCAGCCTAATAGGCAGCCACTACTATAGGCCTATATACGTCACGTGACTTGGATCCAATTCCGACAGCTGGAAAGTGGTCGCCAGCCCACTGGACGACTGTTTCATGAAGCTCGCAAAACGAGTTCAGATAGTTCGTCCTCGAATTTAGAAATGTAAACAGATCATAGGAAAAGCACACATGCAAAGATAATAAAAACAGGAAAATTGCGGCGCAATGAAGGTCAGTTACCCCTGGTCCCACCCACCGGTCACGAGTCTCTCCTCCAGCCACAAGGGCCCCCACCTCAACCGCTTCACCATTTCCGCGTCCAGTTCTGCACAACCATCCAAGCCGTCGGCTGCCGCTGCTCACGCGCTCGCTGAGATCAAGGGAGTACTGTACAGTGGACCTGGCACTGCACTCCTAATGGGCGCCATCCTTCTTCGTCCGTCACACTGTCCTAGGGGGTCATTGTTTTTCTTCCCCTCCTTCCACACCTAAAGCAGTAGCATCGACTGCCTGAAACTGGTCTAGGAGGCCGGTTTTGGCCATGAATTCGGCCCCAATTGTGCGAGCCTCCGGCCGCGTTAGGAGCTCTTCCCGTTCGAGAACGATTCCCTGACCGGAAAGAGCGCTTCGCATCCAGTCGCGCTCGTCTTGGTGCAACGGGCACTCGAGCAGAACGTGACTCACTGTCTGATTGCCTAGTTCGCATCCGCAACGCGCTGAGTCGCGTCGGTTGATTCGGTGCAGGTAGGCCCCTAAACCGATTCTCCCGGCTCGGAGCTGCATCAAAATCGACGCTGTTGCTTTGCGCAGGCCTGACCAGTATTCCAGTGTCTTCTTTGTCGGTGCTTCAATCAAGCGTCTTGTCCGTCGACTGGTTGTCTCCTTCGCCCACGTTCTTCCCCATTCGATTTTTGCTTCACTGCGTATTTGGCGCTTGGCTGCGGCTGCGAGACGGATATAACGATTGTCGGGGTTCTGTGGTCCATCACGTTCCTGGGCGGCTTCTTTTGCGTGTCGGTCCACGATCTCATTGCCAATGACTCCTTGATGGACAGGAATCCATCTGAGCTCTGTGCGAATGCCTTTTTCAACGAGTTGGCGGATGAGGTCTAGAGATCCTGAGAGATAAATCTGTCCCGACGGCATCCGCGGTCGACTGAGCGCCTTCAGCGCCGCTTGGCTATCTGCGAAAATTACGACCCCATTCTTCATCTGCCCAGCCCATGGTTCTGTGTTTTCCAGGGCCATCGCAAGTGCCATCTCAATGGCTCGAAGTTCCGCTGCATACACGGTGGACGTACCATCATCTCCCATCTGGCTATGAACATGTTGATCCTCGAGATCAACGATCGCTGCTGCTCCGATCCTACCTTCAATTCCGCTCCCGTCGGTGTAGAAAATCAGGGGTTTTTCTCTTGAGTCTTTCATCAGGACCTGATTATGACGTTCCACGGCGACCTCTCTGTCTTCGATGATCACCTCTGGTGGCGCTTGCCATGGTGCCTGGACGAATGCCTTCCGGCTCTCCCATTCCCTCGGCAAAAGTGTCCGGGGGAGCCGTGAGGCATCCGCCCGTTGTCCAAGCTTGCGCCTCCATCGGTGTCCATCCGGCCCAGTCTCTCTCTTCCCTAGGTCGACGTCGCAGCATCGTTGGTGGAACAGCGAACGCTGGTCCTGTTCGTAGTCGTAGGGCCGTTTCTTTCACGAGCCGATCCATGTTGATCGCGATTGGTGGTAGGTGCAGTTCTGTGTTCAACGCTTCGGCTGCCGTCGTTCTGAATGCTCCACTGATCAAACACGCGGCCCTCTTCTGGATGCCCACGAACGGTTGGCTAATTGTGCGAGCCTTCGTTTTGCTGATGAGCAAAGGCTGATACCATGCTGACACTCCAAAGAGCATCTGTGGGATAACAACAGCTTGATAGATCCTGCGCATAGCAGAAATGGAGGCCCCCCATGTTGGACCTGCCAAACTTCGTAACGCTTGGAGAGACACGCCTCCCTTCGCAACTGCCTTTTCGCGGTGGTGATGGAATTCCAGTCGGGGGTCTAGCCAGTAGCCGAGATAGCGCTCGGCTGTTCTCGTCGCTGCTACTGTATGCCCCTGTAGAGATAGTGGCATGTATTGCGGGTCGATCTCACGGTTGTTCACGAAGTGCACGAGTGCGTACTTCTTTGGGTCAAAGACTGAAGCATGTGTACTGGCCCATTGATCGGCTTTTCGATATGCCATTCTGAGTTTCTTGGTAGTTTCGCGCTCGCTGTCTCCCTTGGCCATGAAGCAGACATCATCCACCCAGCCGTTGCTAGTCACGCCGTTCCCGCAGTTCTGAATGAGGTCTGCATTGTAAAGGAGGTAGAGGATCGGGGAAATCGGCGACCATTGAGGGATGCCCGTTGGTGTCGGAATTCGGTTGGACATGCCCTCGGGCATACGAATTCTCGTGCTCCGATTAGACAGGAAGGCTTTTACACAGGGGGCAAGTTGACCCAGTCGCCGCTTTCTGAGATTGTGGAGTAGGCGGTCGTGGGAGACATTATCGTATGCTCCTGATACATCCAGCATCAGCAGCGACACAACCGGTTTGCCTTTTCCCCATGCTATTTTGATTCGGTCCTTCATATTTTGAATAGCGTGGTCCGTGGAGATGCCCCGTCGACCACCAAGATGGGTTTTTGGGAGCAATCCTTCGGTTTCCACGGCGTAGCTGATTCGTCGTGCGACCACTGCTTCCAGGAATTTGCCAAGGGTGTTAAGCAGCGCAACAGGTCGGTAGGACTTTGCGAGTTGGTAGTCGCTAGGAAGTAATTAGTATCATCGACTTAAAATCACGGATGCCCACTGAAAACCCTCTTGGAGAGCATGGGCGCCTGTTTATAACCATACGCGAAGTCCACAACCATTAGTACTTAATCCGGACACAGAGTATTGAGAATACTGTCAATAAATAGGGTGCTAGAAGAGAACGTTATTTTGTTTGGCTTTATATGTGCTCAAGCCGAGCGAGCTCTTCACATTAGCCTATTGAAACAACTTGCATTCAATTTCGAACATTCAAGACAGCACTATGGGAATGTTTACTCGCGTTGTGATGCGTAAGAAAAGATGTAAGCTTGCTATTCTTTCACTGATAAACCATCTTTAGCTTGGTGGGGACCCGCGAAGAAGAACCGTGTCCGCCAGCAATTCTTCCTTAAGGTTTCCCCAGGTGTTCCCCAATCAAGTAAGGATAAGGAAATATTCAACCCTGACTGGTCAATTAAACCGGAATGGGATTACGAGAAAGAAGGCAACCGTCTAGTGTTTATTGACAAGTCCAATTCTGGTCGTCGGTACACTGAAGACGATCTGGCATCCTGTCGACAGGACCAATTCACAACTATGGTGTAAATGGTAAAGTGATATAACGTTACAAGAAAAAACAGAAAAAGAGTGTATTTGAATTTGACCTGGCTACTTATTATGGATCCGGCGCGCCACGCGGTCCTTGGAAATGAGACGTAGGCTATCAAAAGGGCCATTAGTTAAATGTACGCTAGAAAAAGTCGTTGGATAATCCTCAATTCTCTTACTCAATTGTGCCCTTGACAAGACTAGTCAGGAAGTAGCTACATCCTAAATGACTTTAATTTTCGGATTGGACTTATCGAAAGAAGGGCTCTACTTTCTAACAAAAAGGAAGCTACGCTGATGTGCCTGGGACAATACTTGGGAGCAAAACGTGTTACCATTGCCATTTGGAAATGCATACAGTAACATGCGTAGTACATCTAGTCTAATGGAGAGTACTGCCATATAGACCCAGCCGAGGATACCCGCCAAAGTTTTGTGTGTATGGTGCTACCATTACCGCTGAAGCTCTCTGCTGAGGTACAGTGCTTCCGGAAATCGGTGTCACCACCTACACTCTTCGATTGTTTTTCGAACCCTAATGCCAAGATCTACCATACTGTATTAAGGATAGTTCCAGAATGGTAATATTTCTGTGTGTATTTTCATATTATAATATACGGTACTTTACTTCATTATTACATGATGCCATGCCCAACCAGCATTGAGAGTGCATTGGGGCTGAGGCCGCTGAGACGTTGATCTTACCTGTCCTGGTCATAGACTCAGAGGAGTCTATCTCCTGAAAAAGCAAGAATGGGCAGTGTCCAGCAGTCCCTGCACTTGCCTCTTTCCCTCCTTTATTCTCATCTTCTTTGAAGACATTTTCTCTATGCCCACCTATCCTCGCTATCCTTTAAGTCGACCGGGCCGACCTTCCCTCGTCTTTCCGAGCCTCTCCTCTCCGTCATCAACACCTTTCGAAAGAGCCTTCGTCGCCTGACTGTGACAATCGAAATGGCTTCGCTGGCTGGTGCCGAAAATGATGATTACGGACAGGCGAGCTCCTCGGAGCCGCTATCCAAGGCTAGCAGCCAGAAAGAAACATCCGAAATCCAGACACTAGGTCGCAGATCTATTTGGCTCGACACATGGCTATTCGAGAGCCTTACGCTAGGATTCAGTATTGCGTGTTTTATCGCTCTATGCGGTGTTCTAAGAGCATACGATAATAAAGTGCGGCCACAGATGGCTTATAGCTTAAGCCTCAACACGATCGTCTCGGTGCTAGCGACAGGATGCAAATCCTCTTTGATCTTAGCGATAGGAGAAGCGATTAGCCAGTTGAAATGGTTATGGTTTCAAGATACGAGACGCAGACAGTTATTTGACCTCCAGACATTCGATGCCGCTAGCAGAGGCCCGCTAGGCTCGCTGATGATTCTTATCCATCATCGCGGCCGGTCGCTCGTCTCGCTGGGTGCAGTAGTTGTCATCCTTCTACTAGCATTTGATCCGTTTATGCAACAGGTCCTAAGCTATCCTGTGCGAAAAACCGATTCCAATGATATTGGCGGTGCGGTTGCGCCACAGCTACGCGAATTCATTCCCACGTCGGTAACTCTCGATTGGTGGACCGCCTTCGCGCAGGGAATCTGGTCTAATGAGAGCGTTATCCTCCAGCCTACCTGTTCGTCAGACAGTTGTACTTGGAAGGAATTCTCGTCGGTCGGCATATGTAGCCGGTGTGCTGATATGACTACCGTCGCTACGCTTAAGTGCAGTTTGCCCAACCTGACGGTATCCTTCAACAGAACATGCCAGATCATCCTGCCTCATGGTGATGCGTCTAATTTTACCATAGTCTATGACGACGATGATGGTAGCTTGAGTCTCCCGGCCAGGATGATCTGGCAACCTTTTCAGTTCGACATATGGTCTGGAAAATCTGGTCCCAATACCACTTTTGCTGGCGTGGACCATCCGCTCCTGACATACGCGTATGCTGAGATTGGGTTCAACCACCATAGTCTTTCACCCGGTTCCCGTGTCTCCGATAGAATCTTTATCAAGAACGTGACTGACTGTACCCTTTCGGTCTGCCTTAGAGACTTCAATGTCTCCGTAACGAATGGGCACACTTCGATACAAACTCTGAAAATTGATTTTGGCACATATTGGAACCAGACAGAAAAGCCCTATACCGCAGATAAAATTGCGTGCTGGAGGCCTGGGCGCCCCCACGCCGGCGACCAAGCCATGACCGAGTTCTCCTTTTGCAACGGTAATTTGTGGGTCGTCACAGATTATGCTCAACCTTTGTTTCCTGCTGTGGAGCAATTCGGATGGGCGTTTAATTCCACCCTCGACGGATGGATAGGCCCCTACGTGTCTCCAAATGATTTTGATGGCCATCTCCACTATGGCCATCCCAACCTTGGTCGCATCGCGAATGTCGGCTTCGAAAAAATCATTACAAACGTGGCCGCTTCCTTGACCAAGCTGGGCCTGGAGAAAACAAACTACAGTGTCAATGGCACTGTACATATCACTGAGGTCTTTGTGAGCGTGCAGTGGCCCTGGCTAGCCCTTCCGGCCTTGTTGGTTCTCATTGGGACTATCTTTGTGATCGCCACCATTGCTGTGAATAGAAGGAGTAATGCACCCCTTTGGAAGTCGTCTGCTTTGGCACCCCTCTATCATGGATTGGAGAGATTTGAAAAAGATGAGTACATGACTGCTAGCATCATGGAGAAGGCGGCAGAGAGGGTAGTTGTTCAGCTGCAGTACTCTGCGCACAATGGACGACTGATGCTACGGTGGCAAGAATTACCAGATGCCTGTCAGGGTCCACTTCCGAGGGGCATCCTAGAAGACAAAACGCCCCGTCAGGAGCAAAACCTTGGGCAACGCCAAAGAACTGCCCTCACTATATAAGGAGTCCCGATCGTCACATTAGTGTCGGAACCCCGACAGACAGGACTGCGGACAGTGGGCTCGGGATTTCCCAAAAGGTTGGTTTTCTGGACTAGCATTTGGACACCAGTGCCCTCCTGATGTTAGAGGTTGTTGCTAGCATCTGGAATTCATCCCATAGAGAGATAGCCATCTCGTCGAGGTATACAATGATCTGGTATTTTACAGTACAAGGCCCAGGAACCGGAGCTGTTCTTTGCCTACGCTAGAAGCAAATTAGCGGTTCTTGGCATTAGGGTTCGGAACACAACCGAAGAGTGTAGGTGGTGACACCGATTTCCGGAAGCACTGTACAATAGTAGCTCAAGTAAATCAAGTCCATATGTAGTGCGCAACGGACACATGCTTGTCATCAAAGTCTTCTTCGCAAGGGCATCGGTAGATATGGTCTCAGCGAGAGCAGGTTGTGATTTTACAAGCAGTGGAGAAAGTTGATGAAAGAAAATTTACTGCGGTGTTGTCATATTCCTTCCCTTGCAAAACATGATGAGATCTCTGGGCAACCTCTAAACTTGTGAAACATTCTTCCACAATTACATACACAATCTCATAGTCCCAACTGGGGAAAATAAGCCAAACTCAGGTTAAAGTTACTATCCTCGCTATCAGAATATCGTTATCGAAGTTTCGGTAACTACTCTTTGAAGTACTTGTAACATGTAAACACAAGCAAATGTCTGTTGCTGGTCCCACTTAGGGTGACTGATAGTTTTGCCCAACGAACTTCATAGCTAATATGGCTAAGTCATCGTTTTTTGGTTTGGTCTCTCCGTGACTGGCTGGAAATAATTGATCGATAGGAAGAACGTCAAATCGATGTGCTGAATCAAGCTTTGGATGTGAAGGAGGCTCCAATGCGTCTAAAATGGATTCCGACTTCCAGCCCCTCTCCAGCTCACTTTTGAAATTATACAGAGCCATCCTTTCCAGATGTACCGAAAGCCTCCAGTACTGTGCTAGGCGGTATACTGATGCGTGCTTGCCCAGGTTTTTGGACGTATCTGCGAGATCAAATATGTATCAAACATCAGCGGCTATTGAATGTAAAACCAGTCTCTAACTCACCGGGATTCTTTGCATCTGGGTACGACAAGTCCGAATAAAAACCAAAGTATACCAGTTCCAAAACTCTCCACACGGAGTGTACATCCGAACAGTGTACGTGGTATACCCCTTTTCCGGTTACCTGAATGCTCCGCCGGAAGACATATTCCAGATGGGAACTTTCAGAAGCGAGAACTGATATGTGCACGGGAAGGCGGTGTCCTTGTACAATAATGACACCATCGGCAGTTATATACCGTGATTCCCAGAGTTTTTTCCGCCGAACAAGAGTGAGGAATCCTAAGCTGAGAGGCCTCATGATTAATTGTCAGCTCTGCGAAAATGATGGATTCTAAGTACCAAATAAAAATGCGCCTTACTAAATGGGTACTTTAAATTTAGAGTGCAACGTTTCTGGTTAGAACCTAGACCAATGATGTTCATTCGGGAAGCCCGCAGGGCTAATTACCGGTTACTGTTCGCACACAGTGACCGGTCTCCTATTGGTGGAACCAAGCAACAATCGTTATACTTTATAGATCTTGATAGATTGTTGGACGTTCACCAACCACATTGAGACTACTTGAATAGCCCAACATCTAAGGAAAGGTATAGTAATTTGAGATTAAACTTGTTAGGACCGTAAGTACAGGAGGAGCGAATGTGCAGGATGCTACTTCAAGTCTTTATTTTCCAAAAAAGAGAGATAGAAGATTTCGGAAACAGCTCACCTCTATCTCCAACAGTTTATATAGCTTCTACAAAATGAGAACCTAAAATATATACACCGCGACGCGGAAACCTTGGGAAATCAGGCTGGAGTTTTTGAACTGTCTGGAGCGTAAAGTCATTAAAAGGAAATATCAATATTCGAAATTTTTCTTGGAATGCTGTTTCTTCATGTGCAGCTTCTGAAAGTTCAACGCCAATAAATGCCTTGTAGCAGAGAGCACAGACTTTTCCTGCTTAGCTTAAACAAATGGTAACCATATCAATTCCTGTCTCCTATTTCCGATGTTTATATGCAGAGGAAGTCTCATATCTGGGTATTGTTTGTTGCTTCATCATGAACGTAACGGAAAGTTACGCCGCTGCAGTTGGTTGTGTAGGCCTTTTACTGTTTGTCTTTAGAGTCCATAGCTGTACTTCATCATCCTTCTCTATTTATGTATCGAGGTATCTGACATATCCTTACCTTGTGAGTCGACATCGCCTTATCGGCCCATGGACACCTATTGGAATTGCTTCATACCTTCTTTATTTAGGAGGGAACATATTTTGCCTAGTGTTTTCGGTTTCCAATGGTCAAGAAATCGGTTATCGAGCCGGACAACTGGCAGTTGTAAACATGATTTTTCTTTTCGCTTCACCACACTTGAGTCTTCTCGCGGATATGATGGGAATTTCGGTTCGTACATGTCGAAGGATGCATGGTCTAATAGGTTACACGTCCTTTTTGTTGATAGTGCTCCATGTTTTCGTAACATCACTTATTTACCAGGCGGCGTTTTCTCTGAAGAAAATTGAAAACGTCTGCATTATGACTGTGAGTTTAAGTTTTCTATGGTGAATATGGCTAATGTCGTCTAGGGTTTAATATCAACTGGCGTAACAGCAGTACTTTTTACCACTCCCTTTCGTCTAGTGATCTACGAAGTTTTGCTGCGAGCCCATCAAGTCTTAGCAGCGTTTCTTCTCTTTGCTATCTGGAGGCATGTGTCAGCATGGCAACCTCTTGCGAGATATTGCATTTTTGGGTCTCTTGGATTGTTCACCTTAGCATCGCTATTTGAAGTTATTCGGTTGGTTTTCAGAAACTCGCATCTTACATCTAAAGGCCATTGTAGGGTCTACATCCAGAACCCTGTAACACCCTCAGGTATTCAAGATCGTTCATCAGGGCGCGACGAACGAGATAGATACGGTTCCAGAAAAGAAGGACATGCTGTCATTGTACGTATCTTACTTCCTCGTCCAATGAAAGTCGATGCTGGACAGTACATAAATCTTTGGATGCCAACGCTGAACCTTGTATCGTGGACGCAAACCCACCCTTTTATGGTTACTTCGTGGTCCCCTAAACCTGAAAGAGAATTGGAATTGTATATCAAAGGACAGCGTGGGCTATCATTGCAGATAATTCAACGAGCTCAGGCGAATTTAGATCGATGTTCCTCACTCTTTGGAGTTGTCACTGGCCCCCATGGCATTAACAAGCCCATAAATCATCATACGAGCACAATACTTATCGCCACTGGTGCTGGAATTGCAGCGGTAATTCCATACGCCAAAAAAATCCTTTACGGTTTTAATTCGCTCTCCTGTACGAAGCGTGTTCATTTAGTGTGGCAAATACAAGGACCTGGTAAGCCGTTCTGGCCTTACTTGGCAAGCAGTTGCTGATTGTGAAGATATGGCTGTTATTCCTGCTATCGAGATGATTAACGACTTACTGAAACGTGACATGTCGCCGAATCGTTATGTACTGTCCCCAGCCTGACCCCCTCAAGAGATGTACTAAGAAATCAGATATTTACGGCATCAATATATGACAAATCGGAAACCATGGGTGACCGTCGCATTGGAAATCATGAGTGTGGGTTTTGGAGAACAGGTAGTGCAAACTACACCGACATCATAAGGAATGAGATAGCCGGTGATTCGAACGAGAACATCACGAATGTTGAAGAAGAATATCGGAAAATTCTCGTTATGGGTGTGTCCAGATCCCCAATGAAAGAAGACACACTGATTTTTCAGTTTCCGCAAGCAATGAGGTTCGGGATAAATTACGGGGCATTGTTCGCAGCCTGTTGAAGAAAAATGTATCCCTGGCTGAACTAGAATTCCAACCCGACTAACAGGGTAAGGAAATTTCTGGATTAATATAACTATTGGTTTCATAGGCAACTGATTGCTCCAATACCTGAAAGCTCCAATACGTCACTTACCTTGGAAGGGAAACACGGTTTGGGATATAGAGCACAATATATCGGACATGAGTTCTACATGTATATGACTCGATCCACCTTGACCTCGAACCATGCTTGAGGTTGGTTGATATCGCCTAAAAGACTGCCATAGCTGTTAATTGACATGACTCATCAAAGGTACATGGAAGGAGGCAACTGCGGAGGAATGCCTTAATTGGAAAAGCGCGCTTTGAGTGCAGTGCTCGGGAAGATTGCGGGAGAGATTGGAGGTAAAGTTGATGTCGAATATTACGGCAACTCAACTCTTATGTTTGTAGTTCGGAGGAAGATTGCTTAATTTCTTCTGACAGGAAACATAAGGGTTTATATACAACATCTAACCCCAAGATCTGGCCCCAAGATTCATTTCGAATGTGTCGGGACATATCCTCCTGTCAGAACAAACTAGCGGTGACCCACTGCTAGCGATTTATAGATAACATCCCTTGCTTGGTGTACGAATTCTTGCGCTGGGCTGCGGCTCCGGTGTTGTGACAACCGAGGGCCGGCGTGGGATCTAGGGGTGTTTTCCAACTAGGCTGAGTACTGTATCTACATCTATCTACATGAATCAATCAACTTTTGCTTTAGGAGCATGCACACTGTTCACTTAACTGTGTACACAGTACCTAGCAGGTGATACCAACATAATGAGTCACTGGAATTCCATTGAGGTGAGGAATTGATTCCAGTGAAATACGACAGATCACAATAATTATAAACTATCCTGTTATACATATGTACAGTACCAGGAGGGGTGTGCTTTGAGCCGATGTTTGAGCATGAGACATAATTCGTAAGGGTCAGAGAGGATATCACAGTACAGTCATTCTCGAAATCGGCTTGACCAATACACACTGAGGAACTCTTTTCTCGCACCACCGCCAAGACATTAGCGCAGATAAATGATTGAGCGGCTCGCACTAAATTGAGGGGCGCAGTAAAGTGCGCCTTGTATATTACAGTCCCTAGGTACGTAATATATTATATTACGTATGGAAAGTCCGTGAGCACCATCGTAGGCCAGTGATATCTGGTTGCGCGGGAGCTACTGCCGCCTTTTTCCAGAAGATCTGCCTGGAGCCTCGTGCCTAGAATATCTAAGCAACAATGTCCATTTGATTGTGAAGACGTACAGTACTTCCGGAAGACGGTGTCACCACTTACACTCTTCGAACCCTAATGCCAATATCAACTAGCTTATATCTAGTATAGCCCGGGAATAATCCTTTCCAATGATATTGTATTGTAACTACAGAAAGTAACATTACCTGTATCATAATAACATGTTACAATATCTAGGTAACACATAAGCCCCGGGTTGGTTTCTGCCTTATCCATTTTTCCAGAATTCTGCTGCATATCATCGCCTCCATGGTCTATGCTAGTTGGGTTCATGTTCATGATGCATGCATACCGCGCGCGCAATCACATGTCGTTTCACTCACCGCCCAAGCCTTATAACATAACGTTAGTTAAATTGATAGATGGGCACAATAGCAATTTAGACCTGTTGCGATTCCATTGGTTAACCTGTACGATCCACTTCTCTGTTTCGACAGATCGAAGCAACGGGCATCGGCGGTTGTTCTGTTTGCAAAAGTGGGCTAGCCCAGACCGGGCGGCCCAGACCGGGCGGCACAAGCGGTTGCGCCCTCTACGCCATCTTCCTGGACGCCAAGAGGCCGCATGCAGCTCAATGCCGACTTCTGCTCTCCAAATCAGCCTTGCTATCTGTAGCACGTTACTATGACATCAATATTTCAACTCAAACCCGTTGTATTTTCTGATTGCTGCTTGTTGTTTCGGCCGTTTGCAGGTAATCGCCGCCTTCCCCTCATGACCAGATGAGCGCGTGAACACGTTTCCTAATTTGATCTTGGAATCGGTGGCTTTAGTTTGGAACACTATGCTGGGAATAATACAGTATACTTATCGAGGCTCCATGAATGATCGCATACCATATATCAGCACTCGAGATGGGGACCGTGTTTTATAGAGATGGCATAAGGCTGAGGCTTCGAATGCTTGAGCATGTGTACGTCATTCGCAGAGCTAATTCGCATAGTAGACTAGTAAAAATATGAGAATTGGCTCGCCGGGGGAGAAGACTACTGAGTTCAGCAGTTATGAACGCTTCATTTTATATCGTCATTTTCTCCTCGACGGGCTAAAGATCATATGGACAACAGATGCGTCCATTGTATCGGAATTGATTAACCCTCTATCACTTCTAGACCAAATACTCGAATTCCAGGGTGTTGTCATCATATCATTGTTTCCGGCCATATTTGATCATCGACCAGTCCAGAATTCATGTGGGCTATAGGTGCGTTCATGGTGTTGTAATTGAACAAAACTTTATCTTTACCGGTTGAATATAAAATCAGGCAAGGATTCCCTCTTCTCTCGCAGCCGACATAGGATTTAATCTTACAGCTCCCCAGACCAAACTCTTACCACATATATCCTGTCTTAGTTGATTCTGCATCAACACAACCCCTGCAACCGAGCCACGATGGCGGACAAGTCTGACGACTGCACTGTTGATGTTCTCCATAACACACCTATTGATATGCTGAATATTTCGGAGCCGGGTCAGTCAGAAACCATTGAGGACCTTTTGGAGCGTGGCAAGACGCAAAAAGTACGGATTCTGATCGGTTCGGAGAACCCTCAGCACAAATGCCAGATTCCGTATGCGCGCACAAAAGCCTGGATTACATTCGACAAGGAAGAAGCACTGCGAGAGTGCGTTCGATTATTGCGCTGGTCAGACGAACGGCTTAGAAGCCTGGTTGCTGAAGGGCCAAAATGGGCATGGGAAAAAACATTCCGCGAAGGGATGACGATTAGTTTTGGGGTTAACTGGTATGACCGCAACTTCTTTGAGCAGCGTCGTGATGCTTTTACGGAGCCAAAACATGCGGCCTATTACAGGCGCTTCGGCGCGGATCCAGAGGACTTTCATATCACACACTTGGTTCAAGGCGACCCAGGCTTTGATGAGGAAGTGATGAAGTAATGTGAGCGTCCAATCGGCGCCGACGGTTCTGTGCAGGAATAGCTCGGTTTTCTGTGGTAGGGAAATTATTCTGCCTCGCTACTTATGGCGACTGAGATTACGAGCGTGGTTTAGTAATGGCTTAAGATGGGAATTTATAGGGACACTCCAAATTATAGATGCACCAGATGTAGTAGCTGGTCTTATGGATGAGCTGTCAGCCGTGCAAGTCGTTCTTGTGGCTTTGGATACTGCTCGCAAGAACTCCCAGCTTGAGAAGCTCACGCCCGATGTGAGGATGATGACACCCCAATCGACCATTACGATGTGCCGAATTGCCTGCGATAACTTTCGCGTGAAGCTGGCGCGGTGGACTAAACACTCGGATGACAAGATTCATTTGTGGGATCGAGTTAATGTCGGCTTATTCGCTGAATGGACCGTCGAGGCTTTAAGTGAACTGCTCAGCCGCTACAAGTCTACCATATGTTCTGTTGCACCTGAGCTGATTGATTTCTTTTATCCAACAGATGGTGTATGGAAACCCGCTGGGCTCGAGAACAGTAGCACACAGCCAAATCCCTCTCTCTACCGACGGAGAAATACCGTCCAGCTTGAGACAAATGATGATCTGATCCCAGCGGGAAAATGTACATGAAACTTAAATGACAGAAAGGTAACTTGCTGGTCTGACGCGGCACATGATTCATTAACTAAGAGATATCGACTTTGTAGTGCGCGACGCATATAATCACAAAGATTTGATGATCGAGTGGGACTGCCAGGTTTATCTTGCTTTTTGTTGTTTGATCTAGGCTTAGTTTCCGAAGCTATTGAGTAGCTTCAAGTTCAACATGCTGCTATAGAGATTCTCTGAAGCGCTGCTCGCGAAGGCCCGCCAGGTGCACACGTGGAAAAGAATGACAAGTTCGAGATGAGTGAGGAAGGGAGTATTCTTTTTGGTCTCATCAACTGCGATCATGACGTCGAGCTCCACCATTAAATCCGCATGGCAAGGCCACCAATCCTGGCAAGGGAGCGGTCACACATCCATGATGTTGCTCATCCCTCTGCTCGTCCTGCCAGCTGAAGCCCTCTCTCAATCGCTCCCCGACATGGTCCTGTTGTAGGTTGATTCCTCGGTAGTATTTGCTGCGTTGGGCAAATAAAGTTGTGTTTTCGGACGATGAAATCCGACCTTATTTTCTCCGGTCGTGGGATAGTACCCCTCGTATGCCCCAACTCCTGGTTATTCCAGCTCCTCGTGTTTGACTTGCATTTCTATGGAAAATTATCTATATCATGGCTTGCCCCTACCCTGACGAGAAACGAGGCGATGTATTTACTAATGTAAGTACCGTACAAGTAATTATACAGTAATATTGATATTCCGGTGCTGTAATATGGTATGATGGATCTTGGCATTAGGGTTCCAGAAACAATCGAAGAGTGGAGGTGGTGATACAGTCATTCTCGAAATCGGCTTGACCAATACACACATGATAACTCTTTGCTGGCCCCACCGCCAAGGCCTTAGCGCAGATCCATCATTGAGCAGACCGCATTTATGGAAGGACATTGTAAAATGCAGCTTGTATGGTACAATACCTTGCTACGTAATATTACACTATGTGTACAAGAATTGAGAGAAATTGTTTGGAAACCTAGTGGATCTCTGCAAATCATGTGGAGAGGGCCGACTGGCGCCTTCTAACTTGATGGTCTGCTGGGTGACTTCGATTCTCCCTCCCATCCCGTGCGGCATGTGCCGAGGAGTGTCTCTATGGCTCAGAGAACCTCATATCGAATTGTACCATAGGCAAACAACTGTTTCGACCAGTTTTCGGTTGTTTGCAAGCGAGTAGCAGCCTTAACGGCGGCCGATGGCGTGCGCCTCAACTAATAGTCACTCACCATAAGTCTGTCATTAAATTAGGCCCAGAAATATGCGTCCCGATTCTATCCTCAGCCATGACGGTTACGGCGTTCAACAAAGCATAAGGTTTGATCCCACGGTCAATCCACCATTTTCACTAATGTTAATATCGGCTCCTTTATCGATCAGAAGCCTCGCTACCGCCTCGTGGCCATTCTCCGAGGCCTGTGAAAGCGGTGTCGATCCACTTTTATCGCCGATGTTGATATCGGCTCCCTTGTCGATGAGAAGCCTCGCTACCGCCTCGTGGCCATTCTCTGAGGCCCGTGAAAGCGGTGTCGATCCACTGTTATCGCCGATGCTGATATCGGCTCCCTTGTCGATGAGAAGCCTCGCTACCGCCTCGTGGCCATTCTTCAAGGCTAGTGAAAGTGGTGTCAATTCACTGTTATCGCTGATGTTGATATCGGCTCCTTTATTGACTAGAAGCCTCGCTACTCCCTCGTGGCCATTCTCTGAGGCCCGTGAAAGCGGTGTCGATCCACTGTTATCGCCGATGCTGATATCGGCTCCCTTGTCGATGAGAAGCCTCGCTACCGCCTCGTGGCCATTCTTCAAGGCTAGTGAAAGTGGTGTCGATCCACTGTAATGGGAGATGTTGATATCGGCTCCTTTATCGATTAGAAGCCTGGCTACCGCCTCGTGGCCATTCTTTGAGGCTAGCGAAAGTGGTGTCAATTCACTGTTATCGCTGATGTTGATATCGGCTCCCTTGTCGATGAGAAGCCTCGCTACCGCCTCGTGGCCATTCTTCAAGGCCCATTGGAGTGGTGTCGACCTAATGTCATCGCTGATGTTGATATCGGCTCCCTTGTCGATGAGAAGCCTCGCTACCGCCTCGTGGCCATTCTTCAAGGCTAGTGAAAGTGGTGTCGATCCACTTTTATCGCCGATGTTGATATCGGCTCCCTTGTCGATGAGAAGCCTCGCTACCGCCTCGTGGCCATTCTCTGATGCCCGTGAAAGTGGTGTTCGGTCCCCTCTATCCATGTCATCAAGGGGCATTCCTGTCCGTAAAAGGAGCTTGACAATGCCTGCCCGACCATCCTGGGCAGCCCAAGATAGCGGTGTTCGATTTTCGTATCCCTTAAAATCTTTCCTGTAGTTTAGGCCGTCTGTAAGGTCGATTCCATCGTGAATGCTCGAAGGCGAGTTCAAAAGAGCAGCAACAGTGTCTTTGTTACCATTGGCTAAAGCAGCAAAAAGTGGGTACTTGTATCTCTCCCCAAGGACGTGAATTTGCGGATCTCCTTTCAACCTTGCCCTGATGAGCTCGGAATGTCCTTTATCTGCCAGAATATAAAATAGATTTGCACTCGGGGTATATTTCCTATTGTTGAATTTTTCGAAAAGATTGTGGGTGTTGATCCACTTAGAGATAGAAAATGAGGACAAAAATTCGTCTTGAGGAACCGCTTTCGCCGCAGCGTTGGCATGGTAGAGGATATTCTGACTGCTATACTCCAAAAACGGGCAAGCTTCTGAGATTTCCGTCCGGCCGTAGGTGTTAGACTCAGACAGCAGCTTGCTAACAGATGTACAGATCAAAGTATGATTCATATAGACACTGCAGCATTGTTTGAGTTTCTCATGGCTTAAGCTCTCGCAATCAAGTCCAAGTTCAGGCCACAATTCATACAGACCCTTGTCCTTGATAAGAAAATCTCGGACAGATTCATGGATGAATTGAACTGTGGGCTGGCTAGATTTCGTGGCCTCGGCAAGTCCTTTTGAGGAGCTAATAACATATCTGCTAAAACTGTCGGGGCTATCACCGCTATCTGGGATGGTGACATCCGGAGGTTTGTCATCGACCAGACCCTTCAGTGACAAACCAGACCAAAGAGCATGATAGAACTCCCGCAGTTGCAAAGGCCGCTTTGCGTACAGAATCCAGAGGATGCAAAGTTGGAGGGCCTCCATATTCTCTTTGTCACGCCTCAAGATATCTCTGAATAGCTCACTCAGGTCACTCGGTATTTCCGCGAGTCTCATCCTCAGAGCCATTCCGCCCCGTCGATACTCCTTGTTAAGAATATTGACAACTAGGACGACCCACATGAAAACACCAGCAGATTTACTGAGCAGTTTTGGTTGTAGCTCTTCGACAAGCGTGGGTTCTTTGATTAGGAGGCGGCTTGTGACGTAGGTTGCCAAGTCTTCCGCATGGCCTGACTGATCCTCCAGTGTAAGCCGGATACCTCGTTGAATGACGATGTAGGGATAGTGTCGACTAGAAAAGCAGACTCGAAATAGGACCCCTTTTGCTGTAGATTGCTCGGCCAGCTCTTCAAAGTACTGGACCATGTCCACAACTTGTTGCTCATCACACTCGTCGAGAGCATCAACGAAGCAGGTAAAAGAGCGTTGACCAAGAGAGCAAACTGCATTGGCAAATAGGTCCTTAAGAACATTTAAGGAAGGGCAACCGGTTTGACTTTCGGGAACTAGCTCAGAATCGTCTAAAACAACCTGAAGGTCGGGGAACCCTTCAAGCAGTTGAAGCAGTAACGAACGATACATCCCTGAGATCGACTTTTCTAAGAAAACACCTCGAGCGTTGAAGAAAAAGGAAGCAGTGATAGCATGCTTATGACGGGCCTTGCTTTTCATGCTCGAGTACACAAACTTCATGATTGTCGACTTGCCAGCACCGGGCTTACCACTGATCCACAAAAAGCCATTGTGGTGCGTCAACTTTGCGGGATCAAGCCATGCTTCGTAGTCGGGATGGCTGAGAAACCAGCGACACGTCTTTTTTTCTTGTTGTTTGATGGTCGTTTTTCGGGAATCCATTTGCTCGAATTTAAAGGAATTTAACAAGCGCTGCCGGCGTTCGTGCGATAAACTTTGATCTGTACGTCGGGTGTGAGCAAGTGAGTCGAGATTGTTCCCCCTAGGGCTAGTATGGTTCCTTACGAAAATCGGCCGTGTAGACAATACTTGTATGCGATTCGGTCACAGGTAACTCCTCAACCAATTCTCTTGCATATGCGGCCGCGGTTGCTGCGGCATATCGCTGCCATTCTTTGTTCTTGTGAGAATCCGAGTAGTCGCAGATCCCCCGAATTGGGAGACATGGGAGGATGTCCATCAGACCAGCAGCTTCCATCTCAAAACATATGACACCTAGTTGTTCAGCAATGTTGTCCCGAGTTGTGCCGTCCTTCATGACTTGGTTCCCCGAGGCAACCGCGCCGTAATGGATCCTTATTTCGTCGGACATTCGTTGGTTTCGTGGAACTAGCTTTGAATGGTCGCATCCGTCACAGCTAGCAGTTAGAGATTCATGATCATAGGTCGCATGGAACAGGCGATCTGGCGAAGCCGGGCGAGCGTACGCGGATTGTCCTTCTAGCTTCTGTTGTAAGATGGATGAAACTCGACTAGGGCCTAGTTCGTGCTTCGAACGGAGGGTAGACACAGCCGTCATAAGCAACCGGTCGCAAATTCGAGGAATTGCTGTTCGCTGGAGTTGTCCGTCTCCAATGATCTTCCCAAGATCATACTGCATCACCCTTGTTCCAACAACAATATCACCCAAACGCACATCAGCTTTGCTTGGCACACCACCGCCAATTCCGATCATCAAACATGCGCGTATTGCTGGGAAGGTCCGCTTCATGTTCGTCATAACGATCGCTGCATTGTTTGTTCCATACTGCCCTTCTGGTAAACACGCAATAACGATATTATGTCGTTTGATGCTTCCTAGCACGTAGGTGTTTTTATCGTCCGCATGGGTAGGCAGTGTTTCGTGAAATTCGTCTAGCATGGCCTGAGCTGCTGCCATTTCTATGTGGAGCGCACAAATCCAGGCGATGGTGTACCGATCGTGTCGCGGGGAAGGCGAACCGTCACGGCAGGAGGTCTTTTGTCGTTTAGACATGTGGAATTCTGCCGTGCTTGTGCCATGGTTGTTACCTATCTGCAGGCCGTCATTAGCGCCATAGTAAGATGTCGATGCCATGATTGATAACATGCGTTGTCTGTGGTTTGTGGTGGAGGATGTTCCCTGACACTCAGCTTAAAGGGGGCAGGCCCGCTAATTCACATCAGGTGACTTCATAACGCTTAAACAGGTAATCAGACCACACGGGTATTTTGTTGCGCTTTGCGCTTGGACTGTAAGCTTTCCAACTCAGCTGCATTTCTATGAGAAGCTTTCTAATAACAGCGTCATGACGTGACCAGTCTAGTCATGCAGAATGCGACTGGTTGATAGAGAATGGAAATCGCGTGGTCAGGGGATTAAGGCGTGAGAGGTGGATGACGATTATTGCCAAATTAGGATCCCTATTTGTTTGGTCTGTTTGCACAAAGTAATTTCCACCAGTCTGCGACTACAGTGGCACCTCCAAAGTTTTCGACCACCTGAAGTACCACGCTAATCATTCTGCCGGGGCAAGAAGTGGCCGGACCACTCATAGGTTGTAGGTAGTTGGCAGTATGTCCTCAATAAGGAGGCGGTAAAAAACAGGGACTTTGGGCGGTCGAAAACTTTTGGTGCCGCTGTACCCGTGGCTTCCGCCCCACCCTGCGGTACTCTATCTTGCTGTCCTCAAAGCGATAATGGATACACTCAAGCCGGCCCAGTCCGCTCCTAGCGTCTACCAAGCCGCTTACACTATAACAGTGTGACTCTAGGACGAGATCTGCTATACTGTATAGTGCATTACTTCGCGTGATAACCTGTGAGAATCCCATAGAACCAGGTGTAATTTTCCGTCAGGGTACATACAGTACACAGCCCATTTTTATTTCGCCCTCAATTTAACACGGCCGGCTCTATAAATGATACCCGCTAACGCCTTGGCAGTGGGGCCAGGAAAGAGTTTCTCAGAGTATATTGGTCAAGGCGATTTCGAGCACGACTGTACCGATTTCCGGAAGTCCTATACGTGAATGAGTATCTTTATGTATCTAGTTCCCCCTCCATAGGGTATACTGGTTAGTACCTAGTGTGGTATATCGGCCAGGACCTTCCATCTACACATTTGCTATACCGCCTTGTACCACGAGATCACGTGCCGTCATTAAAAGTGATCTTGCATTTATGTTGTAAACTAGAATGTCCGTGGATATTGCTGCGGAGAGGGAGTCATGTGATATAAGGCTACGGTAGTCCTAAACAGGCAATATGGCCTGAATAATGTTGTGGGACCGGACGGATGACGTTGAATGAGCAGGGGAGTGTGGAAGGAGCTAACTAAAGGGGGTTGGAGTAGCCTTGCCCTAAATAAATGCGTTACACCTTGTTAATGAGGGATATGTAGTCCATATAGCTCTAGACCGTTCCAGGCTGGTCGAAGAGAATTACACTTATATGAAAATCAGGATAGTGCGGGGTAATGGCTAAATAGAAGTCTTGACGTATGACAATACTGTACTTATAAACGAATTAAGAAAACCGACGTATTATCAAAAGATATCAACATTCTGATGGTCAATCAACCTGAATCCACATCCTTGCCAGATGTAACATGTATTCATCCTGTTGTTTGTGAACGAAGGTGTATTATTTCCTGTAGCTTCGATGCCTAACACGGTCTATATCGAACTCGGCGATCAGGCCATGACGAACCGCCTGTTTACGTATCCGAACGAGGGTCACACTGGCCAGTCTTTGCAGGAAACCATCGAACATTATTTCAATGACAGCATCCGCCGCGAAGGGCTGACCGAGTTTCGCATAGCGGCGAACGTTACGGCCGACCGTTGCACTGTGGAAATCTCGCTAGATGATCAAGACATTGCGAATAGGATCGCTAGCCGTTACCAAGAGTTCTTCGACAACGGCAAGACGGGACTGCAGGCTGCTGATGCCTTTCGGACGAGCGGGAAGTGGGACGAGAAATGGATGTTTCTCCTGCCACTGGGCGTGCCTTTAGCCTTTGCGAAGGCTATTGAGATTATGGATTTCCCGCCGCTTACACTCTTAAGGAAACAGGACTACCTGAATTCGAAAACTACAAGTCGCTGGTGGGAGCTTCTGATGCTGAACGGCGTCCGGTATGACGAGAGAGCACGCTACAGTTGCATACTAGATATAGTCCCGGTTGCCGCGCCAGCCAGCGATGGTGAGAAATTAAGGCTATCGGGGATCTACGATGGGCCTTTCGATTCCTATGCAATGCCGCTACTCGAACTGCTGGTACCCACCCAGACTGCACAATACCGGCCGCTTATTGCGCTCGGCTTGCCGATCCGCATCTGGATCAAGCGGCTTTGGAATCTGAGCTTGAAGGTGATGGACACTGGGACAATCAATTTGGAGAGCGGCGCAACATGCAAGGTCATAGCAACGAATCATCCCAGTTTTTTCTACTACGCGGTACATTCGAATACAGGACCGGATGCGACGAAAAAGAACCTTGCCACAGGTCTGTTGGTGATGAAACAGGACATCATAGGGGCGGCCTGGCACGCGGAAATGGGGAGGAATCCCAGCGAAGATCCTACAGTGGTGCTCGAGATGTGTGTCCACAAATGGGAGGACAGAGATGAAGAACTTCTCGAACTGGTGAAAACGCAGGCTAGACTTCCTCCAAGTATCTTGGCTTCCAGTGAAGTGTCACTTGGCGCTGTTAAGCCCTTGGTACCCAGTGCTTCGGAGCTCGAAGATCTCGAACGCCAGTTCTATTACGCCAGCGATGTGCAGCATCTGAAAAAGCAGGCCGACACCAATACTCTGGATGCCAATGACGTTTCACTCTCTAAAATTGAGCCTTTTGTGCCCAGTAACCAAGAACTCGAGGAGCTTGAACGTCAGTTCTATGCGAGTAACTCAGGGCGTCCGGCAGAAGATATTGACTGATCGCGAAGGGAGGTGAATTTCTGATGCACTGTGGCTCAGCCGCAAGGTCACGTAAGAAAGTTGCGGATTCCATTCCCACAAACAGCTGCCAGTGTCTTATTGTTTTATAAGAGATTGTCTTCGCGAGCGTGCGAGAGTGGGTAACAGACCGCCAGACGGCCCCCAATCATGATTGAATCAATTGTACAATGATTTCCATGCAGAGTGAACTACGAAATTATCCATCTATGCGAACAAGTTCACTCATTGTAACTCCAAAAGATAGCTAGCGTCTGCATGACCAACGAGCGCTAGCTGGGTACGAGAAAGCGCTTGGAGCAGACCACATGTCGACCCTCAGTACTGTCCATAATCTCGGTCTTCTATGCCTAGACCAAGGCAATCTGGACCAGATGGAGCAGATGTACATGGGAGCTGAATGAGTGAAGGAGAAGAGGAATATTGTACCGCTAGATGCTCCTCTCAACAATGATCTTTATCTATCTCATGCTTTGTTCCTGATATTGTCACCTCAATTTACGATGTCAGCGATCAGCCGGCTAGCCATATTCTCAAGGACAAGAAAGTCTCGATTTTAGACTTCGTAGACCTGTTTCAGATCCTGCACGTTTGCTAACGCAGCACATGCCATCTAGACATATCCTCTATAATTTTGCTGCTCACCCATTATTGCTGTTTGCCGGAATGGACAATGCAAATATCGCGTGAATGTTGAGATGATTGAAGACTCGATGTGCCGGGCGCAGGATTGAAGTGGCCTTTTCCCGCTCGTTACAGTATGCTCAGAATGAAGTGCGAAGGCTCAAGCCCATCTACGAAACATCTACTTTCATGTCCACTTTGGCAAGGACAGTAAAAGCCATATGGCGTATCATCCAAGAAATCGGCGCTAGGTGCATGATTTGCAGAGGTCCCTATGGAATTCTCTGCGGAACGTTTTGTACGAATAGTGTAACATTACGTACGACGTAATGTAGCATACACGGTGCATTTTACGGTGTCCCTCAACTTAATGCAACGCACCTCAATTACAAATCTGGGCTAAAGCCTTGGCGGTGGGGCCAGGAAACAGTTTCTCAGTGTGCACTGGTCAGGGCGATTTCGAGAACGACTGTACCTCTTATCCGGTACTGTAAATGTATAAGTTCTGCAGATTGCGAGTCTCTTTTTCACGAGCGAAGCTGTACTGTACTGCAGTTTGTGACTGTCAGCGAGATACGATAGACATCTGGCCATCACCGCTTCGAGATATTTGCCAAGAGTGTTGAGGAGTGAGATTGGTCGGTAGGCTCAGGGGACCGCGTAATCCGTTTTCCCAGTTTTTGGCAACACCAAGATCCTTTCGCTGCGCCATAGTAAATGAAGATTACCTTACCTGCTGCATGGCAGTTGAACTGCTGTGTTCAGCCCGTCGGGTTGCTTTGAGCTCTGAAAGTGGCATGCGTTATGTGAGCTCCAATTGAACTAAATCACTCCATCCTCCCTCTGCCCCACACTTTCTGTTCAACAAGATGGGTCACACGGGCCGACGTTGACCTGTATGGACCCGTTGAGACATCCGTTTAACAAAGTTGCGTTACATGCACGAAATCCCGTCATTACGCAGGCTGTGTTCTCTTCGGCACTTCTGGAAGCTCCCTCTCAGAGCTTGGGCTGTTGTGGCTGGCGGTGGCGGCGAAGACGCAGCCTGGCACTCCGCGACCCATCGAAATTCAACTTTGTGGTTCAACCCTTTGATGGCAAGGATATCAAAGTAACAAAATAAAAAAAATGTCAATTCACAGCGAGCCAATTCCCTGCTGACCAAACGCAGGGCAACAAGGACGCCAACCCAACGATTTGGGCGCGGAGTTACATCAGCCTCCCATATTTAGTCGAGTTCATCCAGTGATCCAATTTGCAGCAGTAGTGACATTGACGCAAATAACCAGAATAGAGACTACAGCGCACCGTTTGACTCCACATCCACACGATCAGCGTAAACGCATCCTTTCCGGGTGAACACGGATTGAGTTTCCGATGAAAAGGGTGGTAAACGCGGTCAACTGTACGAAGCGACGAGAGATAACTAAGAGACGGGGCGAGGTGAAAGCAAAATAAAGTGGCAGGGACAGCTTCTTCGGCCCTATTAAGAACGATACATGAAGGTTTTTTTCTTACTATGGTGGGTGACATGAAGTCGACAATCAGCGGCGCTGAGAGCTGATCCACGTCCACTATCACAAATGCTGTTGGCTTTGCCTTGTGAAGTTCTTTTGCTCATATTGGATCATGTAAGTTATAGGCAACAGTTTTGTTGACAAATTCGAATTGATGAATGCTAGTTGTATGATGAGGACCTGCGGGCGTTGTTCAATACGTCATCCCCTTTACGCTCCATAGCAGCCGCTCGATTGTGCCGAAAAACACAACTCATCTTCGGAACTGCTCTCCCTCTGTCTCTTAATGGAAGAAACTTGCCAGCCAGTATGATATATGGCATGCTGCTGTCCTATGCGCCCTCAATAATCGAAATCGACATTCTCGGCCACAATTTCGACTCCCAGCCTAAAATCTTTGATTTACTCCGCTGCCTGCCTAATTTAAGGCGTGTTGAGTAAGTGTCATGCTTCGTTCCTTGGCTACTTGCAGAATGTTTGGAATATAGCTAATCAAAGTCTCTAGGGTAGATGGATGGCCGGCCGACTTTGAGCATATGCCTGACATGCCTGACACAATGGGACAGCTCTCTACGCAGCCATTCTTGCGTGGTCTTCAACTATATGGATGTTGCGGTGTAACCGAAAATAGATACCCTTTTTTCCAGAATCTTCGCACATTGGAACTGACTAATATGGGTCCCGGGCTGTTGATTGTCCCAGAGCTTCCCTTACTTATCTCATTGGAAGTTGGCTTTCATCTTCTCTTTGGGCGCAATGGCGACTACAAAGAAGAGTTCTGCTCCGTTTTGGTGGATCTGTCAAGTTTACCTGCGCTGGTCTCGCTTGGTGTGGAACGTATGGATAGTGACAATCTGACAATATGTGGAGAGTCAGATTCCCTAAAGCCATTTCAACTGACATATTCAGAGATCTCAGAAAGGTTTGCTACTACTCTCAACAAACTTATTTTCACACTAGAAGAACTCAGGTTGGTCAAGTCGTGGGTGTTTTCGAAACTCTGTATCCCGTAGCACTGCAAGACCTAAGGGTACTCGAGTTGGACGATTCAATAACACTGCTACCCTTTCTCTTCTCCGCAGAGCCTCCTTCATTGAGATTGTTCTCATTTCACATTGGGGAACAAGACGAAGGTCATGTCGATTATGATGGACTCTTAGCTCTTGCACCAAGACGGAGTATTAAACTCACCAAGACCGAAGACATCCTCCTTCTAGTCTCAAATATCATAACTCTACTCCCAGAATATTGACTTGACATGATTGCATAGACTGGGCTACACGGTGGACACCTATCATAATAACTGAATCAGCCCGATCAGGATAATTTTGTTTTAGCATTTTTAGAACGGAGAGTTTTTAAGAGAAAATACCCTGAACTTATACAATGCCTCGGTGATTCCATTTAAAGAACGATGAAGAGTCGAGTGACGTAGCTTTCTACCGCATATGGAGCCAGTGTAACGATCACCAACCGAAACCAAAAAAATATACTGTGCGTCCAGGAGCTGAAATAAACAGAAAAACCCTCTTGCAGAATTTTATATCTACATACATGCCGACTATAGCGTAAAGCGGTTTTTAGAATCAGAAGATGTCCCCTGCGACGAGTTTATTAACAAAAGTTGAGCTAAAAGAGGTTGCATAAAGACAGAGAGAAAAAATGCATAGCTCACTTCTAGCTTCAGCGAAGTCTAGCTATAGTAAATCTTATGTACAGTGACTTTCCATAAGTCTGAAACCCTCTACCTACCGCCTAAGCATGTAACGGGTTTCAGACTTTTGGAACACCACTGTATAGTACCGCCGTACTGTATTGTACCACTTCGGCCGCATCGACCGAAGAAATCGACAGATTGGAATTATTGACGATTCCGCATCTCCTGCATCCTTTTATATTCCGCATAAGAGGAGCACCATGTAAACGATGTGCGTTGTGCAAAAGAAATCAGCCCAAGTATAGATCCTGTATCATATGAATTGTAGGTAAAAAGGTTATGCTAATTAGGTCAGTGTTCAAGTTGTATTGTATCATAGCAAGAAGTACGTACTTCCCGAAGACGCCTAAGGGACCCCGTAGATGGAATCGAGGAAAGAAAGTTTACTGCAGGAGAACTGGGAGGCCACCTCTGAGTATCATCCACGCCAATGGCGTCCTTACTCTCATATTTCTGCATTAGCTTCATGGTGATAGCAGCCAAAGAATCGCAATAATTGATAGTCTGTTCGGGGTTCAATTGAACACACTTCTCAAGGCGAGCTGAAGTATTGTTAGAAGCCAAATTTTATCTTAGTAGAACGAAAATTCTTTACCAATTTTGATCTGTCCTTGTTGAGTTACCAAAATATTGGAAAGGATTAACCCATTGTGCCTAATTTGATGTTGCTCAAGACATAACAGCCCATCGAGCACCTGGTAACAATATTAGAAGGGGTCGTAGTGTCTAATGTTAACTTACTTGGACCAAAATCACGGAAAGCTGGGTCTCGTTCAGATAGGCTTCGCAGGCAGCTATGTTTTCTAACGAGATAGGGATATCATCATGTACCAAAAAAAGAAAATTCCCATCGAAAAAGCCTTGCTGAAAGGATATGATATTTGGATGATGAACAATATTCAAGATGTGCAACACTGCGCTCCTGCGCTTTGGGTCAACCTCCCTGAGTGCGACCAAATGCGAAGGGCGAACAAGTGCGCGAGCCACGAAAAACTCTCCTGCTAGTTTGCATTCGTATACCTTTGCAAATGTCTTCCACGGGGACTCCCGTCGAATATCTATGGTATTATTCAAGTTTTGATCTGCTTGGGGGAGATTTTCCGGAGCTGGAGCTTTTTTAGTGTCACGAACTACTTTTTCCGAAGGCTCTGTTTTGGCCTTTGCCTCCATCTCCCTTCTTTTCGTAATAGAGAAAGCCCGTTCAACATTTGGATATTTGTTTTCTTTTTTCTTGGAAGATTGTTTCTGAGGACGGCCTTTTCTGTCTTCTACTAGTCTTCGGAGTTCGTTAGTATCGAACTGCGTGAACCTATTTTGTGGCTGTGAGGACATTTCGAGTACTGGCGGAAATTGGGAAATGTGGTGGATTGTACAATCACTCAGGTTATTATATGGGCTTTTCTAGAATTATCTCGACACCTGGGCCTTGGGTTCCTAATAAAGTATGTCGCTCTGGATACAGCATATTTGGATAGTTTTATCCTTACAGGTTTTTTCTCTAGCATGGCTCAATTCACTCCCCGTGAAATCCATTTAGCTACCGAGAGAAGTCTGAAATATCAGGGAACAGCAAAGGTTAGGCTGGATAAAATATATTTCGATGCTCGATATGCGCGGCAACTGGATAGACAAAACGTGGAACGTCTTCGCAGGATCTTTGGAGAGGAAGGGTGTCAAAATCTGGCTCTACAGCATCGAATACCAGCTATTGTTTCCTCTGACCATCTAAAGTCCGCCCTACAAGAGGCGAATGTCAATGCCTCAGCATTGTTGGCTAAGTCAAACGCGAACATTCCCTGCTTGAACTTCCAGTCTGGCCAAGTCCAAGGGCTTCACGGGCGCCATCGTGTTGCAGCAGGCCTGGAATGTTTGCAGCAGCCTCATCGTTTTTGGGCCGTTGACCTTTATTTGTCCGGTACGTACTGAAGAGTTGTGGGCACCGGCCGATTCTGATATTTGTGCCAGACATCGGCGATGACCTCAGAAGTACTCTTGTTGATGAATATTCTAACGAAAAGAAACCGAGTGAAGGAGAAATCATGTGGAAGATGAGACAGTACGATTTCCATGGGGATCTTCATGGGGAGCTTCGGTGGAAAGCACGTCTTTCTGAGAATAGCAAAAGGCGACTGGCTCAGCTCAATAAAGTACCAGAAGTACGAAAGGCCTTTTTCGATGTTCTGAGTATACCCGGCCAGCGGGACTTTATGAGCCTGAGCAAACTCAACGATGTTTTAGGGAAAAAGTGCCGTCAGGTAAATTTCACTTCTCTTCATCCGCTCTCCAGGCTGACTATCACAGGAAGTAATAAATTATTTGGCGTATATAAAGAATTCCTGGTACTCTTGGGTAAATGGTGAGATATCATCAATAACCAGGATCGACCGAAAGACGGTGGAGGAATTACAACAAATGGCACCATGCGTTGAAAGCTCAGACATCCAGGGACTAATATTTAGTGGCCAGGTGTTCAGTCAGTTTGACGAAGGCGAGCGGTCATATATTTGGGAAAGGCTGAAAATCTTCAAAGGACTCATTCCATCCCTTCATGGATTTTTTGAGGATTTCAAGCCCTTTGCCGACTGGGCCGATTGTTTGTTTCGACTGTTCACACCTTTAGAGGAAAGGAGCTTTACGGTTCGTGCGGAAATGGCCAAAATGCTAACAACTTTGAACGGCAATGATATTTCATGCATCGTCCAAACATCTGAACATGCGTACCGCAGGATGCGCAACCCTTTGAATTGTTTTGAGATCGCCTATAGACAATTGTGGCTGTTTGCAATGCGACACTCCCCTCAGATGCCACCTGAACCAAAGCGAGAAAATCGTAAAGCAAAGGCACGCAATGCCCCTGCGGATGAGGTTGTTGTTTCAGAGATGGCCAGTCTTGCCAGTCGTCTTGGTTTTCAATCCCCTCAGATCGAGACACTTCTAAAAGATTCCCCGGACCGGCTGATCGCCAAACGCGCTCTACTGAAGGCTCGCAAACCCGAATCATTTTACTACGATGACAGTGACCTTAATTTATCCATTGATCAAATTATTGGTTGTTTTGCAAAGGCAAAGCCAACAAAGAGCACAGAAAGACGGTCTGCCTTCATGGAGCTTGCAAAGGATAAGAAAACTCGCTGTGGATATTCCGATGAGCGAGCTTTGCAGCATGATCGTCCGTATCTATTTCTTGACTACATGCATGCCACCGATACTCCAGACACGGTAACCACGCTTTTTGTGAGGCGTTGTATGTATCTGGCATTTTTGGACCACTTCCAGATTTCGACATCGAAGTGAACAACTCACCTACGTCTGGCTTGGCTAAAGCCTCATCGTCTGCCCTACAACCAGGAGATAGAACAGAAGTACGCAAAGAGCAGACCGAAAACTACCCAATAGAACCTTCGGACTGTGCCAGAGAATCAACCAAACCTTCGTTGCAACGACAAGAACAGAACGATGGCGAAAGTGAAATAGGTAGCACGGGTACTTTTAACGAACCAGTCGCGGCTTTGAATGCCGAGACATTTGGACGAGGACAAAACAGCCCAGAATTCAGTCCGCATCGGCGAGAAAATACCGAGGAAGGAGGACAGGCCTTTCAAGACGATGTGAACGCAACGGCCTTGGAGTCTTTCTTCCGCGACGTGCTCGATGCAGAAGCCAGACAACGAGAGTTAGGGGACTCTACGGGACGAGATCAAACTCCGAGACCTTCGCAGATATTACGGGATCGGGAGAAAGCTTTGGCAAATTTAACTGACGCTCCGCCCACTACCGCATCTGAAATAGCGTCCTTGGAACTTGACTTACCAGCTTTAATGGAACAATTTCGCTCCACTTCAAGCCAGAGTGATAGCAATAACTGTGAAGCGGAAACAGCCGTTGGATTAGGAGAAATTTTTGCAGATCAGCAGAAGTTCCAGCCAAACGATTCCGTGGGCTCTCCTACCAAAGGAAAAGAGACAAGAGCAATCTCTCTTGCGGACTTCCCACCAGTTGCCAGGCAACCCGATGTGCAGAATGGGCTGATCCCCATAACTTTCTGGGTCCACAGTCAGAGCGACTGGTGTGTAGATCGAACGGTTCTCGTGAAGGAGTCCAATTGGCAGTCATTACAGAATGCGATCCGGGATTATAAGGAACGAGGTATGATTGTGTATGACAGAAATTGGAGAACTGTTGGTACAGAATCAAGCTTTAATGCAGCAATTTCGGATGGAGCAAATGCATTATTTCTGGTTCCCAAGACGGTCGGGGAGAGGAGTCAACCTGGAAACCCAAGAAGAAAAAGAAATTTAGATGAAGTTTAACAAGATTCCGACCAGCATTTTGCTACTCATTCCTTATGTCTGTATGGTCTTATCACTACACCGAAATTGTGCCCTCTAGCATATGACAACAGATGTCATAAGACAACAAACATAGCTTAGGAGTAGTCTTGCGCCGCAATGCATGAATCATTTACGTTCTTAAGAATCTATTCTTAGGCCTGGATTCCTATGTTTGTCCGCAAAATATGCCTACTGGCACAAGACTACATTGATCATAAGACAACCAGGACTTGTCTCAGGTTGGCGAAACTTCCAAAGATGATTTTATTTCCTTTGGCATTTTGCTTCAATTCCTTCTCCGGAACTGAAACAGATTAGAGAATTGGGTACGCTTCCTTCGCATTGTACAGCCCTTTTTGTCTGCTTAGATTTGGGCCGTTTTTAAGTAAGTTCTGCTGTACATTCTGCCGTCGACTTGAGTGGCACGTCATCATAAGAGGAGATGAATCATAGATCTTTATACATATTTCTGACTACCTGTGAGAGGTTGAAACCTAAGAGTGACTACTCCTGTGCCGAAATTTGTGAGGAAGTACAATCCATGTAGATCCCCTTGTGAGGAAAATCCACATGTGAGAAATCACTTGGAGGTACAGTTGAGATATGAGATAATACGCCTTGAGAAGTTCTTCACAGATCAGGTTTAATTATGAGTGAGAAATCACAAATACATCCTCCACTTGTGTGAAATGTGTCCTGGCGCAGACAAAAGCCGGAGCATAATAAGAAAAACAGGATATTCTAGTTATATATCTACAGCTTCACTAGGCATAGAACGTACAAGATCCTCGTCTGAAATACTGCCAATTTGCCGTCTTGTATTTGTACCAATCAGAAATATCGAATATACTGTATCCGTCTCCATTGTCCTGCAGCATTGATTCGGCGATATACTTAGCATACGATGGTCGAACAAGTTACACCTCTGTCGATACTCGTTTGCCTTTTCCTCGACTCGGGACCTATCCAATGGGTTTGAGAAATCTGTCCAAAGGGTCTCCCGCTCTTTCATCCACTTAATTTGCTTTGACGAATTCTTATAGTCGGTCGACTTGTGTAACGACTCTTTATAGTCACATGATTGGAGACGATAGAATGTCACTTCAATTTTCTGTCCTGTGTTCCCTGGGCTGTCATTCCCCGCAGTCTCACGGCCAAACGCCATCGTAGAGATCGCGATCGCGTGAGTATCGTGTGACACTGGATGCTCGCTTAATATCTGGACCGAAGTAGTCACATTGCCGCTCGTGTCTTGACCATCCTCTAATGTGGACGTCGCATTGGTATCGTGCGACTCCGGGTTCTCGTTCAGTATCCCATCTCCAGGAGTTTGTTCGCGTATTTGCTGTCCATGGTCCTGAGACGTTGACAATTCATGTGGCGAATCAGGCTTAGGGTCTTGCCGGATAAGCGGTGACTCATGGTGACTTTGTCTGGTCACGATTTGTTGTGGGTTTTCAGCTGAAGTTTGCGAGTGTCCTTTTCCTTTGTCCGATTTCACGCCGCCTTTTGTTTTCTTCTTTTCTTTGGTTTTCTTCTTTTCCACTCGGCCTTTTTTGGGTGTGCCCATGCCCACATTGGAAGCGAAACGTTTCCGCGCTGTTGCTTTCCTTCTTTTTCTGTCCGATGAATCACCAACTGAGTTATCATCTTCTGGGGCATCGTTCATGGAAATCTCGTCGTTTGATGAGTCTGTCTCTTCTTCCGATAGCGTATGTTCTTGTAGTGGTTCCTCCATCGAAATATCCCCATTTGTCCTGCTTTCAGCTCCTTGCGGGGCAGGCGGAAGATCGTTCACGCCTGTATTCTGTAGGAAAAATTCTGGTGAGAGGCTGGCAGGCCGTCCAAAAAACCTGATGTACACACACTGGCGTACGAAGAGAGTACTAACGGGCTCATTGGCTGTTTGAGTGTTAACATGTAATTTGTCGAGGAATAGATTGGGACTGTCCAATTTGTGAGATCTTATTCGTGGCATTCCACATCGTGCCCCGCGATTGGCAAAGCTGCGGAGAGCCTGATACGTCACCTTCCTCTCACGAGGGGCAGCTTTCTCGAAGCAGTCGACTATCCGGTCTACCAAACTTTCAAATGAGTCGTTATCATATTGATAATATTCAGAAACTCGGGCATTCAGAAGAACATCTCGAGCCATTTGCCGATCAAGAGACTCTTCCCCAATCTTCATGATTTCTCCAGAGCGAAATCCTTGACAGTTGGCGAGTTTAGCCATATGGTAGATTGCACGTCTGTCCGGTTTTGCTCGGTTCTGCTTTGCTAGTAAATCGTCCTCGCTCTTTGGGTCAGGTGGCATGGAGGGGTAATGCCGCATAGCATACAACCACACCTGTCGGTAGGCAATATCAAAATAGTCAATTCCAGAAGCATCGATAGAAACAAATGCGTTCTCTCCTGTCTGAATCGGGAAATTCTTCGCTAGCTCTGGCGAGACAATAAACATGTGCCTCATGGTATTCCATATAGATCGTTCGCAATGACCAAAGAGTCGTTTTATGCAATGAGCGCAGCTTTCTAGAAACTTGAAGTCTTCGAAAAAAGTGGAAAGAGAGGGTATTAGGCCATCCCAGCATTTCAGATTGTGCCAAATTTGTTGCCGCTCTTCGTCACTGAAATGGGTGAATATAGCGCCACTTATAAGGTGACCGTGTACCTCTCGAGAGTCCGGATCCGATGCGGAAGGTGCTTTTAGCTCGAGACTTTCGACATCGTCCTCGGTAATCCTTGATTTCCCATTTTCGATACTCCTGACAATGAGAGTCCAACACAGGTTTACGTCACGGAGATAGTTCACATTTTCCTAGATCGCGAGTCACCCACAGCCATTAAGTAAAAGGACACTAAGACAAACCTCGACACAATCACACGCGATTAACCGAGGTATCATACTAATCCTCATTGCGCGGTTCCAAAGGGCGGGAAATGGAAGAAGCGCATCGAATGCATCTCGCAGACGGCTGTTCTTTCGCTTATCCAACTGGTCAAGCCGATCTCGATTGGTTTTTGATAGTCTTAAAAACCAACGCTGTCGGAAACGATAGTTACCCTGACCCTCGTACTGACGTATCTTTCGATAGATTTTTCCGTTGGTCGGGGCTATTTGGTTGGAGTATTCATCAATCAAGGTCGTCTTGAGCTGGTCTCTGATGTCTAACATTTGTTAGCCTTTTGTATTGTTCACCACTAGGATTGGTGTTACTGTTCCGTTGACCGTACCGTCTAAGTAGAGATCTACAGTCCACCACTTGTCAAGATCTGACAAAATTTCTAGAGCCACTTGTATTCGATGCCGACCATGTAAGCCTCTCAGTGCCCCGCTCGGAAAGCTAAGATTCGGAAGTTGTTCTGGTGAACTGGCGAACAGCCTTTCACTGGTTACGGCCGCACTCTGCAGTGCTGCAGTAAGACAGTGTTCGGACACTATCGCGGGGATATGATTTTCAATATCATGACGACGGCATTGGTTTTCCCCATTCGGCCCACAAAAGATCCCACGAAGTCGCTCCAAGTTTTTTTCATTGAGATCCTGAGGCAAAGGAGGATCGAAGTGAATCTGGTCAAGTTTCACCTTAGCAGTACCTTGGAATTTCCTGCGTCGCTCAGACGCAACCTCTATCTCTTCGTTTTCTTCGTTGAACACGAGTCCCGGCATCACCTTATACCCTTGCGTGCCGCACAGTCATGTGAAGTCAGTGTGTTCTAACAAGTTGTCTATTTCAATGGACTCGGTTCTCTTTAATAAGACTGTCTTCTGACTATTCGTTTCTCTATACTGCGGATGAATTTCAAAGATCTTAACGCCTCACAAACTGCCGCCATCTAATTCACACATGGTATGTGTTGAGAAACATCATTTGCCATGTGGTACATTGACTAATATCCAACTGTAGGCTCAAAATATAAATTCATTTCTCCGAGGGAATCAGTCTTTGCAGGTCTCGAACGGTAAAGAGTGAGTTCGTTGATCTTCGTTGAACGGGTGCTACTAAGAATCCTCAAGCTAAGTTAATACAACCATATGCGTTACTGCAGTATTCACAAGAAATCACCGTGGAATAAGTTCACGACGATTTACGATTGTGATCTTGCTGGTGAAGTCTCGGTGATCAAGCGGCGTTCAGGCGCGACCGGTGTGCAAAACCTGCGCCAGTTTCCTATTTCCGACGCAAGGAGCATCCTGCGAAATTTTCGTGAATTAGACCATGATAATATTATAAATGCTCTGGAGTTCTTTGAGGAGGGCAGTTTATTCTATGTTGTGTCTGAGCACTATCCTCTCACGATGGAGCACCTTGTTGCTTCCGTACTTTTTCCCACTGAGAACCAGTTGGGAGCCATATTATCGCAGGTTTGTTTTACCATCCAACCTTAAAATGCCGATACTAAATAATGGATAGACTTTGAACGGTCTTTCATTTATCATTGCGCAGGACTTTAAGCATCATATGTTGATTTGTTCTAGCATCTTAATGGATCTAGTTGGTAATGTTCGGATCGGTACGGTATTACCTATGAGACACTGCTGAGTTTCGCTAACATTTATCAGGGCGGCTGGAATACTGTCAGAAGCGCAAACCGGAAGAAAAGCAGACCTCAGATATTTCCGGTCTAGCGAAAATAGTCATGGAGCTCATGCAAAAGTACGCTAAAACCGACGGGGTTGTTGGTATCGATAATCTCGATCAGTGGCCCTCCGATTCACACGCAGTTGACTTCTTGTCACGGACGACCTCTGCGCAGTCCGTCAAAGAATTGCAAACGGTAAGCGGCTAACCACACCGCTCAGGCACCTTAACTAACCCCAGTGTTACATAAGCATCCCCTTCTAGTTCAATCGCCATCGAATAAGGGTGATCTTGCCGGTCTTGCTTGGTTTGCTCTTATTTCTACGCGTACTTTTTATTCCCTTAACCTCTAAATCTTTGTGCATCTCTACAAAGTGCAGTTTTAAACTGTTTTCCAAAAAGCCGTTGAGTTAAAAACTGCGATACTAAGCATGTTCTCAGTTTGGTGGGGTTCAAAATTGTCAGTCGAATTCACTTCATACCCATCCTTTCTCAATATAGGCAGAAGATGCTTTTTCCGTCTGTCCATTTTCATAGAAATGTTCAAATCGGTGTCAGGTCAATGTTGAATGTTTAATTATCCTATATGGTTTGTTTTTATTCAGTATTCAGAAGGAAGCATTCTTTCGGTATAAATCATGCTCATGTTGCCCACCTGGCACCCATATCAACATAACCTTTCCTAAGAATATTGTAATTGTTGACTAAGGATAATAGTTACCAATGGCTAGCAATCCACAGACTGTTTTCTATGCTAAGTTGGTTCAATGTGGCCTTCTGCAGCACATAGGCCGAGATTCAAAGCCAGCAAACCTGCCAACAGATATTGAAAGTGGCAAAGCTAAATTGACTTCGGCCCAGCAAACAAAACTAAATGACACAATTAAGGATCTAATTCAGCATATCAAAGGAGCTAGGCCTGGAGAGTTGGATTTGCCCGGATATAAGGGAGAGGAACCGGTCAATGAGTTCGCCAGCTCAATCGTGTCTTATGGGGTGGCGAACAATATAGATGGAGCACAAGACGCGCAGCAAAGTAGGCAATAAAGGAATTATCCTAGAAAAAAGCTCTAACTTGAAATAGAGCTGACCTCTTCTGCTGATGAAGAGGGAGATTCACCTATGAAAGACGATCCTTCAAATGAAGCTGAACAAGCCGGAGAGCGTGCAAAGCAAGATATGCACAAAGAAGCAGCGAATATGCGGGCCTCTGCAGCAGCTCTGGATAACCAAAGGACAAAACAAAACCCTAATGCTTACAAAACGACCGGCTCTGCCGCTCTCAAATGCTCAAATCAAAACTCTTCTATCCTTGAACGCTGGGGAGAAAAGAACAACGGATACGTGGAGATCACAGATGACGAAAAAGAGACAGTCATTCTTTTTGAGTATAAAAGAAAGGACCCCCGAGGAAATAGTAAAAACGGATTTTCTAGTTTGTTTGGTGTCCAGAGAGTCTACGACGGGAAATACTGTTATGAACTGGTGAGGCGCAGTGAAATAACGTCAGAAGCGGAAAATATCTGGGAAAATGAAGTTTCGAACAAACTTGTCCTAACCCCATCAGAAGAAAACACCGGTACTTTCCGTAAGGAAGATGTGGGAGAGATAAAATGGTTTTATTTTGTCTGCTATAAAGTCCCCAGTTGTCGAACCGCAGGCAAATCGAAAACGTCGCCTGCCACAATTTGTGCTGTTGAGACCACGGGAAAGCCCGGAATCCAACTTCTCACTTATGGAAAAGTGAAAATTATTGCAGGTTTGGACAGGGCCAAAGAATATGTTGAAGTCACTTGCCGAAGAGATGGCATACCCACGCCGTGGGAAACTAAATCTCAGCAAGTGGTGGCCAACGATGAGGACTGTCATCGACCTCGGAGGGACGCCAATACTTCTGATAACACAGTTCAAATGCCTCAGATGTCTAATGTAGCAATGTCCTCTCAAGTTACACCCGACTATGTCCGCAAAGTTGTAGAAGAAAGATTTTCTCCTTTAGAAAAGCGGCTTGGTCAAGTAGAAACTAGGTTTACTGCTCGACTCGATCAGGTTGAGGAAAACATTATGATGGCAATGCAGAAGATGTTTCAAAAGTTGTCTCAGGATGGAAAGCCAAGAAATAACGAGGCACTAAATACTCAGGGTAGGGGTAACTTCTCGACCAGTTTTCCGTCTCCACCTCCGGATGATTAAAACAGTATACCGTTAGGTTGCTCTATTTGACTTGTTATGTATTTCGTAGTATTCGCCCAGCCATGTAGGTATTATTATTTGGAATGATTTCTGCATTCACCGTTCCCATGCCGTTTGCAGATGTGCCAGGGAGACCAATGAGATGCGCTCTTAAGGTTTTTCCTGTCGGAACGAAATTACTATTCTTTGCTTTTTTTTTGTTTTTACAACGCTGTATCGTCATAATTTGGACGAACTGAACTCTGATTGGCTTGGAAAGCTCCATAGAAGCAACGCAATGGCGTTATCCCAGAAAGAACAGCTTTGGTATTAAGCTAGAATTGCCATTATCTTTGGGTAGTTTACCGTCTATAGTATCTAAATTCTATTAACCAAAGCTCTTTTACAACTTTGTACGTAAGGATGGTAGAGTGTTTGTACGACTTGAGTTTTTTGATTCCATTTTTCCCATTAAATTTAGTCCGGACATCCGAACTACGAGACACTATTATTCATATACAGAGAATCCACAACTCAACACACCTATGTTATCATCGAATTGAAATGCTTGGTCAAGAGAAAGACGAGACTTATTCAGGAATTCTAAAACTGGGTGTGCTGCTAGGTAAAAAGTCCCTCGAGGGCCACTGATTGAGAACGCATGCAAAATGTGCAGTGAAAATTGATCTGGGTTAATAACAACCCGTTCAGTGACCAGCACAGCCAACGTGATAATCACTTTCCTGGCATGCGCGCATATACTCGCACAAAAAAGGAATTTTTTCTTCGTCCACCCAGAACTTCACCTTATATTGAGTAGCTGGGCCCCTTTGTCGGTAAACGATTCGTTTATTCAGTATCTCGGTTTCAATATTGTCCACCTTGTTTGTCATTAGAGCCAATTTACGGACTGGGGGGAAGACGTACCTCATTTTCGTCAGCGCTCTCCGACAACTCGTCCGTTTCCACGTCTGGTGGCTCATACTCCGATTCATCGTCATCCTGACCATGCTCCAAGTAGTCTGAAACCACAAATTCTTCATCCGACTTTGTCGCTGAGTAATCCGATTCAGTCTCGCCATCAGTGGACTCAATATCTATACTGCTTTCGTCGTCTTCTGGCTGCTCTCCGATACTTTCAAGCACGGTGGGGGTTTTCCAAAAGACCTGGGAGCTCATGGTTGCAAATCACAGTGCCAAAGGCAAAATATGGATATTGAACTTCTGCTGCGAATGCCCGTCGATTTAACGAAGGTGTTACTTCGACATAGATAGTCACGTACATATGGCCAGTATTATATATACATACTGAATGTTGTAATTATCCATCTCTCTCGCAAGGACTCCCTAACTTTGCCTCATGAAAGTAAGCCCTATTATCCCTTAAAGGTAGCGAGAGGAAAAGTGATATTTGGATATGAACGGCATCAGTGAAGTATCGACATTCTATTTACAGCAGAGTTGGAATCTATCCTTTGAAAGAGCCCAAACTATTCGCAGGCCTGAATAAGGAGAGAACGAGAAAAGGTAAAGGGTGGTTTGGCTCCGTTTCGAGTGGACCATGGAAATATTATGGTTGGTAGTTAACAAAGATATCGTTTTCTACTCCGCATAATTTCAACTCGCTAGGTAATTTGTGTCCCCATTCTAATTAATTTTATGCTTCTTGAGCTTTTGGGACACTTGACTATAGTTCCAACCAGTCTTGGATATAGCGTTACTGCACAGTGCACGGTCGGGCGAAAAAGAGAAGTGCAAACCGCCCGTTCATGTTACATTGTTCCTACATGTTAGGCTTCGGCTACATCTTTGGTAGTTCCTATTTCTTACGACATCTATTTCTTGAAGTTTGCAGCCACCACAGACCACATTTAGGCTCTTATGTTGTACAGGCGGAATGTCTGAAGAAAAATAATCATCTGGCTCTTTTGTCAAGGTCAACAATTGAAGTCTTTTTAAGAGATCTACCTGCGTTGAACAACACGGCTATTGAGAGCTATGCTCAGCTTAACTCAAAAGCGCACTTTGCCCCGACTGCCTCTGCATCGTGATAACGAGAATTCACAGTCGACGGTTCAAAATGGATTTAGATTTTGAGAGAAAGCCACTCATTGACCAGGTACCGCGGGACAATGAACTAAACTGTTCAGAATATGAAAAGTATCCCCTGGGAGCATCCACTCAGCCTTTGGGCTTAACGCGATCATACGCCCACGACTGGAGCCCATACGATGCATTTCGAGAGCTCTATCAAAATTGGTAAGGTCCCAAGTTAGGAAACTATGCAAGCGTCTTTGGCTGTGAAACCTTTATGCTAATTAAGACACAGGAAGGATTCCATAGTAGCCACTCATAGACTATCCTTGCTTGGGTTTTGCCCCATTGTGAAGGAGACGGACAAGGAAATCATGATCACAGTACGAAACGCACCCGACCGGCGCAACCCACCAGAGGCGTCTCAATATGCCGGATTTATTCGTTTTAAAAAATTGACAGGCATTGTAGAATTAACTAATTTTAGCGCGACACTTGACCGGAAATGCCTAGAATTAGGATACACAACCAAGGCCAACGATCAACGATTGACAGGTAGACATGGTGAAGGACTAAAAATAGCGGCATTGGTGTTATGTCGCAATGGCTATCATGTTAAAGCGTGTTCGAACAGTTGCTACTGGAATTTTGGCTTCCGGGGCAAGCCAAACCGAAACTTTTACTGCCAAATTACCCCTGCGAGTAAAACCAAAACACGACGACAAAAAATGACATTCGAGAAACACCAAGAAGAAAAAAAGGACTGGAAACTCATGGCTCATATATGGGAGGACGTTTCCTTTGTTATCAGGAAAGGCCTCCACAATGGAGGGCCAAAAATAACCACGGACGAATTTTGGCACTGGATGCAAGTCACGATAGACGTCAGACCGCCTTCACAAATCGTCCACACGTTGGGTGGAGACTTGATCTTGGACGATAGTTTCTCTGGGAAGCTGTATTCGAAAGGAGTCCAGGTATCTTTACCTGACAACGATGAACACAGGTTTCGCGCCAGCTACAACCTGGTAGACGGATCATTTACCAGAGATCGACGGCAGATTACTGGATTCGAAGAACCTAAAGTTATCGCTGACATCTGGTCAAGCTCTATTGGAAGGGGAGATAGAAATGTCCTCTCCGTTTACGTGAATTTACTTCGACATTTTCCAGTAGCAAGGGATGTGAGGTCGGCTGAGCGGTTCGTGACTGAAACCACTGCAAAAAAAATTTGGGCACTACTCCTGGATGAGGCCAAAGAAAACTCAGCATTCTACTATACTGAAATTCAAGAAGACCAGGTAAAGTCCTAATGACTTCTAGTGGTTTGATATTAACAGAGATCCAGGCTTCTGAGGTAATTCGAAAGGAACTCAAAAAAGAACCGTGTCGAATTCCTACCTCCCTTTGGCAGCTTCTTCGAGATCATCACCTCATCCTTACTCCCAACGAAGAGCTTCGGCGCTGTCTCGGTGAGTCGGAGATCGCGAGTCTGCCACAGACGCAATTCGCACAGGAGATAGATCGAGCACTGCGGGGAATTTTTCTTGCGGAGCCATTGACGGAGACAGTTCGTCTCGTTTATGTTAGCTCCGACAACGAGAAAACAAGTATCGCGTTTGCAAAAGACAGAAACATTCTTTACATTCATGAGAAGTGGCTGGACCGCAAGCGCGCCCACTCTTCCAGTGGATGTACTGCTGCGATGAATTTCCCCCTTAGTCACTCGGAGACATTCTTTTGTGACCATTTAGTTGAGGAGATCTACCAGCGTGCCCTGGCACTCATCCAGCCCTCTTTGGAGCCCATGTCGCCCCATTCGGAGGAGGACTTGCCTTACAATATATTCCGCACTTGTCGCGAAAAACTAAGTGAGATGCCTCGCGGCATCCGTATGGTTCCAAGCGGGAACATGTTATTCCACGTGTTTTGGAGTGACGGTTTCAGTCGGGCGTTTGCGGAGACTTTCGGTGCCTGTGTGGAATATATTGTTATTCTCCATTATACATCTTGTTACCTGGAATCGGACCGGCTTCTTTTCCGACAAGATGAGCCTAGGTGCGATTGTCCACGCAAGCACGTATCCGAAGGCGACAACGAAGTTTTCTTTCAAGTGTCAGATGAACAACCCCGTTTCCCTATGGTCGCAAGGAATAAAGAAAATGCCCTTTTTGGACTTTCCCCACCTGCTACTACTCCAGTTAAGATAGATTCTGTCTCGCTGTCCACAAACGGATGTTCCTCTTTGGTTAAACCGGAAAGTGAAGACCCCGTGACAGTGAAAATCGAGGGTAGGACAGGCCCTGAAACGTCGAGCGCTTTGGAGAATAGTAAGAAGCTCTTGAATTGAAAAATTTATATTCCAGTCAACGCTAATGCTGACCCTTTATATCCTTGCCTAGCCGCATTGGTTGTTCATACTAAGGAGGAAACGAGGCACGACAAAGCAGAAAAGAGACATTCGCTTGTCCAAGCACCTTATAATACATGGGACAACAGAGGTGCTCACTTGAGCTCCTCAGTAGTACATGAGCGTGTTACTGGTATCGGTCATACGGAAAACTTGGACAGTGGCTCGCAAAGATCCAATGAGGCTCATTTGGAGTCCGTACAAGATACACGACGTGTAGATGCCCATCAAGATCAAAATGATCTTGAACGCCTTTCTCCAGCTGCACTTGCATATAACTACCCCAAAGAGCCACGCAATTTAGAGAATTTGACTGGTAGGTGAAGGTTCCCGCTCATGCTCCAGATTTGAATCCGACAGCTAAGAACCGGGTCAAGGAAACCCAACAAGTCAGTCTGGATACGATAAGAAGCCTCTAGGTCAACCTACGGGTACAGAAATGGAGAATTCAATACAATGGCTGAAGAATAAACAGTTTTCGGCTGATGATCCAGTAGTCTCTGACGGAAATGAGATAACAAAAAGACCTAGAGACGACCCCGTGGGACACGAGGCGATCAAGAGATTGAAACACGCGAAGGATGAGAAAAGAAGTGACTTCGAAGTTTAGAAAGCGGAAGACTTCATAGTGTTCTTTTATGAATCTGTTCACTGCTGAAGGGGACTCTTTATGTGCTTCGGTATATGCGCACACAAACCTGATAGGATCTTTCATGCCTATTACAGAATTTCTTGCAAATTCTCAGTCCTGTTGTTTCCTTTCTTCCATAAATTTGCTTTCTACTTTCATTAGTCACGTACAGTAGAATTAACTTATACCTGCTGATGTTACTCCACCAATAGTCATTGTACTTGGGCAATATTCAAATACAGTAATAAATGGCAGATGCGAGTAGCTTCCAAATACGACCTCTATGGTCTTCTATGTGCCGCATTTTGCCAGAAAATAGATCAAAGTGGCACGACTGTGTGTTGAGTAAACTACACAGTATTTCGCGCAATCATCAACGAAGGTTAGGACTGGGAGAGGAGAACACGCCGACACAGGTGACGTGCGTCGAGAACATGATGTTACTAGTCCTGCGTGAATTGTAAACATATTGAGCAATGCGTAGTTTCATAGTTGATCAAATTCTATACTGATCCAAATCGGGACAGGTCACATAGGCATGAGCTCACTCAGCTTCACGTATTATCATGGTAATACTCTTCTGTTGAACTTTCCATTCGGGGACTAGCCATGAGCCGAACATTTTGTCTTAAATAGCTCGTAGCACAATAGCTCGTATCACCGGTCAACTAAGTTCTGATGCACGAAGTCGACGAAAGTTAACCAGTGCAGATATTGCTAGGTAGACTCTTAAAAATTCGTTAAACATAGTCAACTGGGTGAAGGGGAGAGGGGAAACTCCGGTACCAACTTGAACTTGACATCCTGAGACCTCATATAAGTTCTTTAGCTACGACTCTTTTCCTGGGTTAGAGAGCACTGATTGTTTTTCATTTGCACTACAAGTTTCTTCAATGATATATCCTACAAAATGGATCCCGACTCGCAAAGCCCTCCTTTTTGGCCACAGGGTCGATCTTGGCAATCTACAGCCTCGCTAAAACGAGTGGCACATTTGAACAGCATTCAGTCACGTTTAGCAGAAGTTACGCAACGAAAGTCCACTATTTTGGCAAAACACAACCTCCAAGTAGCTGGCCGGAAGCGCGAAGATGCTGAGTTTCTCCAGGTCATGAAAAGATTAGATGACGAGGAATATGTACGCAGGTCCCTAAATAGTTTCAACTCTTCAATGCTAAGCTCCTTACATAGGGTCTTCGCTCCTCCTGGGGGGGATTTTACAACAATACGGTGAAACACCACGAAAACGAAACCGACGTCACTTCGACATTATATCCCATGACATCACCTTCTACTCCAACAGAAGTTGAAACAAAGTGCCAAGAGAATTTCGCAGACCAAGATTTCGTCCAATCAGATAGATCATCGCCATTGTCTTCAGCGACGACAGAGATTCTTCAGTCTTCCCCACCCCAAATACCAACCACAACTGCATCTCAAAATCTTATCGGTGGTGACAGCGCAATGATCCCAAACGGTTGTCACGTAATAGAGGATGTTGTTTCGGGAAAAAGACATGGCCGTCCGATAGGATGTGATTCAATGGGTCGTCCGCTTTGGAAGCGACAATCTGATGGAAATTTGGTTTATATTGCTTGTCCAATATGTGGAAAGGACAGTTTCGGGACCTTACACGGCATCATGTGTCATCTGAAAGCCAAGCACAAGAACAGGAAAAGACCAGAGCGCTCAAAACTGCTAGATGTTTGTGGGAAAGTATTCACTCCAAGTTCCTTGGCTGCCATTTCCACATTTCAATGTCCCGACACGAACAACTGGGAGGCACCTGCGCAAATTGAAAGCCAGTCACAGGCCGCTCTGCTCCTTGAAGGTGATGCTGGCCAGAAAGGAAAGCACCCAATGCAGTCCAACGGGGCTGAAGAACATGCTGAAAATCCCAACGACCCAGATAATCTTGAATCGCCAGTTCTTCCTTTTGGTAAGCAGTCGATAGCGTCGATAATAAATTAAGTGTCACTATAGCACTCGTTTTCTATTGGGCTGGTAACTGAGGTGAAGATTTAAACATCGGCTGCGATGATTTTGTGCTTAATATTGAACCTATTGGGCCCTGCTTCATCTTTCCCAAAACATGTGTGGTTCAATGTTTTGCAGCTTGCTTAAAGAGATTGTTTGACAAAAAACCTGTACTGCTTAGCTAACTGTGTTTCAAAATTCAGATTGATTCAATTTATTGTCCGGGCAGATTATTTACCAGGTCGGCTGGAACTAATTACCATTGTTAATAAAAGTTTATCCCAAAGGGAAAATGGGTCAGTTTCGGTGCAACCAGTGTCATTTAAATTATGACAAAAGGCACAAACCACTAGCCCGGATATCTGGCTCTAATGTGGTTTCCCTCTAAAGTATGAGCACTACCGGTGATTCTTGTCTAACTTTTGTAGATTTTGCAAATAATTGATCTCCGTGCGATTCAGTACTCAGAACAGTTGCATATATCAATTAATTTCCTTGAATTGTTTTGCGGCCCATTCAATTTCTCCCTGCTCCGAGTAGTTTTTAACGACGTCGGGAGATAAGCGATACTGGGTCAAGTTGAGGGTCTCCATTCCGGTTCCTTTTAGTTCTCTATATAATGTAATGAAAACGCGGTGTGGACCGGTTCCCCGTGTTTGGCATTCTGTTCACTGATAGGAATGTCGCAATGGTTGAAAGTCACAAAGCGGGCGGATAGGTGGATCCTTGCCGATGACGGACAATTACGAAGGATCGTCCAAAGCATGTCTGACCCAAATCAGCAATATCCTTCCGTGCTGGGCTTTATCGGCAAACAAAGCAAATCACAGGCTCTGCGTGTGTTATTTCCTTACAACAACACACGGAAGCATTCTCCCCCCAGTCTCGCCAAGCTTCATCTGAGTGAAACTGCCGTCGAAGATCAGTATCCAACTTTTGTAATCGACGGCAATATAGATGAACCGTGCGATACAGAGATCCGGTCAGCTTTGAACTACCGACAATCTCAGGGCATACAGTTTGAAATATGTCGCGAGGACAACTCATCATATTCGGCTCTCAGAGATTTAATTTATAGTCTTCTTATCTTCCCATTCTCACATATAATCTATATTTTTTCTGATGATATTGGAGGACCGGAAACAACCCAATTGCTAACATCGTGGCTTAAGATAATGGATGATTTCAAGGAACCAATTCTCTCCCGCCCTAAGTTGGTCATTGTGTTCACGGACCCAAACGCAAATACCTCTGAGTCCGAGCTAATTGAGAAGCCCCTGCGAGAAGCTCTTCTAAGCTCTCTGGTTTCTGATTTGTCAACCATCGACCTGCGGAAACGTCATGTTCTGTCGCCCGATGCACGATTTCTTGACCTACATGCTGAAATGATACGTGATAGAGAGACTCTCCGTAATCTGCGAGACAAAAGTAATCTTCTTTTTACGGCTACCCACATTGAGGCGCTCTTTCGCAAAGCTATAGAACATTTGACCCGAGAGCCCCATCGCCCGTTCAATGCAATTAAAGCTGCTAGAGAAGGCAATGATGTCGCTCCAAATGCTTCCAGGCATCTTCAAAGCTTCATAAAGCTAGTTACTAGTTCAGGAAAAACCGTTTCCGAAATTGCAATTTGCATTGCGTCCGCCTTGATCATGGATGCATATCCAAACGGGATGCACAGTAAGTTCCGCTTTTTTTCTCAACTCAGGCTTTTTGAATTCCGATTTCTCGGGTTTTTATGTGTATATTAATAATATTAGAATTCAATCCTCTTCTCACTTTCAACACACATTACTCCAGACTGTGCCATGAAGCTTGGACAGCGGCGTCTTCAGAGACAGCGAAGATTGGGTGTGATGCTATAAAGCTCCAATTTTGCTTCATTTTCACTAAGCTCAAACGAGATTCCGACACTGCCAATTATAGAAAAAACATTCTGGCACAGCAGAGTTCTTTATGGGCGCCTGTGCGGTCAAATACAACGTGCTTGAGTTGTCTACTCCGAGGAACCGACGAAATGCTACCATGTGGCCACGCGATTTGTACCACGTGTGTTAAAATTTGGGGAGAACGGGCTGGCCGGGCCGAATATTATTATAATATTCCTTATTGCGTTATCTGCCAAAGAAAAATGAATCGTATGGCGCGGAGCTTACCACCCACAAAACGTCCTGATCTTCTCGTGCTTGACGGTGGTGGAGTTCGAGGAATAATAACTTTAAAATTCTTAGTTGAACTGGAAAAAAGGCGATGGGGTAGACCAATTCGAGAAGATACTGATCTCAATATGGCAACGAGTGTCGGTTAGTCCTTTGCCCAAGTGAATTTTAATCTGGTTTTGAAATGCACTGGGACACTGAATTCATATTTCTAGGTGCGCCTATCTTGTCGGAGACCCACCTTAAAAATTCCAGCGCATTGCATGCAATGGAAACATTCAAACCGCTTGTTCGAGAAATATTCGAATCCAAATCACATTATGCAAGCTTCCCAGGCAAATTCTTAGGGCTTCTGAGGCGTTTATGGGCCGATGCTCTTTATGACTCGACAAATCTCAATAGCGCACTTCAGAAAACTTTCGGCAGTAGCAAATATTTGTTTGACATTCCGTGTTCGCCACCTGGGGTCCGAGTGGCTTTGACCACAAGCCAAGTAGAAAGTGATGGCACCGTTTCATTGTTCTCAAACTATAGGCGCTTTCGCAACCCAGGCGAGGAAGCCTCGTATACATCTATTATGCCAGAGAATGTTGATGAAGAGCCTTTGCTCTGGCAAGCGTGAGTAGTGTCAATCCAATATTTGATGAAAGAAAGTGTGTAATTTATAAATGGTTAACTTCTTTTAGGGTGAGGTGTTGTGTTGCTGCTTTGAGGCAGGTCTATCCACATTGTCGTGTTCATTGAAAGGTTCACTAACGAGCAGTGGAAAGCTATTTTAAAGCCCAGTATTTACCTAATATAGGGACACTCCAAGATGCAGGTATTCTAGCTAACTGTCCACTCAAATTCGCAATCCGAGAAGCCATGAATATTTGGCCAGATGCTGGAAGGCCAGACCTTGTAATCAGCATTGGCACGGGATACACACGTCCAAAAATTTCCAAGGATTGGAACCTTCCATCCAAACGAACCTTTCAAAATGGGTTTATTGGTCGTGGCTTGCGCGCATTCCTCTTTTCGTCAGCCGCTGATGGAAAAAAAGGATTTGAAGATGCTTTGGATGATCTCCCGAAAGACATAAAGGAAGATATATTCCGACTTGACAAAGATTTAGGAGAAGAGTTGCCCGAATTAGACAACGTTGAGAACATCGATCAGCTCTCTCAAATGGCATGCGAGATCCCCGGTGACCTTGCTCGTGCGCTCTTGACAACGTCGTTCTTCTTTGAACTCGATGAAGAGCCTAGTCTCATGGATGGACAGTACCGTTGCAATGGATCTGTTCTCTGTAGTAGAAGTTTTCCAGAAGGAATTCTCGCCCTTGTTGAGAAGGAGTTACCATCGGCACGATTTACGATGCATAATGGAGCTAGTCTGGGTCTAGTTCAGGAACATGACGGCTGCAAAATCTGCGGATATTACCGCAAACATATCTCCTTTTACGTCTCTAGTGTCTATAAAGATTTTCGACTTGAAATCACCAGCAAAACCGGTAGTAGAAAAATCGGTGGCTTCCCAACATCCCTGACTGTCCTCCTTAAAAAGCAACAAGTTCACGCAGTTTTCGGTCGGTCGGACCATAAAACAGATCAATGGCCGCCTTCTCGAAAATGTTACTGCTCTATTAATAACAAACGACCGAGGGAAGACCCACCCTGTGGTACGGATGTTCCAAAAAGAAAAAGGGTGAGATTCGCATTTTAGACACAGACTCTCGTAGGAGACGCCCACCTCTCCAATGCTACAAATGTTTCGTCACAGACCATAATGGCCGGAAGTCAATCTAGACAAGACAGGGCAGGGAATAATTCAAGGTTGTCGCTTGCACTCCACTCATTAATTTAATACAAGGTTTGCTCCATGTCGGTCTGTTTGAACAGTTCATTGATGGAGGGTAGTTCATCTTCCTGAAGCCTGGACATAATGTGATAGTATCCAATAACACTGCTCATAAATCCTCGAATCACCACGCGAAGACGGTCGGCCGCCGATTTCAAGTTCTCGGCTTCTCGGCAAAGTTCTCCTCGTTCCGCATCCCAGGCGCGCCGTTCCTGCGCTAGTCTCACCTCTGCTGTGTGTTTTGAGTCTTCTAGAATTTTTATCTTTTCTTGTAATTCAGCATTTTCTTCTTCAAGTTCTGCTTTCTTATCTTCCAATACGGCAATTTTTTCCGTGAAGACAGAATCGGATTGTCGCCACAGAGAGCCATCCTATTCAATCAAATCAAATGTTATCCCTTAAATACTTTCGCAAAACCTGGAAATTACCTGATCAGGTACTTCTGTGGACAGAAAAGTTTCATTGGCGAGCGCCTCGAACTTGCTCCCGATGTAGCGCTGGAGAGTCTCATGTGCACTCTTAGGAAGCCCACTGAAAGGAATTTGGTTCGGACCATGTTGAAACAATTTCAAGATATCGTCGTTGTATGGTTCTATTAGTTTCCAGTAATATTTGTCATGTGGCTTTGGTTTGAGTCGGAGATGCACGGTCTTTACACTGATTCCGAGGTTTCTCCCTGTTGGGTAATTAGCAGTCCGTGTTAAAGATTCGCGGGAAAGAAGTATAGCGGCTCTTACGGATATGCTCGCACAGCACCTCTCGACATTTCATTCTCTCCTCCGAGCGCGTGATATTACTTGGTCTCGTCATGGATGGATTGGCTATCCTTTTGTTTAAGATGAAGATTCTTTCTCGAGTGTGCATTTAAATTGCCTTCGTAAGAAGAATATCTCAACATCCATAATCTCATAGAACACCAACTTTGTTAAAATTGTTTCTTATTTTGGAAGCATAGCCTCATATTGCATCCAACACTGTACTGTTCAATGGGTGTCCCGTAGACGCGCGGAATGCCAGATGCAGCCTTGTAGTGTTAGAATGTAGTCATGGATGGAAAAAATCGGTGTGTTCAACATGGCTTATGTTGGCTGAAGTAGGCTAAGCTTGAGTGGTGCTAACTGCATCACTGTTAAAGTAGCTGTGTTCAATATTCAACTAAATCGAACTTAGATGCGTTCTAGGTGAACCTTGCTAGACCTGCGTGACGCAAATGCAGTAACGCTCTTGTAGTAAAAGAAAAAAGCTTAAACTGAAGGGAAACTTCCAGTATAGGTAAGGGCTGGTGAACTTGCCTGGACTTGTGTAATGCCAACCAACACGTATGGCGGCGTTGTACGATATATTTAATGTTGAACTGCACAGTGGTATCCAACAAAGCCCACCTCAGGTGAACATAGCTAGACAACTAAAATAGCAATTGCAGCTATATCACCGTCGATGCTATCAAGGTTGAACAATAAAAACCTACATTCAACAAGACGATGTTCGGTTAGCGCTATCTATATTCATGTGGTCTAAACTGCTACCGGAACGTAGTGAACACGGTAAATTTTGATCAAAAAACTACATCCAACAGCGTATTCCTCAACCAGCTACGTTTTATCTTCTCTACAAGACACAATTCATGATGCGAGGAAGAGGTTGTACCCAGCGGGGCAATGATTAGGCCTCGCCGCTACTGATGCAGTGCCTGGAGAACCGAAGTTTTAAAATAGTGTCTCAGCTGGTGATGCCAACTGCACCAACACTACCCAAGAAACGAATAGGGTTCCTCTTACTAGAAAACTTCGAACCGCTCATCCTTCCCTGCGAGAGGGCAAAATGTCAAAATGGAGCAGCTACCACGCTTCTCTCAACCCAGATTTTGCTACCCAGGGAGACAACAACGGGCTATTGGCTACCAAGGAAATGCCACGTTGAAAGGGTGATATAATCAACCACTAAAACTGTCGGGACATATCCTCCCGTCAGAACAAGCAAAGGCAACATGTCTTTGCTTGGTGTACGTAATCTTGCACTAAGCCGCCGTATGGGATTCAGGGGTATTGGAACTCCAATAGTCGGATCTTACTCTGGTCTCAATTTTCAAAGCGATGCGTGGGTTCAACTGATGGCGGAAGAGCACAAAGCAAGGGTAGTACAGTACTTCCGGAAATCGGTGTCACCACCTACACTCTTCGATTGTTTCTCGAACCCTAATGCCAAGATCTACCATACTATATTAAGAATAGCTCCGGAATAGCAATATTCCCGTATGGTCGTCTATACAATATTTTACTCCAATTAATACATGACTCATGTCTCGTCACGGTATGCACAAGCTATAGAAGCTAGAACTTTCATGCAAAAACAAACGAGGAGCTGGCGTGGGCCTTAAGAATCTGGCAAGGGTCACATTCCACTGCCACTGCCGTATCCAAGTGACGATCTCGGGGCTTACCCGGTACTAGACAGCACAAACAGTGACTTACGACGCTTCGTGACACCTTCCTGGTATAAGCTAACACTCAACGATGTTTCTAGGCTCCTCAGCGGTATCTTACCGTGGGGAGATGACTTCCACTCCTTTTGATGATGATGGTACGCCGATGTATGCGAGAAGACTTGGGTCGTTGTTGACAGCTGGCAGGGTAATGGTGGTAGTGTTCCTGGTGCCGGATATGCGGGATAATCGGCATTCAGGCTACAACCCGGGACTGATTAATTTGGTCTCTTCTAATAGTGTATAGCGCGTAGCGCCGTCCAGTCATCTGATGATGGGCTGAGATGCCCCTCACTCGTTATATGGCCCGTTCCTATCACCCTTCCTGAGAACCGACGTAACATTCCATGTGTTGCTTTTATAATGACATCGACATCGGTAACATTTCCTGGTGTGAATAATGGGTTTCAGGTCGGGATTAATAACGGTCCGATTCATCTTCCCCCGGGTAGGTTTCAGGGGCTGTTAGAACATTGTGAAAGCCAGATTGACTAATAGTCGCTCCCGTCCCAGAGCGACCGGAACCCCGCCCAGAGCCTCTATCGACCGTGCCATTCCCCCATGACCCAGACTTTGTTAGTCGCGATGCACTCGACCAGATTCACGAAAAAGCTTCGATCCCGGGGTCCAGAATAGCGCTCGTCGGCCTTGGCGGCGTTGGGTAGGGGCAACTCGGCGTAAAGGCGATTCGTTCAATGCTGACTTTGCAACAGGAAAACACAACTTGTCATCGAGTACGCCCACTAGGTCCGACGGCAGTCAGCGGATACATGGGTCTTCTGGATCCATGCGAGCAACACGGCCCGCTGCGAGAAAAGCCTCCGTGACCTTGCGGATCGAGTCAAGATTCTAGGGCGGCAGGATCGCACGGCTAATATATTCCAACTCGTCGGGAATTGGCTACAGGACGAAAAGATCGGAAAATGGATTCTCATCCTCGATAACGTCGACGATGACGGGCTCCTCCGCAAACCTTCGGCGACCGCTCAGGAGGGCCAGGCAAATAGCCAGACTAATGCCTCGACGCAGCCACCGCTAAGGTACCTCCTCGAAAGCTCAAATGGCTGCATCATTATCACAAGTCGGAATAGAAGAGTAGCGCTGGACATCGCCGGTCAGAAGAACATCATTGCAGTTCAACAAATGAAGAAGGCCGAAGCACTGGATCTGCTGCAGAAGAAGCTGCACACACCTGGGGAGCTTGAGGATATGGGGCATCTAGTTGAGGCGCTCGAATTGATGCCACTCGCGATCGTACAGGCCGCTGGCTATATCACACATCGATCACCCCGTTGCTCTGTGTCGCAATACCTAAAAAAAACCCAGAATAGTGATCGCGAAGCAGTACGGCTTCTCGATCGGGAAGCAGGTCTTCTTTACCGAGACTGGGAGGCCAAGAACTCTATTGTGCTCACGTGGCAAATATCCTTTGACCATATTCAAGGTGTAAGACCATCCGCAGCGGGCCTGCTCTCTCTTATGAGCTTTTTCGACCGGCAGGGAATCCAGGAGAGTGTTCTCCGAGTTCCGGAAACCCAGGAAATGAATGGGAATTTGTGTCTGCAGAAGGATGAAGATAGTTCTAGTGGAGAGGATGGAGACAGTGCGTCTGACTCTGACGCAGATCAGCGTTTTGAAGATGATATCACAACACTTAGCGACTACTCACTGATTTCGTTCGGAGAACGCAGCGCAGTGCTCACCATGCATCGACTTGTGCAATTAACCGTGCGCACGTGGTTAAAAACTCATGGCCAGCTTGAGCTGTGGAAGGAACGATTCATCAGCAATTTATGCCAGAAGTTTCCGACCGGTGAATTTGAAAATTGGGAACAGTGTCGGTCGCTCTTTCCACATGTGAAATCTGCTATGTCGCAACGGCCAGACTCGCAAGAGTCTGTTCTACAATGGGCTACGCTGCTTTTCAGAGGTGCATGGTATGCGCAGGAAAGCGGCAATATTACGGACGCGAGGGAGATGGCATCGAAATCGAGGAAGCAGAGAGTGAGATTATTGGGTGTAACCGATGAAGACGCCCTTTGATAGCACTGCAATGTTGGCGACAGCATATCGTCTAGGAGGGCTGTGGGCGGAGGCCGAGAAGCTCGAGGTGCAGGTGATGGAGACTCGCAAGATGAAGCTCGGCGAGGACCATCCTGACACGCTGACAAGTATGGCCAACCTGGCGTCGACGTATAGGCAGCAGGGCCGGTGGGAGGAGGCTGAGCAGCTCGAGGTGCAGGTTATGGAGACTCGCAAGACGAACCTCGGCGAGGACCATCCCTCTACGCTGACGAGTATGGCCAACCTAGCATCGACGTATAGGGACTAGGGCCGGTGGGAGGAGGCCGAGCAGCTCGAGGTGCAGGTGATGGAGACGAGCAAGACGAAGCTCGGCGAGGACCATCCCTCTACGCTGACGAGCATAGACAACCTGGCTTCGACGTTGTCACACCAGGGCCGGTGGGAGGAGGCCGAGCAGCTCTTTGTGCAGGTGACGGAGACTCGCAAGACGAAGCTCGGCGAGGACCATCCCTCTACGCTGACGAGTATGGCCAACCTGGCCTCGACGTTTTCACACCAGGGCCGGTGGGAGGAGGCCGAGAGGCTTAGGGTGCAAATGGTGGAGACGAGCAAGACGAAGCTCGGCGAGGACCATCCCTCTACGCTGACGAGTATGGCCAACCTGGCCTCGACGTTTTCACACCAGGGCCGGTGGGAGGAGGCCGAGAGGCTTAGGGTGCAAATGGTGGAGACGAGCAAGACGAAGCTCGGCAAGGACCATCCTGACACGCTGACGAGTATGGCCAACCTGGCCTCGACGTTTTCACGCCAGGGCCGGTGGGAGGAGGCCGAGAGGCTTAGGGTGCAGGTAGTGGAGACGAGCAAGACGAAGCTCGGCAAGGACCATCCTGACACGCTGACGAATATGGACAACCTGGCGTCAACGTATAGGAACCAGGGCCAGTGGGTGGAGGCCGAGCAGCTCTTTGGGCAGGTGACGGAGACTCGCAAGATAAAGCTCGGCGAGGACCATCCCGACACGCTGACGAGTATGGCCAACCTGGCCTCGACGTTTTCACGCCAGGGCCGGTGGGAGGAGGCCGAGAGGCTTAGGGTGCAGGTAGTGGAGACGAGCAAGACGAAGCTCGGCAAGGACCATCCTGACACGCTGACGAATATGGACAACCTGGCGTCAACGTATAGGAACCAGGGCCAGTGGGTGGAGGCCGAGCAGCTCTTTGTGCAGGTGATGGAGACTCGCAAGACGAAGCTCGGCGAGGACCATCCCTCTACGCTGACGAGTATGGCCAACCTAGCATCGACGTATAGGGACCAGGGCCGGTGGGAAGAGGCCGAGCAGCTCGACGTGCAGGTGATGGAGACGAGCAAGACGAAGCTCGGCGAGGACCATCCCTCTACGCTGACGAGTATGGCCAACCTAGCATCGACGTTTTCACATCAGGGCCGGTGGGAGGAGGCCGAGAGGCTTAGGGTGCAGGTGGTTGAGACGAGCAAGACGAAGCTCGGCAAGGACCATCCTGACACGCTGACGAGTATGGCCAACCTGGCGTCGACGTTTTCACGCCAGGGCCGGTGGGAGGAGGCCGAGAGGCTTAGGGTGCAGGTAGTGGAGACGAGCAAGACGAAGCTCGGCGAGGACCATCCCTCTACACTGACGAGTATGGCCAACCTGGCGTCGACGTTTTCACGCCAGGGCCGGTGGGAGGAGGCCGAGAGGCTTAGGGTGCAGGTGGTTGAGACGAGCAAGACGAAGCTCGGCAAGGACCATCCTGACACGCTGACGAATATGGACAACCTGGCGTCAACGTATATGAACCAGGGCCAGTGGGTGGAGGCCGAGCAGCTCTTTGGGCAGGTGATGGAGACTCGCAAGACGAAGCTCGGCGAGGACCATCCTGACACGCTGACGAGTATAGACAACCTGGCTTCGACGTTTTCACACCAGGGCCGCTGGGAGGAGGCCGAGCAGCTCTTTGTGCAGGTGACGGAGACTCGCAAGACGAAGCTCGGCGAGGACCATCCCTCTACGCTGACGAGTATGGCCAACCTAGCATCGACGTATAGGGACCAGGGCCGGTGGGAAGAGGCCGAGCAGCTCTTTGTGCAGGTGATGGAGATGAGCAAGACGAAGCTCGGCGAAGACCATCCCTCTACGCTGACGAGTATGGCCAACCTGGCGTCGACGTTCTGGAAACAGGGCCGGCTGGAGGAGGCCGAGCAGCTCGACGTGCAGGTGATGGAGACTCGCAAGATGAACCTCGGCGAGGACCATCCCTCTACGCTGACGAGTATGACCAACCTGGCGTCGACGTTTTCACACCAGGGCCGGTGGGAGGAGGCCGAGCAGCTCGAGGTGCAGGTGATGGAGACGAGCAAGAGGAAGCTTGGCAAGGACCATCCCTCTACGCTGACGAGTATGGCCAACCTGTCGTCAACGTTCTGGAACCAGGGCCGGCTGGAGGAGGCTGAGCAGCTCGACGTGCAGGTGATGGAGACTAGCAAGACGAAGCTCGGCGAGGACCATCCTGACACGCTGACGAGTATAGCCAATCTTGCCTTCACCTGGAAATCCTCAGGTCGACATGCTGATGCTGTTGGGCTCCTACGAGAGTGCTTAGCGAAGCAGAAACAGATATTAGGGCCTAATCATCCTGACGTTTTGTCTAATAATGAGACGTTGATAGAATGGGAAACGGAGGGGCTGAGCATCGACGTATAGGCAGCGGATGCTCTACATACTTTTTAGTTTCAGTCAGAGGGGGTTTTCAGGCGTTTAGCTAACTTACTATATACTGCCATCTCTATTCTCCTTGCACAGAATTTCCATCTTCCAGGTATCGGCTTGAGCCGAGCCTGGCACAAATCAAACATGGTATGTAATCATCAATAAAATTTCTCCACTCCGAATTAGAACGAACCTAACAATGGCGTGTTCCCAGCAGCCAGCCTTATTAGCCATGGGAGAGCGGAAGGTCGAGACCTTGTGATACAGAATGGCATGGACAACCCCGTGCGTAATTTTTGGTCCCTGTAGCTGGCACTTCAAGGCCCGCAGCTTCCAGTCATTCGCTAAGCGCTAAGAGACAACTAAGTTCCTAGGGACTACGAGGTAGCAGCTGCGCTACATCTCCTCTATGGTCAGACCTGCATGTCGGAAGTGTCCCTTCGCGCTTTCTCCCCTTCCCCCAACGACGTCAACACACCATTCTAGGAGGTTATCGAATCCTTGGGCCGGATTATCTTCGTAAGACTGCCAATTCCGCCGAATAAAGGCTTTCAGCTCAGCAAAGAACTCCTCAATGGGATTCAGGTCTGGAGAATATGGTGGCGAATACACCAGCTTCCCACCAGCTTCTGAACACATGTGCTCTATCCGGTCGGAGTGATGAAAGGATGCGTTATCCATGACTACGACAGACTTCGGCTCCGGCCATTTCCCGCAATGCTGGAGAAGCTGATCAATAATATCCTCAAAGACGGTTCCATCAGTCGAGCCTCGAAACACTCGAGAGAGAACAATACCATCATGGGCATATGCAGGCAGTATCTGATATCGTTGATCACGATGGAATTTGGACACTTGGACTGGTGCTATACCAAGAGGAGACCAGCCAGTTAGTCTGAACCCTATTCGCTTATCACACCCAGACTCATCTACATAGACGAGGTGGTATGAGCAAAACTCCGAGATTAGATGACAGTAATCATCACGTAAATCCGCATTTCGCCCCTGACTTTTTGTCGAGCCGTCTTCTTTGACCACCCTTTACGATGCAGAGCGTCGCAGATCGTGGATTAGGTATGGACACGTCGAATTCATCCAGCAAGAACAGTTCCATCTCATAAAGGTATAAATCCGGTTTCTCAAGCAAATGATCGCACAAGACTTCTAGCATTATCAGTGAGATGCTTCGTGGCCGTCCAGCTTTGATGGAAGGGGCTTTGATGTACCGAATAGCTGCAGATTAGACCGGATCCTGATGATTGCGCGCCTGCTGCAGCCAGCAGCTTTAGCCATCTGGCAGGTGGTTAGTTCACCACTGAGGATCATATCATGAATAAGCTCAAGCGTAGATTTAGCAAGATTGGGAGCCATAGTTCGTTCCACCACTTGTGTAAATGATTAGTCGTCAGTGACGACCGAAGTTAGAGTTGGACGTGGGGCAGAAGGTAGCAGTATCTAGCTGTGATAGGTAATTAACATATTCCCAGCTTATTTAATTATCCGGTATTTTACGGAACAAGGCCTAGACATTGGGGACGTTCTTGACTATTCTAGAAGTAGATTAGCCTTTCTTGGCATTAGGGTTCGAGAAACAATGAAAGGGTGACAGTGGCACCGCAAAAGTCTGAGACCCCCTAGCTGACCGCCCTAATTCACCGCCTATACCGCTTTCCTAAATAGACTAGTAGAACGCGTCGCGATAATAGTAGTATGTTTACATTATTATGATTATTATCATCAACTATGCCTCGCGTGCGATCTTTACCTCGACCACGGCCAGTACCGAAGGGCCCTCTTCCTACTGCCCCTCGCCTACCTCCTATAGCGCAAGAGCCTACCCTAAGACGTCAGAATTGTGAACTAGACGTCAATCTTCGTACACAAATCACTACGCTAAAGGAGACCGCCGGATGGTCATATAGGGAGATCCATAACAAATTCCCCGAACTCTCGCTCTCAACTATTAAAAAGACATGCCTAAGGTCACGTATTCGACATAAAGAAGAGACTTTGAAGCGATCTGGACGCCCAAAAGTTCTTAATGAGGATGACCGTCAAAAGATCCTTAATAAGATACACGAAGAACCCCGAGTCACGTACGACGACCTACTCTCTGAAGTTAGTAATAAGTGCAAAAAGGACTCAATTGCTCGTCTTCTCTGTGTTGAGGGTCTTAAAAAGTGGCGAGTCATGAAAAGACCTTATCTTACACCTGAGACTGCTGCTAAACGCCTCGCATGGGCAGACAAATATTCCGGCTATACAAAAGAGGATTTTGACCGTGTCTTTTTCTCTGACGAATGTACGATCGAGCGTGGTATTGGACTTCGACCAGAGTATTCTTTTATCCGCCCAAAAGATCAACCAATTCAAGGCGAAGTCCAACCTACTCCATATAAGGGCTTCCAAATTAAACAGATGTTTTGGGCTTCATTTTCGGGCTCAACTCGACGGACTGGACTTATTCCGCTCTATGGGGATCCAAACTCACCCCGAGGAGGTGTGAATCGCTTCGTTATCCTTGATCTATACCGTCGAATCCTACCAACTTTGCTCGATGACCCAAGATCGATATTTCAACAAGATAATGCTCCATCCCATACTGCGCATATTGTCCGAGACTATGTCGCTTCCCTAGGGCGGGAGGTTATGATATGGCCCCCTTTTTCGCCTGATCTTAATCCAATTGAGAACCTATGGACGCTATTAAAACAGAAAATCTATCAGATTCGACCTGATCTTCTGCATATGCCAAATAATGACGCAACTCCAGATATTTTAGTTGACACTGCAGAGCAAGCATGGCAGGAACTAGATCTGACTATTTTAGAGAACCTCTCAGAGAGCATTCTGCGTCGTGTGCAAGCTATTATTGACGCTAATGGCTGGTATACTAAGTATTAGTCTAAATCTGAAAATTTTATGAAGTTTTTAGGACGGCAGAATAATTGGCAGAAAGTAGGCGGTCAGTCAGGGGGGTCTCAGACTTTTGCGGTGCCACTGTAGGTGGTGACACCGATTTCCGGAAGTACTGTATTGTTGGGTCCCAAATTCACGAGCTTTCCGGAAAGCAGTATATTATCTTTTCTATTTTCCCCACTATTCCATTTTGCACACTTCGAGAATGTGCATACTCGAGGAGTTTATTTAGAGAGTGTTTTCACGAGCACTCCGTGATGTCGAATTCCGAAATTATTTTCTCCACTGTGATCATATTAAATACACAATGCTTACTCGATGGTTTCTGCATGTCCCCTTCTGTAACAATTCTAAAACAGACAATGGATGGGGCTTTTATGTTTCGAGATGAGAAACCAGTACTGCAGTATTCATTTTATATAACATACCACATCCAAGATCTCAATCCCCGCGATATCTTTGTTGCTGGTCAGGAGATTTGGTCGATCTTGCTCACTGACAATGGAAAGGATTCATCTATTATTTTGCAAATATATAATGGTTTATCTGCTTGGTATAACAAATATTGGCTGCTCAGCATAGAGAGAGGAGAAATTGGGGGGAATAAGGAACGGTTTATTCGTACTCCAATCTATCCTGCTTGTACTCTATATTTTGTACAGTACCGCATTACACATAGTAAATTAAATTAGCAGACCATGTTACGGTCGGTTAGTTAGTTGGTTGACTTCGTTTAGCGTGAACCTCGCAAAAAGCGATACAGTATGCAGGCTACTTCATTGCACGTAAATGTAGAGTGACCACTTCCTAAAAACGAACATTGAGCATAGTAAGCCTGCCATGGCCTAATTGCCATTCACACTAGTAGTCTGCTTTCGTTGCGCGCGACTTCAGAACTGTATACTTCCGCGAAGTCTGGCACCGTCTCGATCGCACTGGCTCGCGAGGCGATCTCTGGTTTACCTCGCTTACTTTCTCCACAGCCTCCTAATGGAATCGACACGCTATTGAAGGCATTCCTGTATATTGTAGCGAGGCCTTATAAAGTTTTAATGATATTTTGTCACAGAACAGTAAGTTAACCCAACAGCGCTTGATTTATTACACGCAATTCGTAGTTAGGAAAGAGCAAATTTGAAAGCTTATGATCTCGAAGCATCATCCATTTTCCATCAGAAGAGACGCAAAATTCCCCGTCGGCGATCTGCTGTATTCATCTAAATTATGAGCTACTTGGACTCAGTTTCATTTTCAGTCGTTGCTGTGTCTACTGAGCTTGTACAACCTCTAGGAACTTGGTTGGCACGCTGTTGCTGGGCAGATTCACGATCAGCATGCATGAGTCTATGTGCTCGTGCTTTCGCCTGACTTTCGAGTCCTGGCCCATACTGCTGTGCAATCTGCGGCGGATATTGAGTCGGTGGCCCGTACCGTGCCATATAGTGCTGTGACAGTTCATGTCTCAGGAGCAGCAATTGATGTTGATATATTCTGTTGTACAGGTGTGTCGTAGTGTCTGCTCGCATGTGTAGAGAACGATCGCCCATATTACTGTGTGCCCCGGCCCCCTTCATCCGCTGTTGAGACTGAGATTGGGCATTTCCCCCGGCTTGCAATTGAGCAGTATGCTGTGCTGCAAATTCGGCGTGCCTCGTGTGCTCTTGCATTGGAAGTTCTGCAAATGGGTAGCGTCTTTTCATACTAGATTTTGCCTTGTTCGGAAAGACAGATTGGGACGGAATTCCGTAAAAGGACGACTTTCGGTTCAAGGAAACCATTGCAAAATATCTTTTCTCACAACCCAAATTTGCAAAGATGACAAGTTTGGTATTTTGATTTGTGAACCTTTGAGCGCATCCACAGGGGGCAAATTCGTCATGACAAAGGACTGTAATCGAAGATTTAACATCTCACTGTCAATCTGAAGGATAGAATCCTCTTCTTTGTTGCACTAACCTTCATCTCCATGTAAAAGGTCAGACCTCGCATCCATACATTTCTCCTCGTGGAGAACAACGTGGTAAGTTATGCGAGAGCCGTATAACCTCAGAAAGTCTTCTGTTTCACAATCCAGCCAGCTCAATTCAAGACATCCTTCAATCGGAGTTGACTTTAGCATGATACCATATGGCATTGCTCGAAGTTTACTCCTGACTGATCGCAGTAGTCCGTCCTGGAGGTGACTTCCAATTCTTGAAACTGGCATACCTTTGAAGATCACTGTAATGGCCCTTCTGAAAAGTTCCTCCACGATGTGATCACAGAAAAGTGGATGGATGATGTAGGCAGCTGTCATGTCGGTTCTGGCCAAATCTCTGCAGGGATGCAGGTGCGTATCATCAAAATGTAACCATCTGTGGTTGGCTTTCAATATTTTATGCTCTTGATCATAAAGTAGATCAATGTTCTTATTGTCGCTCTGCACAAAGAAGATTTCTATTCTCTTGGTGTCGTCAAAGAGTGCCATGCTTGCCTTCAGAGCTCTCTGAGTAATCCTCGCGAACGACGTGTCCGGTGTTGTACACACGTCCACTTTTTTGAACATATTTATTTCCTCTTCTTCTGCTGTCCGAATGTGTGAATTCAGACGTAACAAATTCCAGAGCTTCTCTGGTAGTATCTTTGGCTCTTTTTTCAGGCTCTGTTTGATGGTTTCAAAGCTCTATAAAATTTTAGTTTCTTTATTCCAAACGAATCAATTTGCGTTTTGCTTACTTTTGGACCTGTCTGTTTATTATAATAAAAGTCCTTTCCTTTGGCCTTGTGTAGGAGGTGCTTCCAAATAAGAGTTCTCGTGGAATGATCCAGAAGTTTTTCTGCCAGCTCAACATCCCGTGAATGTGGAAAATTTTGAAGCAGGTCAACATAGAGTGGAAGCAAGTCATCCCCTTCTCGTTGAATAGCAGATTCCCATATCCGCCGTACTATATTGGCTTCCTCGTTCTTGTCGGCTAATCTTTGTCGGTCACGATTGACTCTGCCTTCTGCAAAGTTATAGCCAAACTTGAAGGGCCTGGCCTCAGATGCTGTCGTAGGAAGAAATAATCCTCTCAAAAAGATTTTTCCTTCAAACTTTGGGTCGAGAATCAGGTCACCATAGTCGGTTTGAATGATTCTGGAGGGGTAAGAGGGTCCCCAAACATCGATGGTCACCCCCAACCATGTCTTAAATACCTCAAGAGACACCTTGTTATATGCCTTGTTTCGCCCTGGTCCAATGGTGATACTCACGTCTCTCTCTATACGGGGTCTATAATGAGCCATGTCAAGGGTCCGATCAACCTGGCAGCTCAAAGGGCCTTTTTTCGTCGGATTTATTGTGCAACAGAAACGGGACTTGGAAGCTCCTCGAAACGAAAAGCTCCAGTTGCAGTTGCTTGCGGCGATACTTACTTTGTAGTCATTGCGAGTCATCACTAGGGCAGCAAGTTTGAGTCCTTCTCCATGACAACCTGCTAGCTTAGGATTTCCTAACTTTGATGTGTGTCCCAACTCAAGAGCTTCAGGCTGAAGTTGTGCGCACGCATTGACCATGATAACTCGCCCTGTTTTCTTCTCATATCGAATGAACCCCAGAGCGGGAACGTCATCGTCGACGAGGCTTGAGGTTGGCACTTTGACAGAAAGAAAGTCATCATCATCTTCCAAGCATGGTCGAAACTGTAGACGTTGCAGGTCGAATGTTTCCATAATCGCGTCTTTCCTACACTGGGTCAGCGCGAATGAGACAGCGATTAGAATCTAGTACCAATTCTGATAGAGTTCTCGAAATGCACATGTTGAATCCCAATCTTTGACATATTCCGAAGAGATGCTGAGTGAAAACGTTCGTTGATGTTGGAAAATCGGACTATCCTCGTAAGATTTGTTTCCGCAAAGCTCACTTTGTAGTTGTTCTCTCAATTCTTGCTCATCTTCGCTCGAGGGATATTCACACTCTCCGTTGGAACTCTCAATAGAATTCTCCATTTCGATGGATAGTTTGTAAAATTCAGTTGAGGTTCGAATAAAAGAACAGGTAGAATATATATATCCCGTTCTCTGTATACTAGTGTGAAGGTATTTAAAACGTGGATAAGAGCCGTATTACTACAGGAATCTGTGAAACGTCACGTATCGCTATGTAACGTTGCAAGTTCCCGTGCGAGACCTCTTTGCAAGCGTTCATTTCAAAGCTAGTTTTCTCGAGTTTAGATCCCACGAGCTTAACGATCCCTTGTTGGATATTACTCTTCTGTTCAACATTCACTGTAGCGCAGATGCTACTGATACCACACTTGCCTAAAATAGTTCACCGGATCACGGCAATGCTAGGTGTTTCCATGCGTCATACATAGACTGCGAACGCCGAATATGCTTGTCGCAATTGCGGTTGACCACGAGTGGACAAAGTTTGCATTTCCGTTTGCCAGGAATGTGTTGTGGTAGCAACACTAATCCTGTCTACTTCACCTTGGATGATATCATTCTGTTCAACATTACAATATCCTCTCCAACTTGGGGCGATGATACAGTCGTGCTCGAAATCGCCTTGACCAATATACACTGAGAAACTCCTTCCTAGCCCCACTGCCAAGGCGTTAGCGCGGATCATTTATCGAGCCGGCCGTGTTAAATTGAGGGCGAAATAAAAATGCGCTGTGTACTGTATGTATCCTGACGGAAAATTACACCATGCGTGTACAACGTCGGTGGAATTCCATGGAATCGTATAGTGGATCTGCAAATCATGTGGGAGGGCTGCCTAGTGCCGGGTAACTTGATGATCTTCTAGGCGACTCCAGTTCTCCTTCTCATCCTGTGCGGCGTGTGCAGGTCATCACCTGTGAGGCTGTCTCTTTGGCCTAGAGCACCTTAACGAGTGAGACTAGAGGCCAACGACTATTTCTGACCGGTTGGCTGTAGTTTGCAGGCCAACAACACCCTCAACCGCTCCTGATGGTTTAGCCTCAACTAATAATCACTCACCTTCAGTCTGTCGTTATAGTAGGTCTAAGAAAATGACTCCTAGTTCTCTCATGAGCCATGATGATTATGGCGTTCAACAAAGCATGGCGCTTGACCGGTGGGGTGATACATCACAATATGCACCAACACCTAACAACTTCGGTTGCTCACCCGCCTCCCCGTCCGACATAAGCTGCATAAACGTCGATCACATCTTCCCTGTCGATTACGCCTCTCTACAACAAACTACATTACAAAAGAATAATCTTCCCTTACTCCAGTTCGGTGATTGGGAGGAAGGTCGAACATATGACGAGGATTCACCGACTTGCATCCACTACTTGATCGAGTGGAGGGTTACTCTCAATAACAGAAAACTACAACCAGTTCGCGTATATCTGGGGTCTGGCGGCGTATAACTTGTGCTTTATTGGGGCGAATATCGCGGCGGTCTCGTGCTTGTTAGATAGCTACTCGGGGAACGAGGGGCCGATTTTGATTATCGCCTGTGCAACGTGGTATTATTTCATTAAGGAATATGTATGCCGTTTCGCCTTTTACTGAGCGGAATGAATATGATGGGGGCTTTGGGATCTTTGGGGCGTTGTCGTTTGTGCTTGGAGTAATAGGGATCCGGCATATGCTTGGGGGAAGCAGATTAGGAGGTTTACTGCGCGGTTCGGGCGGGTGACGGGGTAGTTAAGGTAAACTTTAGGGCCAGAGGATCTCTGGCGAGTCTGATTGAGCATAGGTGCCGAATAAGGACTCAATACAGGGAAGGGCGGCTGCAGTTTTGGCGACCTCGTTATAGACATGTGATCTGGGCAGGGTGAAACGGCCTGGTCATCTCCAGCCATGGATAGCCTAGGATCACGATAGATCAAAGGAAAAAGGTCATGCTCTATTGGTAAAATTTTTCTACTCGGTCATACGCACACCGCACCCTGATCTTCTCGTTCAACGATCAGTTGGTGAGATAAACCTCGTCCCATCCATAGGCTGCAAGAAAACCTCCTCGTCTCTTTTTGGCGGGTCGAAAAAATGCATCGACTTGTCTTCCTCTGGCAGGTCGTTGCTGCTGCTGACACTGAAGCTGTCTAGAGGCTTAAGGGAATACGTAGCAGGTGTTCCGTAGGTCTGCATCGGGCACATCGCAGAGAATAAATCCCTTAAATGATGATACTGGGTATCCGCCATTACCACACCTTGCGCCTCCAGCTTTGCTAGAGTTTCGTGGAAAGCGTCCGCTGTTGTCACTCTTTTGCGAGCTTGCTTTTCCAGCCAGTTGCTGTCCGTTCCTCCTTTTCTTTTGAAGCCGAGGACGAGTGGACCTAGTATCAGCGCTCCGAAAAAGGTTAACTCTGCTGGGTTCATATCGTTATAATTGCGAATCGTTGCATCTCCGCCTAGCTTTAGGAGGGCGCGTAAGTTGTTTGTTTGCCAGGATAGACCTGCATAATGCAGGGGGTGTCTCCGTTCAAATCAGTCACGTTTATGCTAGTTTCGGGGAAACGGCGAAGCACAAAGCGGAAAACCCGATTTGGATGCGCAAATGGAAGTAGTGCAATGATGTGTAGAATCGTAAAAGTCTTGGCACGATCTATATAGAGCAAGGAAGGTTGAGTTGTGGCAGCGTGAGCTAGCAATATGCGAAGGAGCTTCTCGGCATACTGGAGGGAGTAATATGCATCCTGATTGCATTGTAGCAGTACTTCGCCGAGGATCGTAGTGTCCTCGACTATCTTGTGCTGTTTGGGCCCGCAATCTTTAAATAGGCCAGATCTGCCCTCAGACAGGAGACCGATCTGATCAGTAACAGGAATAAGAGGGTTGGCACCCCGGTCAAGGAGTGCCTGAACCATATGTAGTTTCCGGTTCCGCACGGATATATGGAGAGCTGTTAAGCCGTTGCAACTCTCGGTGGCATCAATCGGGATGTTGGAGTCAAGTAGCAGCTCCAGGATGTCCATGTCTGATTCCTTGTCTCGTGGAACCAGGCCAAGCAGATGCAGGACGGTAAGCCTCCTACAGTCCGTAACGGCGGTGGGACTAGCACCCCGCTCTAAGAGAAACGACACCACTTCCTTATGCCCATATAGTATTGCAGAATGGAGGCAGCTTAGGCCCAAGTAGCACGTCTCTATATCCCACCCCTTGCCTTCTATGAGGTGCCGAGTAATTGCGAGGTGACCATGGCGGATAGAGGACCATAGAACTGCATCTTCATAGCCTGGCTGCAAGGTAAGCAGGAGATCAAGAGCTTTAATGATCTGATGCATGTCGCCAAAGCCCAAACGCAGGCGCCGATGTGGTGTATCATCCTCGGAGACTAGCAGACCGAGCGGAGTGCGGGCAAATTCCGGTGGTAGATAGTACAATGTCAACTGTTCGAAATATAATAATAGAATGTCGCAGTTGGTACACGGAGCCTCGAGAAGAAGACATTTTCTTGTCCGTGTTTCATTCTCCCAAGCGCTATTGTCATGGAACGAGGCCGAGGCGAAACGTGCACCAAGTTGAACCAACTTTCTTGCCAGCTGCGCTTTGTCATGCAGAATAGCCCACCTCAAGGGTGTCACAGAGAGAGAATTTCCAAGCGGCCAAAGCTCGCATGCCTCCAGCAGATTCGCTGGGCACATCCAATTCACATCCGCTCCTCGAGCCACAAGTGTCTCAGCTAGCCTCATCGCCTCGTGCTCATCCTGGATGTATACGAGATAATGCAGTGGACTGGGCCAGTCAACCTCTCTCGCAGGATATCCAAGATCTGGGCGGCAATCTGCGCCCCTTTCAATGAGTGTCTTCGCAATCTTGTAATGGCCCCGACGTAGGGCACAAAGTAAGGGGGTCAGTAACGTCCGCGAGGAGTTGGTGCTATTTACCTCCACTCCGGCGTCAAGAAGAGGATTAACGGCTTCGGCGAATCCAAAGAGACAAGCCATATGCAAAAGTCCGCCAAATGTATAGACACCATTGCACGTGTCTGGTCGATTTTCACCGATCCAAACAGTTTTGAGCAGATGGGATGCTTCGGCCTGAGGCACATGCGTATCTGTGGTCAGCATATTGATCAAGGCAGTATCAGCCAAGTCAACAACTGGGCGAACATGCTCTTGATAGTTGAGACTGCCGGGCCACTTGAGAGCGAAAGAGAATTTAGCCTTCTGCTGCGCTAAATGATGTTCCTCGGAGTCAGGATAGCTTTCTTCGAGGTCTTGTAATGCAATGAGTGAACCATGCAACGCTCCCTGGAGCAGCCAATGCCGTAACGTATCATCATGTATATCCAGCCCATGTCCATAGAGTTTGAAGAGCCGCTTTACCATCCCTCTTGATCGAAGACACCCATGACGGGCAGCTTGTACAACCAAATCTAGGCCGCGATGAATGTTCCTAGTAGTTCCCAGACCCATGAAATATTTGAAGCTTCGGAACAATTGAAGGTCAAGCCTATTCCGCCTATCCTCAGTCTCCCAGGTGTTTCTTGCGATTTGGATGGTAATGTTATTATCCCCTTTCTCAGGACCGTGGCGGGAGGTCCACATATCGGTAACATCGTATTTGAGAGTCTCGGAAGGGTCCCCGATCCTTGGCTTCAACTTTTCTTGAAACACACGAAGGCGTGGGTGGCGGAAGAACTCGTGAGCCCAATGCAAGAAATAAGGAGGGTCAGGAAAGGTCTAGAAGACAGATCAGTCACTGCAAGCTTTGGATTTGAAGTTTCACATACTCGAAACCAGCCCATCGTAAGATAGTGCTTTGCGCCTTCTCCCACGTGAGCATCATTATAATTGTGGGGGCAAACCTCTGATTCGGTGTCCGGAATCTGCTGAGGTTCCTAAACATTTTGTCAGGCTTTGAAGATTTCAGGGACTCTAGGAGTCCTAGAACATACTTGAAAACTCCAAGCTGCTCTCCACGACGGTGCACTAGCTGTTTTGTCAAGTGTGTCCACATTGTATACTCCATATCTAAAATTCTTTCGCGGCACTCTTGGCCTATAATGGCTGATACCATAACCCTTGGCGTAAGGCAAATAACGGCTCCTTGAATTCCCCATGACAAGGAACGATAGATGTTTCCAGTAAGAGTCAAGTGACAAAGCCGCATGGAGTCCTGGAACAGACTGTTCAGCAGTTATTGAGCTGATATAGGCATATCTGAGGGACTCAAACTCTTCGAAGGAGCTGTCTACCAAGCCAACATAATCTTCAACCAGGGCCACGATAGCACGGTTTTTGCAACCAGAAGGTACTACCAAATGAGGGTCTTCCTTTTGCTGAAGCCACACATACTTGTTGCATTCATGGCCTCCTTTGCTTGAGGGTACGGAATATGGATATGGCGTGAGCTTTAGCAGGGGCTTCAATCCCTTCCACAGGCTGAAGTCACCTTCACCGTCTGACGACTGTAGAGGTATCGATCTCAGACTGATTGCGATATTAATTTGGTTTCGAAGTAATGCAGCTGCCTTTTTGCCAAGTATTTGAGAGTTTAAATTCCATTCGCGAGCAAAGGTCCCCGGTAGTCTTTGAAAGAATGTCGTCGAGGTCGCCGGACAGCGGAGGGTCTTGGTTGACACAGTAATACTAGGTGCGCCTGACGTATCTAGACGCCTCATGCGTCGTCTTAGCCGGCCGCGATTTGGATTATTTAAGAAGTCTTCCCCTGATGATAAAACATGAGGGATGGACGCCAAATTTGCGATCTGATAGACAGGGGTGCCGGTTCCCTTGGATAGACGTCGTGTCCGCCGCCGCAGTCTCCCCCTCAGGAGTGACATATCGCACGATACTCCAGTAACCCTCTCCGATTCGACTTCAACGTGCACTGGCACCGAGGTTTCCGGTACTTTCTTTTTGTTCACCAATGTATCCCAGTATCTCACAAACCAGTGGACAATTTGCCGCTCTTTTAGCAGATCGTTCGGTGCTTTTGACCGGTGTGAGTTCTTCGCTAGCAGCACAACTATAACTCCTTCCCAAAATCCGGGCCTTACTTCAACCTTTGTCACGGCCATAGATGGAACCCAATGTGACGACGACGCGGTCGTCTGCACTGCGAACGGATCCGCATCGTTTTGAACGAGAAGGTCAGACAACTGACTGAAGGACAACCCTAATGGAAGATCCATGTCCCATGGGTCTCGCGGAAGTCCAGTTTGCCCAATTAAGGATTGGGAAACCTCGCCCGTAAAGATATCGGAATAGATATGTCGAGGAATATCATCTCTGGTAGTCTCAGTAGAGCAGGGTGCAAACTCAGGATCCAGAGCGGTAGTAGCAGAGAACCGCGAGGGGAGAGAAATGAGAAAGTAATGGCGAGAAACTGGGCCTTTCAAGTGCAGGGTATCTTCGAGGAAACCGATTTTTCTTTCGAGCATGTTGTTCCCGTTAGATGGTTGGTGAGAGTGGGAAGATTCCCGAACGTCCCTTTATCGTGTGATTCACATTTCAGCCCCGTCGACTAAACTTATCTGGGAACGTATGACGTGGCCATGCAGCCAGCCATCACGTGGGGTCGGATATTCCCTTTCCCTTTAGTGGTCTCAAGTCGAGAAGTCCATCCACGGAAAGCGAATATCTGTCACTTTTTTCTGGTCTCAGGCTGATCATGGAACCAGTCAGTTTTGCCATTTCGGTGGCGTCCCTCGGTTCCGTCTTCCAAACTTGCATAGCGGCATACAACTGCCTGACAGACGCTATGAGAATTGGTAACACAGCTCTCAGTCTGGAAATTCGGTTTCGTGTTGAAGCAATGAGGTTGAATCTTTGGGGCAAAAGCCGAGGGCTCTCTAACGCCTTCAATGGGGGCCCGAGAGGAAACGACCTGTTGGAAATTGGAGAGATGCGACGGCTGATTTTAGATATACTGGGCAGAATCGCTCAGTTGCTTGAAAAGCATGTCCATGTGACCAAGAAATACCGAGCCCTAGCGGACCCCCAGATATCAGAGGATATAGCCGACAGTTCCTCGTTGTCCCTGCCCCAGGTTATGGTCGCTAAGGCTAAGCTGGACAGCAGAATCGCCGACGTGAGCCAGCGAACCAGCATCGGAGCTAAAATCCGATGGGTATTGCAAGACAAGAATGAGTTGACGGCCCTATTGTCAGAATTAACGGCTTTGAATGATGGTTTGGAACGCTTGCTGCCTGAAGCCCAAGCTCTTTCCCTGTCTCAGAGCCTCGCTGGAGAGATCCTCAGCATTGCTCCGACTCTACCACAGATTAGCGAGAGTTCTTTTGGTGCACACAACCACCAGGCGGCCAGAATTATTTGGCTCCGGCAGCAGAACAAAACTAGTCTTGCAGAGCCGTCAGACTCTTCTGCTGCTCTTTCCCTGTCCGACATTAACACTCCGGTAACGTCGAACGAAACAATTGGGGGAAATGGCGGAGAAGTGGACGGAGACTGGGTTATTCCTGTAACATCTTTCAAGGACTTCATCGAGCTTCGCCTCAAAGACCTTCTCGCTGAGAACAACCACGTGCTGGAAGTCCCAAACGTGCGGACAGTACAGTATTACATTCCAAACGGATCGGATCAGCGGGGGCAATACGTCCTCGTAGAGTGGCGCTCCCAGCAGGCCGAGTACAAATACTCGTGTATTACACCGAAGGCCCTTTCAGAGCGCCATAAACATCTCGTCCGTCTGCTTCATCGCACTTCAATTACTAGTACCGACTTTCGCGTTCTGAGATGCCTAGGTTATACTCACACAACGGGCAGATTGCCCGACGGTCAAGAGCACCCGGTGGTTGGGTTCGTTTATCAGATGCCTTCACTCAATGGGGGTGCCGCTGCAAGAATACCGGTCACCCTAAGGGAGATTCTAGGTTCGGCTTATGAATCTCAAGAGCCCATTGCTCCAGATCTGAATGATCGCTTCGCCCTCGCCTACAATCTCTCTCTTGCTTTATATCAACTACACTGTGCAGGTTGGATCCATCGCAAGCTATCCAGCCACAACATCATATACTTCAAGGACCCCGATGGCGGGACATTTGATGTTACTAAGCCCTTCGTCGGTGGTTGGCAGTACGCGCGGCCAGATCATCATGTGGACCCTAATCCAGATCAAAAAGGCCCAGTCCCTTTTAGTGAGATGGAGAGGGCCGGGGGACCTGTTTCGGGACTTGGGGATTTGGCCATGTATATTCACCCTGATCGGTTGCAGGAAGCTAAGGGCATACCACGCTTTCGCAAAAGCTACGATATCTATAGCTTCGGCGTGATTTTGATGGAAATCGCGTTTTGGGAGCCCATCCTCGTCTTTGCGGCCCCCGATGATCGGAAGAAGATGGGATCCTTCGAACAGTATGGAAGGATCAATCATTCTCAATTGTCGCCAACACTGATAAAGGCGACGGAAAACGAGATTGGGTCGGAGATGGGAGCAAGGTACCGGTCCGTCGTGCTGACTTGCTTGAAGGGACTTGACTCAACCAAGAAACTGGATAACGAGATGGATCTCGAGGACATGAATGGTCTAGAACCAGGTATTGAAAAGGAGTTCTTTTGGCGAATAGTCGAGGAGCTCCGGCGGCACACCGATCTAATGGATTAACTAGTACCTCTATTGTCATCAATGATTCTGTCTTATCGTTCTACAGCTTTCAGTTCATTGGAGGGAGACAATACGCTTTGGATAGCCATCCCAATACTGAGAACCCTATCCTCATCATCATATGCGGATTCCGGGGGTTTATTTTCTTTCCTGTAGTGCGTGGCATCTAGGCCTCAATGGAAAATAATGTGTATGACGGTATGCACGGTAGATCTTTGGAACCTCTGACGTTTGTGCTGGGGGAGACTTGGGTTCTAGTTTATATAAAATGGAGAAACAGATCCAGAAATCACCGCGCCGTGTGAAAATGTAGATATGGAGGAGGTTCGGGCAAGGGTCCTGTACTCCAGATTCAGTAGGAAATCATACTTTCAGGACTTGATGTTGGAGATACACGCCGAGTCGCAATTTGCGAGCCAGAGGCCCCATTGATCTGCAATCAACTTCCGCATTAGCGTCTTGGTGGTGGGGCCCAGAATTAAGTGAGTGTGCAACGGTGAAGATGGTTTTGCACTTGGCTGTACACTCAGCATAGCATAGGTAGGTAGAAAGATCGACGAATTAATTATGTTCAGAAGGATAGACTTTAGCCTCACAAGTGATGACTAGCGCACGCCGCATAGAATGAGAAGGAGAACTGGAGTCGCCTAGAAGATCATCAAGTTACCCGGCACTAGGCAGCCCTCCCACATGATTTGCAGATCCACTATACGATTCCATGGAATTCCACCGACGTTGTACACGCATGGTGTAATTTTCCGTCAGGATACATACAGTACATAGCGCATTTTATTGCGCCCTCAATTTAACACGGCCGGCTGGATAAAATATCCGCGCTAACGCCTTGGCAGTGGGGTCAGGAAAGAGTTTCTCAGTGTATATTGGTCAAGGCGATTTCGAGCACGACTGTACTACGCGATTTGATTTATTCTAGCCATGACTGTGACGTTAGACATTGGTCAACTTGCTAACATTTATATTGATCTTCACTTCGTGAAGCTTTGTCGTCGTGAGGTAAACCTCCTACGTTCAACGCAAATATTGTGATTCAATCACTGGTCATATGGGCTAAGGAAGGTAAACAGTGAATATCCAGTGTCGCCAAGGCAATATGTGCTCATGAGCGCTATCAATTGCATTTCGCAAATATTTTGGGAATTCGTGGTCGACAGTAAAATTTCGTTTAACGCCGATGTCTAAGATTCTTTAATTTCTGCTATGTAATAGGTTGGGATCCCTGTAAGGGGAGTGCAGGCGCTGTTAATGCATAAGCTATGTGGTCCTAGTTTCAATATTGGCAAAAGAAGGAGCAGAATGAGATTATCCATCCAGGCTGAGTCGACAGCTGAACGATCATACATGTCTGTTTTGCTCTAGCTCTGCCCCTCCAGACTCAATAATCTGGTTAAATTTATAGAACGTTGGCACCGTCGTACCTGGTCTCAAAATATCAATATATATATATATAGGGGACACACAGAGAGATAGACAGAAACCTCACCAGGGTATTGTCGAAATAAGATTCCAATACGCATACTCAGCCAGTCCTCTGAGTGAACTTGTCTATGTCGGGTCCTTGTGATCACAGAGTACTGTGCTTCACTCAACCTGAAAAGTAAGTGCCATTTTATTTTACTCGAGACAATATTGACGGTTAAGCCAAGATGAAAGGATCAATTTCGCAGAAATGCATTGTATGCTCGAACGAAAAATATCAGCCCCTCAATATCAAAATTTGCGCTCAGAAATTTGATCCAGGTGCTTGCTGGGCTCTCCTCTGGTCTTTCGTGATCCAGTCAAAACGGCATATTCTCATTCACACGCTCTGCAAGGATTGTGTGGTAAAAACCGAGAGTTTTTTCACAGACGATCAGATTGATATTCTCAGCAGTGCGAAGAACGAGGTGGCTTTGAGGGGCAAGACTCCTTGGAAAAAAAAGCCATGGGAATACTGGAAAACAACCTCGGAGTGCCTACGTATCAATAATACGATCAGTAAGGACGGGGAACTCACAATGGTGCTTTCTACAGCTGCCACAATGGCCCTCTGAGATACTTTAGGATCATTTTGGAAGTGAAACGGTTGGAGAGTTTGTTACAGTACTTCCGGAAATCGGTGTCACCACCTACACTCTTTCATTGTTTCTCGAACCCTAGTGCCAAGGAACACTAGGCTACTTTTAGCATAGTCAAAGAAAAACCCTGGTTTCTTGGCCTTGTACCGTAAAATACCGGATTATTGTATAAGCTGGGCCCTCTGTGTATTACCTGTCATCTCCTTGCCCCACGTCCACCAGTCCCACCACACCCGTCTTCCTTCACAACTGACCACACTAGTGGCGCAATGAACCATGGCACCGAATCTAGCTAAATCTACGCTTGAGTTTATCAGTGATATGATAAGCAGTGGTGAACTAACCACCTCCCAGATGGCTCAAGCTGCTGGCTGCAGCAAGCGCGCAATTATCAGGATCCGGTCTAATCTGCGGCTATTCGGTACCATCAAAGCTCCTTCCATCAAAGCTGGACGGCCGCGAAGCATCACGCCGATCATGCTGGAAGCGTTGTGCGTAGGCCTTGTAATGGAACCGCGAGAGCCGCGGTTCTGAACCGCACCGCACCTCGGAGGTGCGGTTCTTGGTGCTAGACCTTGGCACCGCGGTGCAGTTCTGATGTTTTTGGACCCGAACCGCGGAGGTGCGGTTCGAACCGGAGGTTCCACAAACAGGACAAACCCAAGAAATCCCGTGATATGCATATTTTGTGCAGATTTTGACTGTATTTTTGAGTATTTCGCTTACGGAATAGCTCAAAGGTCAGATGAAAGCTTAGATGGAAGGTATATTGTAAAAGGTCAAATCAAAAACTTTTTCATTCTAAATTCTACTAACTCTATGGCTTTTCATACACAAAATCTTCATCTCGCCTTGATCGCTTTGGAAGCCGTCCTGATGAACGCCTCTGAGTACTGCCCTCTCCCTGTATATGGATATTGTCAGGTAGGGGAACTTCATCCTCTTCATCTAGTTCAATCACATGCTCTTGGTCTTCTGTGACGTTTTCTGCCCATGGTCTTTTACCAAGCGCATGCTCACTCACCGGTTGGACGGTTTGAGATATGGCTGCTGAAGGCTCATCCTCGCTGTCACTGATGAGATCAAATTCACACTCAGCCTTCCGAGCATCCTTTTCCTCCCTTGCTGCTTGCGTCTCTTGGGTGGTGAGATAATCGTCAATCAGAGAAAGCTGTTCAGATTCCATGTCAAACTTTGTTGTGCACATAAACAACATAATATCCTGGATTGTTTGGATTTCAGCGAGCCTCGGCGATAGTGACAAATATCACCAGCAGAGTTGAATAACCGCTCAACGCCAGAACCACTAGCAGGAGTTGTGAGAACGTCGCGTGCTAGGCTTGCGAGGATAGGAAATTCATGCTGGTGTTCCTTCCAGTAAATCCGTGGGTTCATTAGTTGGGTACCTATGACAATCAGCAGGAGAGATTTGAGGTAAAAGGCTAAGTGAAATAACCTACTACTTCCGAGATACCGCGAAAGCTCGTCATGAGTGTTTGTCTGTGGCCGGAGAGATGCGGTCGAGGTCACGAGGATATCAACATCAGAGATTCCTCCTATCAAGGATTGGCTACTCGATATGGACTGTGTCTCTGAATAGCGCTGCTGGTATGGTACCAGGTAATTCTCTAAGCTCTTGCGGTAACGGACACGCCAGTGTGGTTCCCAGTCTTTGCCAGAAAAGAACTCCAGCTTATTTTGTGGCGCCAGGATCGTACCAATTGCATAGAGATCACTATCAATCCCATTGATCAGCTTATAGTACTCCAAGAGCTTCAACCTCGCCGCATGGATAGCAGATAACATCACTTTCTTCCAGTCAACCATCTTTCGCGCAAGCTGAGCTCTAGATTTCTCTAAATGACAGAAAAGGGTGTTGTAGATTCCGAATACACTGTGAGTAGTGATTTCCTTGGTCTTGGAAAGGGATGTAGTGAAGGTGAAGAATGGTTGTGTGATTGAAAGAAGATAGTCAATCTGTCTCCATTCATCGCGGCTTGGTTGTAGCTCTTGGTTGTCGTATTGCGAGCAGAAGTCGTTAAGAACAGACTGTAGGCGTTTCGCACGCCGGAGCATCAAGTAAGTTGAATTCCAACGTGTCCGGACATCTTGTATTGGAACAAGCTTTGGCTCCTTGGTCTGAAGATCAAAAAAAATTCTCTCGGCGTTGGGGGCTTTTGTTGACGAAGATCGCGAGCCGTCGAATCTAGCATATTATTAATAATGATACTATTAGAAAGCATATATATAACCTTACCTTAGAGAGGGTCTGCACGATTCCGCGGTTCTCTCGGCGCGTCCCATCATCTCTCTTAGTCCATTCCATCTCTTCTCTTTCGTTCCTTGGATTTGCTTCCATCTGACCAAGCAGCTCTTTTAGGCTGAGTTGAATGACATGTGCAATGCATGGCATACGAATGATTGGCATATGGTTGGGTAGCTCAAGTGACTGGAGTGTCCCCCGGATGCTGTCCATTAACGTTGAGTTATTAGACGCATTATCTGTGGTAACCGTCAAGACCCGGTCTTCAATCTGATGTTTTTTAAGTAAGTCCAGCAGAACTGTGCTGAGATAAGATCCAGTATGCGCCCCATGCAGCGGTTCAAAGCCAAGTAATATCTCACGATAGTTCCAATCTCTATCGAGGAAGTAGGCTGTCACTGCCATAAAGGCCTGCCGAAAGGGCGAAGTCCAGCAATCTAGTGCAATGGAAAGTTTAGCATCCATAGGAAGCGTCCGAAGAAGAGTGCGTTGTCGTTCTTGAACTAATTCTTGAAGTTGACGGCGGACCATATATGCAGATGGTATTTCCGGAAAGGATGGAGCAAGCCGGGCCATTTCAATAAGGGCGCGAAATTGTGGGTGCTCAACAAGCTGGAATGGTAATCGTGAAGCAGTCATGAAAGTGATTATCCTCTCCATCCAAGCTTGCTGGGTAAACGTGCCTTTTTGAAGGGCTGGCTTAGCCTAAACAGATTTGATTATCTTAGTAGAGATTCAGAGAAACAGAAGATATACATAGTTCAACGTACCCCATTATGTATTAGCCTTCTGATATCCTGCGAACGAGGCGCCAATCTCCGACAATTTACACCTTGTGAATAATGTTTATTCATGGAGGATGTCCCACGATGACGGTCCGCAGGATGGCTTAGAATATGATCACATTTACACATAACCTTGGGAGATCCATCTTGAATAGTAGCTACCTGGTGAAAATGCTCCCAACATTCCGCCTGGTGCTTGCTCTCGAGATATTCCGTTTCGTCTGACTTCCATACTCTGTCTTTAACCACCATGCAACGAATTCGTCATTTACCATCTCTGTCCAGAGGACGTAGGTCTTTTTCTTTCGAGGACCGACGTGCTCGAGTTTCTCGGGGATGGGGGGCGGAAGCGCTGGCCGGGCGAACCCAACGTTTGGCGTAGAACCTGGCGTGTGCTGGCCATATAAAGTATCAGGGTTGAATGGCTGTAAATCATCAGATGAAAGGAACGTGAGGTTATCCACAGGATTATCCTCGAAAATGGATGAAGGATAGCTGTCAGAGAACTGAGAGTCCTGGCTCTGTGACATATTCTCCTATAGAGCTGAGATTAAAAGGGAGGAGTGTGTAGAATAGACCTACAGGAAGTTTCCAGGCTATAAATAAGAGAACTAAATTAGTTCCAGGGGAATCGGGCACCAGCGTAAACTAGAAAAAGCTGACTATGGATATACCCTTTCCAATCTTTGTTGTGATTGGGTAGTCAGCCCCACTATATTGAGGTTCTTTGAGGTTCGAACCGCGCGAAACCTTAGAGAACCGCGTAGGACCGCACAAAGAACCTCAGCTACCCACAAAACGCACCGCAAGAACCGCATGAACCACATCAGGCACCTCCGTCCACCCCACATAGTGACTGAATTCTCCGAATTTTCGTTAAAACCCTTTATCCTCAGTAGATATCACATCTCTACAGTGTTAATAGCGAATACTAGTATTGAAAGGTAGAAGAAAGAATAATAAGTAGTTTCAAGGGAGTGGGATATTAAGACAAGACAGCTTCTAAGTTGCCACCGCGGGGTAAACTGAAAAAGGCCTGGCGAGATGATGGAATAGTAGCTAGATCAAAATATATATTTCTCACTCCACACATTACATTAACGGCTAATCGACCAAAATCAACCACCAAGAGCTTGGAATTTACAGAATCTAGGGGACCTTCAGTTTTCCATGCTGGAGTTTCCATATAAAAGTAAAATACACCAAATTTCATGAGGAAAAGTGTTCCATTGCAACCCTCAGCCATGTATTGACCAAAACAGTGTTTAATAACGAAAAAGAATTAAGGTGAGTCCTCAATTTATCCATCCGAAAAAGGAAAAACTTGGCAAAATTATGCAATCGCGGTTCCACGAGGTTCGAACCGCGACGGAACCGCGTAGAACCGCGGTGCGGTGCGGTTCTTATATTTTAGAACCGCAGAACCGGAGGTTCTGGTGCGAGGTTCCAGACCTTGGAACCAGAACCGCACCATTTTGAGGTCTAGTTGTGCGACCATCTGCTTGAGAAGCCAGATTTATACCTTCATGAGATGGAACTGTTCTTGCTGGATGAATTCAACGTATCCATACCAAAGTCCACAGCGACGCCTTGCATCGCAAAGGGTGGTCAAAGAAGACAGCTCGACAAAAGGCCAAAGAGCGAAACGCAGATCTACGGGATGATTACTGCCATCTGATATCGGAGTTTTGCTCATATCACCTCGTCTACGTGGATGAATCTGGGTGTGACAAGCGGATAGGATTCAGACGAACCGGCTGGTCTCCTCTTGGTACGACGCCTGTACAAGTGTCGAAATTTCATCGTGATCAACGATATCAGATACTGCCTGCATATGCCCAAGATGGCGTTGTTCTCTCTCGAGTGTTCCGAGGCTCGACTGATGCGTCCGTTTTTGAGGATTTTATTGAGCAACTTCTCCAGCATTGCGGAAAATGGCCGGAGCCGAAGTCTGTATTAGTCATGGACAACGCATCCTTCCATCACTCTGAACGGATAGAGCAGATGTGTTCCGAAGCTGGTGTGAAGCTGGTGTCCATATTCTCCAGACCTTAATCCCATTGAGGAGTTTTTTGCTGAGCTAAAAGCCTTCATTCGGCGGCATTGGCAGTCCTACGAAGAAAACCCGGATCAAGGATTCGATAACTTCCTAGAATGGTGTGTTGACGTCGCTGGGGGAAGGGGAGAAAGCGCAGAGGGACACTTCCGACATGCTGGTCTGACCATACAGGAGATGTAGCGCAGCTGCTACCTCGTAGTCCCTGGGAACTTGGTTGCCTCTTAGCGAATAACTAGAAGCTGCAGGCCGATGTAGTCAACGATCTGCTACTGATCATATCACGGATCATCACAAGCTGGGAGGGTGCAAGGCAGGGCGCCACGGTGGTCTTCGTGGCGCCTTAAATATAGAAGTTGATGAAGTGGCTAGAATGGCTGGGGTAGTTAGTAGGCTTGACTTTGGTCAGCTCGGGCCGACAGTCTAGCTGACGGTAGAGCCAGCAGTCAAGGCGGTTCTGGAATTCCACAAATTTCCTAAGACCCGGATCCTATGTCAGGCTGGAGCTATGACACCAAAAGTGTTAACTATAATACTAAACAAATTAGCTATTGCAGGAGATAAGTTATGTATTCCTAAACAAAGAGCGAGAGTGGCTGACACATGATTTGAGATATCCATCTATTCTAACCATTGCTACACGCCGATACGAGTAGAGACGATGAAGTCAGGTATTTGGCCCACACGGGGCACCTGCGGTCTGGAGGGCCGCAGGTGGGCCCCGTGGCACTCCTTATATTCTAGGAGGAAATTATAGAGTTATGCGAGAGCATACATAGTAAAGGAGAGGAGGGGAGGCCCGTGGTGGGTGGGAAGAAACAGTCGCGGGGAGCCCAGCTCTCCCTCGAGACGACGACGTTGTCGAGGGGAGAGTTGTCAAATTAGCCAGCCAGCACGATCTATAGTAGAAAGAGCGGTGTCCGGCACGGAATATCGTGGGTCCGGGAGAGGGCTCCCCACAACGGTCCCGAATAGAACCCATCATTTATCGAATAGCAAATGAGACGTCACCTGATGACGAGGCTAAGTTGACAGTCACTTCAGCGATGCATACCCCGCATGTCTCTCCTGAATGGAAGCAAAACCTTCTGTTGCTGTGATCATGGATCCCGCCATTTCATTTGGTGATTTGAATTCTGGATTACAAGTGGGGATTAACCATGCTCCAATCACCGCTGAGTTTCATCTTCCTACAAGTAGGTTATGATAGTCTTCATTCGGGGTAGACCGTACTGACCTTCATATGGACCTCGACGACAAGTTGCCTATTGTGCATGGGGCTACGTTTGACTCATACATGCATCAGCATGAAGATGAATGTCTTCCAGGCACTAGGGCTGATATTCTGCACCAAATTAGACAGTGGGCTCTCTTACCACACGGGAGATGCATTTTTTGGTTAAGTGGAATGGCTGGGACAGGAAAATCGACCATCTCTCGAACAGTGGCAAAATCCTTCCACCAAGCCAAGCTGCTAGGAGCTAGCTTCTTTTTCAAGAGGGGTGAAGGGGATCAAGGGAATGCGATGAAGCTTTTTCCAACAGTCACAAGGCAACTAGCAATGAGCATTCCCCAACTGATCCCTAGTGTCCAAAGAGCAGTCCATAATGACCCAGGCATTGCGACAAAGGCAATGAAGGAGCAGTTTGATAAACTTCTTCTTGAACCACTCCTAGGCCTAAAGCGATCCGGTCAGCCTATCCAGACTCTGGTGATCGTAATTGACGCTTTGGACGAATGTGAAGGTGATAAGGACATACGACTCATACTCCAACTTCTACCACAGCTACAGAAGTCAAATGCTGTGCATCTACGAGTTTTTTTGACCAGCAGGCCTGAATTGCCGATCCGTCTGGGATTCAAGAAGCTCCCTAACGATAATCATAAAGACCTGATTCTTCATGAAATCCCGAAGGAAGTTATTGAGCATGACATATCACTATTCTTGAATCATCGGCTTTCAGAGATCAGGACAGAAAGAGAACCTCCCCTCCCTATCGACTGGCCTGGAGACACAAATCTTCAAAATCTAGTGGCATTATCCGTGCCATTGTTTATTTTCGCCGCCACTATATGCCGTATATTCGAGGACCCTGATTGGGACCCAGAGGACAGTCTTGCTGAGATCCTTACTCACCAAAATGATGGATCCAAACTGGATGGAACATATCTTCCTGTGTTTAACCAGCTTCTCAACGGACATCGCGAGAAACATACAAAGCAAGCGGTTCAAGAGTTTCAGCAAGTGGTCGGTGCGATCGTGATACTAGAGAGTCCACTCTCAGTTATCTCTCTTTCAAGACTCCTCGGCCTTCCTGAGAGGCTTGTTCATCTTAGGCTGAACAGACTACATTCAGTTCTGAGTGTGCCAGACAGTGAGACTTTGCCTGTAAGGCTCTTTCACTTGTCATTTCGAGACTTTCTTCTTGATCCAGAAACCCGTGAAAAAACTCCCTTTTGGGTGGATGAGAAAGAAATGCATTATAACTTGACCACGCGATGCCTCCTTGTGTGTCAAAATCTTCGGAAGAATATATGTGGGCTACCAAGCGAGGGAACCCACCGTGCGGACATTGATCACCAGACTGTCGATCAGTGCCTTCCTCCAGAATTACAATACGCCTGTCGATATTGGGTACATCATCTAGTGCACTGCACAGATTCGAATGGTATGATGCATGATGTTCTCGTATTTCTCGAGAGGCATTTCCTGCACTGGGTAGAAGCAATGAGCTTATTGGGCATTATATCAGAAGTGGTGGGGATTCTTAATCTCCTACAGACTGTTACACCAGTCAGTTCTTATGAAGATGGACATATGATTCACACTAACAGATATAGGGTGACCACCATCCCACAATGTCTGATTTTCTCCATGACGCAAAGCGCTTTATTCTTAAAAATCGCCAGATAGCTGATGAGGCGCCCCTTCAGCTTTATTGTGCAGGATTAATATTTGCACCTCGAACGGCGATAATTCGTAGAGAGTTCAAAAACGAGCTTCCTTCTTGGATGTGCCAGTTACCACAAGTTAACGAAAAATGGAGTGCAGAATTACAGACCCTCGAGGGCCATACGGGCTGCGTTCAGTCGGTGGTCTTCTCGCCCGACGGCCGGCTGCTGGCGTCCGGCTCTGGGGATCACACAGTGCGGCTCTGGGACACGGCGACGGGCGGCCTACAGCAGACCCTCGAGGGCCATACGCACTCGGTTTGGTCGGTGGCCTTCTCGCCCGACGGCCGGCTGCTGGCGTCCGGCTCCGACGATCGGACAGTGCGGCTCTGGGACACGGCGACGGGTGGCCTACAGCAGACCCTCGAGGGCCATACGCACTGGGTTCGGTCGGTGGCCTTCTCGCCCGACGGCCGGCTGCTGGCGTCCGGCTCCGACGATCGGACAGTGCGACTCTGGGACCCGGCGACAGGGGCGCTACACCAGACTCTCGAGGGCCATTCGGCCGCGGTTTGGTCGGTCGCCTTCTCGCACGACGGCCGGTTGCTAGCGTCTGGCTCTAACGATATCACTGTGCGGCTCTGGGACCCGGCGACAGGAGCGCTGCACCAGACTCTCGAGGGCCACTGGAGTGGGGTTTGGTCGGTGGCCTTCTCGCCCGACGGCCGGCTACTGGCGTCTGGCTCCAACGACTACACAGTCCGGCTCTGGGACCTGACGACGGGGGCGCTGCACCAAACTCTCAAGGGCTACTCGGTGGCATTCTCGCCCGACGGCCGGCTGCTGGCGTCTGACTCCCACGATATGACCGTGCGGCTCTGGGACCCGGCGACAGGGGCGCTGCACCAGACTCTCGAGGGCCACTTGGGTGGGGTTTGGTCGGTAGCCTTTTCGCCCGATAGCCAACTGCTGGCGTCTGGCTCCGACGATATGACCGTGCGGCTCTGGGACCTGTCGACAGGGGCACTGCAGTGGACTCCCGAGAGCCATTCGGCTGCGGTATGGTCGGTGGCCTTCTCGCCCGACGGCCGGCTGCTGGCATCTGGCTCTAGTGATAACACCGTGCGGCTCTGGGATCCAGCGATAGGAGCGCTGAACCAGACTCTCGAGGGCAATTCGGTGGCCTTCTCGCCTGACGGCCATCTTCTGGCGTCTGGCTCCCATGATATGACCGTGCGGCTCTGGGACCCGGCGACAGAGGCACTGCAGTGGACTCCCGAGAGCCATTCGGCTGCGGTATGGTCGGTGGCCTTCTCGCCCGACGGCCGGCTGCTGGCGTCTGGCTCCAGTGATAGCACCGTGCGGCTCTGGGACCCGGCGACAGGGGCGCTGCACCAGACTCTCAAGGCCCATGCGGCTCCGGTTTGGTCGGTGGCCTTCTCGCCCGGTTCATATCTATGGGGAAACGCGGGCCACCATGGTGTGCTCTCCATAGAGCAGGAGCAGTGGATAAGATTAAACGGCGAAAAGGTACTATGGCTTCCTGCAGAGTATCGGCCTTTGTGTTCTGCGGTTAATCGAGGTACGCTTGCCTTAGGACACGCATCGGGGCGCGTTTCCTTCATAGGATTTCATCTATAGCAGAGGTCAATGATTTTCAGCACCATTCCTCCCTCTGTTTCTAATCTCTTTATATAAGATGGGCCTGGGAGAAAAAGAGAATTTTTAGGGCTCTATTGTGCTGGTGGAATGCGCCACAGAATGCCAAGGTAAAGGATCGCCAAACGGTTACGAGACATGACATCAGATGCTAGGTATAGTAAGATACCGTATTATGACTATACAGGAACATTGATATTCCGCAATTTTTCTGAATATAGACTAGTGGGTAATTGGCATTAGGGTTCCAGAATCAATGTAAGAGTCTGGCTGGTGACACCGATTTCCGGAAGCACTGTATCCAACACCCAAGGTATGCTTATATATTTTCTCGCGTCATAAGAATGCATTCAGTCTATATTATCTTGCCATGCGAAGCAAAGTCTAGTATGGTTACAGTACCGTACATTCCTTTGTTCGCTTTTATCTTAACTTCAGCTTAGCAAGGCACATGTGATGCGCTATTCAAAATTTGCTTGACATGCTGAGCGTATGTTTCTCCGTTCTGACTGTTGGCATCAGAAAAGGCAGCAGACCATATCATCACTCCCCCAAACGTGGGATAGTCAATGTATTTTTTGACGAGCTCAGCAAGGTCGCTGGGATTGAGGTAGTATTGTGTACCGCTGGAAGTGCCAGTGGCGGCCAAAGGCGAGGCAGGTATCCCGATAAAGAATCGAGCGTTCTTTGAAGAAGTATTGGCTATATTGCTCACCCAACCGTCGTAATTTATGACTCCATTAACGGAGCATTGCGGGTTGTTGTAAAACTGAACCCAGAGGTAGTCAAACTCTGAATTTGTTATCATCATTTGCATGTGAGGTTCAGGAATGGGACATTGTGGTGCACCGGTGATGTAATAGGTATTGATTGGATCGGACGCAAAATTCCGGCGCAACTTGTCAATCAGGTATTGGTAGTATTTATTGCCGGGTGAAGCTTCAATATCAAAGTCCCACCCATCAAGGAACGTATTTCCAAACGGACGGGGAACTGCTCTTCTGCTGGTGTTGCCGTATGCCTCCCACAGGTTTTGGCCAATTGTCTCAGCTTCTTCCCGCGAGGAAAGCGAGTACGCTCCGGAGGCACCCCCCAAAGACAAAATCACCTTTACGCCGTTTGTCTTGCATATCTCAATAGCAGCTGCTAGATTCTCACAATTCTGAGGTTTACCAGAGGGAGAGATATAGCATGACTGCCCAATTGTCCCTGAGGCGATAGTTTTTCCATTTCCGTACTTGTACAGAAATGCAAGTAGAATAATATCAATTCCTGATTCTGGGGTACAATAGCTGGCTAGATCGTTGTTCTCAACCGCGCTGCCTCCATTCTGGCCCCAGTAGATTACCGTCTGGGTGTGTTGCTTACGCGATCGTAATTGAGAAGTTGCTAGTACAGCGTCTGCTGCAGCGCTGACTGTCCAGAAGATAGGAAACCAGCGCATATCGAAGAAATCACGATAGGCAATACAAAGCGGACTTGGTAAGACGCAGCTGCGAGTATGACCTATAACAATTAATAAGGCGTGTAAAGAGTATTTCAATAAATATACTGGTACAGTATACTTGCCTTGGTTTTACTAGCTTAGGAATAGAATTCCATCCGTAAAGCGTTCTGAGTGTTTAGTTATACGTATGAATAATATTTTGACCTTATCGAAAAAATGAGGATGTATATCTTTTGGCTGTTCCCTATTCTGGTACCCGTTATAATGTAAAAAGCTCCGACACTGTTGCGAAGTAGTATGAAATAAATATTTTGGGTCACGCACGTCCTGGCGAACATGACTCGCCAACATCTGTAAAGCCCCATAAACTCCTATTTCCTTCCTTGTCTATCTACTCACTATCATTTCACCGGGGGAAGCGCCATTCCATTAGCGTGATATTTGCTTCCATCGCAATCTGACTCTGGCGGTCCTTGGGTTGACGCAGGGCGCAGCGATATGTTCATTGCCTTAACTAGCTGGTCGTCATAAAGGGATTCCTACGAATCGAAGCCCGTTAGGGAACTAATCGGGGTGCTACACTTCCCTTCTACATTTGATCAAATTGGACTCTACGCAGTGATAGATACTGCTGTTGTTCATTTCCTCAACTGCGCCATGCTGGGTCCATCCTCCTGGTGAACATTCGATATGTACTGCGACGCTGTAGTTGGATCACAAAGTCTGATCCTGTTGGATCCATCCCTGTCGGTGAACGTTCGCTATCTGTACTGCGACGCTGCAGTTGGATCACACGAGTCTGGCTGTTTTCGCGTGCGCCGTGTTGGATGGACTGTTTCTAGGCAATACGGACTCTATCCATTCCAGTAGCTGTATATGGCTCCCTACCAGCGTACGCGCCGCCTATCGAGTAGATCGGTCAATGCGAGTGCGTGTTTCTAGGCTTAGCATCGCCTTCAATATAGGCTGCTAGGATCGGACAGATAACGGGTAAGACCAAGGTAGACTGTGGGATGCAGTGGTGAGAATATCACAAGTACGACCCGGCGGACGGGCCAGTTTGCCCCAATGCTTAGAAGTAGAACTTGAGTTCATTGCTGTTGGCATCAACTAAGTCTATCTTCACCAACTGAACGATATTGGTTGAACTTTGCGTCAGCGTCCACTGCATCTGCGGTGTGCTACAATATTCCTACAGAACACGATTCTAGTGCCTGTAAGTTGACCCGCCTTGTCTGAAATGCAGTGTTTGTTCGAGTTTGGCTGGATCCTAAAGTTCGGTAGCTTGCATGATACGATTTAGCTAAACCCACCTGAACAAGCACACCCTTAATGGTTCGCAGAATTTTTTGTTCACCGTGAAATAGCTTTGGTTCAACATAAAAAGTATTTCTGTGGCACAGGCGCAGTTGACTACAGGACCTTAGGCAAGCTCACACGAGGTCGGCCGTGTTTTAGTGGTCGGTTCACCCGACACACTCTGCTAGTAAACATTTCACCGTTTACTACCGTACTAGAGGGCAGCAACGCTAGTTGGTATTACAAAAGATTCAGCACGACAAACAGAGAAGCTTCTACTGATACCTATTGAACACATCTACTGCAACGAAGTAGCAGCTGGTACCACGCTAATCTAAGAGAGCTGGCAAGGGGAGTTTAACACACCACTGATTACGTTCATCAAGATACCGATAGTGGAGATCGTTGCGATTTTTCTGCACGCCGGGGAGATACTAAAATCACGCAGCTCAATTATTCCCACCATCTTTAGGGTATCAGTTGAACAGGCATTGACGAACTTTGTGTTCAACATTCAGCGTTTATGTCAATTCTACCGCGTAGTCATGTTACCTGATGGGAAAGATCCAATCAGGTGAATCACATGCGGTTGAACTACTGTATCCCGAAATTAGACATATTCTATTTCGATCAGTTGAAGCTCACTCAATGTTGAACGGCGGGGTGGATCAAGCACGCCACTGAATCCAATCCGGCTGGACCCCATTCAGTAAGGTGCTATTTAGGGACAAAAGATAGTGCCATGAATTGATTGTCCACATCTAGCTGCCATAATACTGGTGAACGGGGCTACTCTTAACAGTTTGCTTCGACTAGAATCCAGGCAGAAAATTGGAAATCTGTTGAACGGCGTATTCTAGCTGAAGTCAACTGGTTACAATTTGGTTACTGCAAATTATGTGACCAAGACTGTGACTATCGCGGGCCAATCGTTTTCACTTTACTTATAGTCTCTAAGACAATTTTCTCCCTCTCCCACCCTCGCGAGGCACGTACCAATTATATTTACTTGAATATAGACCTGATTGTATTTCGTGCCACATCCCGGAAGCTATTACTGTATCGCCTATACACTATGCCTTCCACTGGATGGTCTGATGAGGAAATAATCATCGTCATTTATTTTGCATCCAGGGGCTTCAAACCCTCAATTGTTGGTGAACTGCTTGCTCGACGGCAATTCTCGCGCAGCCTCGAATCCATTGAAACAAAAATATCAGAAATTGTGAACGAGAATCCAACCCTGCAGGTAGAATCCGGCCTATGGGACAATCAATCTGTTGATCAGTGGATCGACGGCCTCTCACTTCACCCTGAGACAGTTAGTGGGTTGATTCGGTTCACAGAAGCCGACGCCAACATGGTTCAGGAGGTTTGATCTCGCACTTCACGGTACATTGCCTCTGCTGACTGGATTGAAAGTTCGAGTCTCTTCATGTCATACTGGAAAATTTAAATTTGCGACCTGAAGTCCCCCGATACTCGAAGCATTCACTCCTTGGTATTTAACCTTCTGTATTGGCGTTGATCTTACAGTACGGTGCATCATCTCGAAAATTCATTCCCTCACTATCCATAGATGCAATTGCAGACTACAAGATGTTGTAGGCGATCGGCTGTCTTTAGTATTACAGTATAGTATAGCATACAAATGGTAGCTTGATGCGTGTGATTCGTCAAAGCTAAGTACTGTACATATTTGACGAACAATCCGTGGAGGATTTACCCTGACATAATCTTCTGGTAAGAGGCAGTACACGTCATACTGACAGGAGTACCGGAAGAACTCCCGATATGGATCTTGTAGCATGTATGTTGATTGTATTGTTAATGGAGTTCTGTGGGCCACGACCCAGTATTATAGATATAGATCTAACCCTAATGCATGAGGTAGTGCGTATCAGGGTGACAGGACAATGCCATCAGTACAGGGGATCCAACAGGTTGCACCAGTTTCGGGAAGCAATGTATGACTATTTAGGAAGTCACCAAACATTGGTGGTCTAGTCCGCCGATTAAATCTTATCTGATGGACTGACTCGGTGATCATTCATGCAAGCTGGAATTATGTCTCTCCTACGGCATATTACGGGGAACTTAAGCACCAAGGATCATCGATGCTGTGATATTTCAGGACATAACCGCCTACATCGATAGCGTCTCTATTGGAATCGCTCACGAGCGAGGCATCTAATCATATCGTCTCTTGGGCGCAAAGGGTATTTAGATTTCGAAGAAATTTTATCTCTTTGAAGATTTAAGACTGAATAATCTGCCCGCAGTACAGTACAACCGCTGTTTAGTCCGACATTTCCCTATCGTATAACGCCATGGTACACTTACACGACATCCATAATTATCTTGAACTAGAACAAAGTGATCTAGTCTGTACTAAATGAAGTAGATCCCCATTATTACAGTACCGTGTTTCTCCAAATGCAGTTATCTGTTTCATATCTACGATTCAAGCGGTCGGCAATTCATGGATCATAGATTATCTCGCACGCAAATGGCGGTAACTGAATTTTATCTCCGCGCATTAGATTCGCGTCAGTGAGCAGACGCCAACAGCTGGTGGTTGCCGCCGGGAGACGGCCAGAAATCCTCACACAACGGTAGAATGCGATCATGATGTAATGCCAGGAGGCTGGCTAGGCTTGCATGATACCGCATGCAGCAATGCAGCTGCATATACAGTCGAAGTTGAACAAAACCTGGTCCAACACGATATTTTTCTGGCGGCAGAGTTAACATTCCGTAACGCCTACTGCGCCTGCGTCGCAGCGCATGCTCAATGGAGAATCACAATATGTAGCACCCATTATGGCCCTCGAACTGCACCGCGGGGCGCTCCGTTGGCATTGTCCGGGCTTGTATACCATTTTCCAGGCCAAAGCAATCGAATCGTGAAAACATCCACTTTTGTCATGATCAGCTCACGCGAACGTAATAGTCCGTTTGCCTCGCGGCCAGATCTCATGAATTTACTGAGAGCACATCTGCTTTGGGATACCAACCGTATTGTCCTGAGACCCCCTGCCATTAAATAAATCCGCTACACATAGTCTTCATTCGTGCGCAGCCACATTGGCCAACCAGCTGACCAATATGCGGTGACGATGTTCTACATCGAGTCCCCCACAAGCGGCCAGGTGAACCGATCCCTTCGGATGAAACCCAAATCGGCAGAGCGACTGCATGACGGTACAATGCACGGCTCAATGTGCGTTGCGCTCGTTTTTAGAAGCCGAATGTAAACGTATCTAGGTAGTTCATAGCATCTTCAATGTCAGTACAGTATCGGATTGGCTCAGATTGACAACATGCATATCTGCGACATGAATAGTCACACTTTTCCATTTCGGTGATAAATCTCGCTGGTGATTGACACTGGGTCAGATCAGGCTGGCATGGCATTGAGTTGTGTCCGTTCAGAGTAAATATTTGAACCCGCTAGCGAAAGCAAATGCTTGTCTTTATCTTTGATTAGCTGGCACGTGTCGGCACAGGACTAGTAAAATGAAGAAGTAGCGCATCGGCCGCCCCGCGTGCCCTGGCTGCCTTGTATGTCCACGGTGTGTTCTATGGGTGTCAAGTACCATGAAGAGGCCCCGAACTAACTAAAACGTGAAGAATTACGTGTATCAAATATAGCGACATCCCAAATGGAAGTGCAAATCACGAATGAATAAATCTCTGATTAACTAAATCTGAGAATACCAACAATTTAAGGGCGAAACTAATCAAATCGACTAGTACAAAATGGGAAAATACCGTAAGAGGTACCTCTTGCAACCTGTAGGAATTCCAATCCTTGATTCTTGGGTTTATATGCACTTAATAATGTCTTCTGGGTGGGCGTTTGGGCTGCGGACTCTTTTATGAAGGCGCTCATGGTAATGCTTACTGAGTAGATTTCGAGACCTGTATAATGACCTTGAAGAATGGCACAGGCAAACAGGTCTTGCCATGTTTGTGAACTGTTTTCCTAGCTCAAAGAAAACCATAGGGAACAGCTGCGCCAGTATAATGTTAGAGGATGGGATTTAAGTTAAATGGTTGAGCAATGCGGAAACGGGTGATGTAGAAAGGCTGGCAAGGAAGCAAGGAGGAAGGAGCGCACAAGGTATGGGATGTTTTGGAATCTGGCTCGCAGGCTTGAGATAGGTTCGACTAAATTGCGATTTCTAAATTGCGATTTCCTCAGGTGGACATAAATGATACCAAGATCTGCCGTGCGAGCGTACGCAAGATCTTGCATCTGAGAAAATCCATTGCAGGCTTTCTCACCTATAAAACAAAACCAATCCCTGGAAATGAGTCCTTCCTATTACAGAAACCCCCAGTGAAATGCCCCATAGTCCGCCTTACGAGTAGGTGATTCGACGGGATCCGGTGGAGAGGTTCATCCAATGCAATCGTGCGGATCGGAAATTATGTCTGGCGCTGAATCCCCCCCACCATCTCAGTCGAAAAACGATAAATAATCTATGTTCTGTAATTCAGAAGGTACGAAACGATGCGTGTTGGGTTGGCAAGAGTTGGATCGCCTGGAGTCTGCAACTGCGTCAAACTAAGCTAGATCTAGTACGATCGACCATTAGGCGCCGGGAAATCAAGCCACATACGAGGTCTCCACGGCCGTTGTCCATCACGTGCGCTTCGGGACGCCGCTGATCAGGAATACTCTTGAGGGCCAACTAACAACACGCCGTGTCTACTTCAGCTTAAGACCCACCACAGTGACATCGCGATGAGACGAAGGTTACACTCATGGGATGGGGATTCTCACGGTGAAATGCCCTTGTAATTCAGGACCGACACATGGCCAGAACGCTCATTTTAGAATAGCGCCAAACGGCCCGACGAAATGACTCGGCCCATCCTTTCATTGGCACCCTGTATGCCCCTGTCTCTTTCCTTTTCTCGCCTAGTAGGCGAAGCGAACCCAACAATGAATCTCGCTGTACGTGAGGCAATTGGCCAACTTTCAAGGACTACGCCAGTGAACCCTGTCTCTAGCCCGCTTGTGGAGCCGTTCGGGTTCTGGCGTCGGAGGGGAGGAGATTTCCTATTGACGGGGTCTCACCGACCCAACAACTATCCTTGTTGCCTGTGAAGTGATTGGACAAGGCCAGTGAGCTTCTCCTGACTCACCTCCCAAGGTCAGCTGGTTTCGGGGAAGGAGCTCTGTCTCGATCAGTTCTGCGGCACTGTCAAGGAGACCAAAATTTTGCCACCGTGTCACAACCGCGCCTAACCTTGCCGTAAGGATGCTGAACATCATTTTATGAGGGTAACCTTCCCTCCCTTCGCGAGGTGACCGTGGTGGTCCCAGAGTTGATAAAACATGGCGAATGTTCGTTGCCCTGGCCAATCGTTTGTCGTAGGAGCCTTGCGCTGAAGTCCTACCAAACAGCGGCGCGTTGTCGCGATGCATGTGAGTCTACCTTACCGTGTGGATCCCTGAATTGCCTACGAAATCCATCAATTGTCCTACTGTCCTGCCACAGCCGCTCGGGTATGTGCTTCGATTGACTCTTGGACCCTCACTCACAGGGGGAAATACGGACGATTTGTTAACCTGTAAGTGGGCTACCTTTCGCCAATGATTTTCAGCTTAGAAGCGCCGTTGGTGATTCAAGCCGTCGGGGGCCACGGAATGTGGAGTCTTCTTGGCGGAAGGAACACAGAGTGGAGAGAAGAGCCCGCAGTGGTCAGGCCCCTCGTTTTCTTAGGACCAACACCAAGCACGACATAAATGCACCAGCCGTTTATGGGTCAGGTTGACAAGAGTGTCATAACACGCTAGCTCGGTTCCTATTGGTAACCTATCTGTAATCTATTAACAGTCCCTGCCAGTGCCGCGCGATGTGCCATTGCACATATTTGATCCCTGCTGGCTCTCAGAGGCAAGATATCCATTCGAGGAAAGTCTTCGTTCTTTTTCTCTCCCCCTCCTTCCCGGACCTACGTCCCCCCCAAACATTTTGATCCAGGTCATTGAAATTAGCCGACCGTTCTTTTCAAGTGTATGTAGTGTGCGCAGCCTGAATGTCTTTGGAAGCTAATTTAGTCACTCTTCAAGTTGTTCATCGTTGAAAATGGATTCAAATCTTGCGGACAAATATTCTTTAGATGCCGAAAGACAAGAAGATCATTCAGCATTGCGAGATGGCGAACAACAACCCCGCTTACAACAATTCGATCCTTCACGCAAACAACTCCTTTCCATTCTCGAGTTATCAGGGTCCTTTCACGCAACTTTCCAGGGTGACACTAGCATCGCGAGGTATTTCAACGTTCCGCTTATGAGCGACACTGTGGCAGAGAGGATAGCCTGTCTATTCAACGACCCGCATCCGAAGGTCATTGAATCTGTGGACGATGACTTTGGTGACAGTATTAGTTGGATAGACATTATTCGCGACCAGACATGCGACCTGAAGCTCCAGACCGATGGCAGCTATCATTGTCGCCTTCAACAGCGCAGAGCGTTAATCAAAATATCCGAATATGACCGCAACTTGATTTTCTCAAACGATCTCCGAAACCTTGTTCACATAAAATCCCACGGGGGTGATGTACAGGCGGAGATAGATACGATGAAGCTGGTGAGAACGGAAATATTGTCATTGAATGACGTTGCCATGAAGTGTTTGCATCCCCTCGAGATGCTTTAGTTTTCTCACGATCGCTGACTCGGTCGAGAGCAGTGGTGGATATGAATAATAGCATACTTGGTACACTGGATGCCAAGCTAGATGAGCTTGAAAAACCAGACAAGACGTCTTGTCCCGCTCAAGCTGAATCGATTTCCGCGTGCAACTCGAACGAGACCGATTTGCCAGTTCACTTGCCCCGCGTTAACGGACAAGGAGCAATTCGAAAGAGAGGCAGAAAAAGTCGGCGTGGGTCTGACCTCATGGTAATTGGACAGAAGCTTCCTGTTGACACTAAATAGGCATGCCTCGCAACCCTCCCTGGACCGATGAGGATTTGGACAATTTACCTTCGTGGTTCGAGCCGCGGCGTCATCAGTCCCTAGAAGAGATTGAGCGTGAATTCCTGCGCGACTTTCATCACTACCGGAGCCTCTCTGCCATCCAGACCAAGTTCTATGATCAGAAAAAAAAGACTAAGAAAGACGTCGGACGCCTTCGCAACGAAGGAAAGACTGTTCGTGGAAAACAAATAGTCCCGCCGCCTACTGTGCCCCCGCTCATTCCTCGTACGACAGTAAATCCTGAGACTTTTGAATCATCATTGATTACAAATTCTCCTGCTTGTCCCGAAGAACCTCCTTGCTCGCCCCTCCCGCGAAGTTCTCAAGAGGGACGCATGTTGAGCAAAGAGATTGTTACAACTGAGCAGTCACCACCAGGACATCTTCATGTAGGACGCTCTGAGTCACGGGCTACACGGGATATGGCGGAATGGGACTTATTAGGTCAGTCTGCGAGCTTGAATGATTCTCAACCAAAGTCACTCGAGGATAGTCAAACTTGTATCAATATTCCGTTATCTGCCACCGACATGGTCCCTGAAATCGAGAGATTCTCCGAAACGGAAATCCAAACAAGTGGGCACAATTCTATTGATCATCAAGGTGCAGACGAGAACCGCAAAGAGGATCAGCATGTGTGTGGACCAGAGTCCGTTTCCTCGCAAATGGAAGGCAGGCCGCCGTCCAGTTTAGAGAGTGAAATACTGTTCCATACTGGCAGGGAGGCTGTGGTTTCGCAGAACCATACGGTCGTCACAGCCAGCCCCGTGATGAGCAATTACGGCATAGGATCCTATACTGAGATGGAATTCATTTCCCCGCCTTTTACAGCTACCGACGACCAAGAATTTATGTCCACCGGAGCAGATGGGGCGCAGCCGGCGCTGAGCAACCAAATCGAAAGCAGAGGACTCGAGTACCAAGAGAACCAGGAAGTCCTGCCAGAAAATCTCGAACAAGATGACAATGATCGAGATGTCTCGCACAGACCCTTGACGTTTGTTAACAATCACAACCCAGTGTTTCCTGAGCATTCTAGAAATGAAGCTCAGCCAGAACAGGACACAAATTCTACCAGGGGCTCCGTGAATCCACCGGATAACGTTCCGCCTATCCCACGTTGCGTCATCGAATCCGGTGAACGAACTAACCTTAATACGTCAGGCGATCACCTATCTGACCAGCTCGAAATTCTTGAAAACTCAAATCCAAACAGGAATTTGTCCCAACCCGACGCGCAGCTGAGCAGCGCGGCACATCTCGTTCAGCTGAGAGATGTCACTGATGTACAGCCTATGGATGCACAGCAGGAAGACAAACAAGACCAAGATTTACAGACTGCCAATGCCGGCGCTCCAGTACCATCTGCACCCAATTTTCAAGCTGCATCCTCAACTTGTGTCCCAGGGCCAGGACAGCGCCAGGCGGCGAAACCAAAGCGAAAATATAGCCGCAGAACAAAGACTGGTTGTGTGACTTGTCGACGAAGAAGAAAAAAGTGTGACGAGAAATATCCTTCATGTAAGTCGAGAATTACTTTGAGCGGCCTTTCCGGCGACATTTAAAACAGCGTTTCAAAGGCTAATTGAGCCCTCCAGGCAACAACTGCATTCGAGGTGGATATCTATGTGAGGGTTACATGCCGCAAACTACTCTACGCAGGAAACAGAGGCTTCCAAGCTTAGAAACGCTCTTTCCGCTGACGTCGAGACAAGACCCCTTAGATATCAGTGGACGGCATCCACAAGAAATGTCCCAGCAACGTGACAGACAATTCAACCTGGTCGAAGTCAGCTGGCCATCAAGGCCGATTGTGACTGACAATACTCAGCAGTCAGCCCAGGAATACAACCTCAGCACAAGTGGCACACGCTCCAGCCTCACGTCCTGGTCGGAACGAGGCTTGTCCAGTGACACATATCACTCGCATACGGTTCCGGATTATCATAACGCTCCGCAGATACGCATATCGCACGAGTCTCAGCCCAGATCCGGTCCGCCAACACTTACGCATCTCCTGAATTGAAACTTGGCAATACCGCATGAAGTATACTGGACACTCAGTCGGAAGAACGAGGAGAGACGAATCTGGCATTTACGATGCTCTCCAAATCCTTGGAAAGCCTAGAGCAATAAAATAGAATTTAGATCTTTTCCTAAGATGCCTACGTGAACATTATTTTGAGGAAATTATCGTGTCGAATATTTTGTTTCATAGAGGAATAGAGCCTCATGGAGCCGCAATATTAATCGCTACTGGAGTGAAGTTTAAACGAATTGATCTCCATTACATTGTAGCTGGTGGCAGCGGATGGGAGACCTTTTCAATTTTGGAGAGTATCCAGCAACTTATTATTCTTTCTATGGAGCCGACAGCATAAAACCCCTCCAGCCCAATGACATTACAGTTTCACGAAAAGGGTTTGAATTGTACTTCCATATTGTGATAATTCCAAGGTTCCTGTCGGTCTCATTTTCTGTAGCTGATAGTATTATAGCGCACATAGGGATTTTCTTTGCAGAATTGCGCATGAAATTTGTCCTCATCGGCAAATAAATCTGGATGTGCTAATTTTGTCTTGAATAAGACATTTCAGTGCCCGAACGGTATCCAAGTGACGTTCCATCCTGGAACTTCAATTCTTTGTCATGTTGCATCAGAACACAAAAAGGGCAACAAAGAGACTCTACGCAGTCTCCGCAGGCTGAGCCTTTTATGTTGGAGGACCCCCTCATGCCGCCTCTTTGGATCATAAGTGGTACCCATTGGAGTCCACAAAGCGTAAGCGAAGCGAATAAACAACACTAGGAATGGACCATTAGTATTATCCTAGATTCAATCCAAAGTTCTTGCTTCATACATCAAAGTTGCAGCAGCTTTCTTTATGGCTTCGTTTTTGTCGACGCGACGAAATTTTCCCGAATAATCCGCATGGCCAACAGCAAGCAAAACAACCTACAAGGATGTTAATACTGGTCTTCTTCGATTTGGTTATAGCGGATGGAGAGACTCACAAGTTGTCTTAGGAGTACAGCAGCTCCAGAATGAATTGCTCCACTCTGCTTGGGCGTCCGAAATCGACATATTAGTGTGTGGGATGTAGTTTTCAGATGATATAAAATCTAGATGGGACGAGCGAGAGGTGAGATTAAAATAGCCCATTTTCCATAACACCTCAAACTTATCGGCAGCAACTGGCAAAGACGATTGGAATCTACCTCCGTTCCTCCAAGCTCTACTATGGGTACAACGGTTTTGTTCAACATGGACTAAATTAACCTGACTTCCAGTAACTAATGTTATTGCAGTCCCACTGGAAGATGGTAGGCCCCATGAAAATAGTGGAGGTCAACTGGCCATGCATCTTTAAGACCCTAACCATGCTGTGTCGTATCAGTTTATAATGTACAAATGTTGACCAGATGGTTTTGCCAATTAGGCTACTGTAGCTCAGACAATTCAAACGATCGGGCTGATTTACCCTAAGAGAATTCAAAAAAATATATTCACCGCAGAACAGTACGAATTAGTTGGATCCTCTGTCCGCAAAAGAATTTATTATCCGTTCCTGGTCAACAAAGAACTACGGACTTCGATAGTTGTATCAGTCTGACACATATAGATAAGACTATGGATACAGCATTGAGAAGCATACGTGGATGGCTGATCTAATTCCCAGCAGCTTTAACTATCGTTGGTAGCAGCAGCCTTAACATTGCAATGCAAATGTCGTACACATCAATGGGAAATGGTAAATCGTTAGAGGAAGATCCAGTTTCTTGAATCACGAAATTCAAAAGACCAGAAATGTTCAACGGCGCGTTACTTGTTTTCTGCACAGACACGAACCAAGGCAGACATGAAATTATTGGCCAGATTAAGCACAGTTTGCGGTGGTAGAACTAGAAGTAACATAATTATCTCCAAGTGGGCTTACCAGACATATGTTGTTCAACAGGATACCTATATTCTGCATAAGCCCAGGCACTAAATGTGTCGTCTGATCAGGAATAACTTCAAGCACAATGGCTGTATGTGAATTAGCTTGCACTAATCCCCAGGACAAGTTGGATTGAGAATATGCTGCTGGTATCATGAAGAAACTGCTATTTTCTTAATTACCTACGAGGTGAACATATACTAGCATGATATTTGGCCATAATGCAGGGCTCGAGAACGGAAAGTTGAACAAAAGAGGATGAACAAAGGGAGAGTTTCAGGATACTCTTTAGAATGGCTATGGTAAACGAAACGAACAAAGTGACTTTACTTAGTCTCGAATGGTGAAGATATTCGAATTGAATGTATTTTCCTATCAGAGACCCTTTCGTCTCTTCGAAGCCGCTCCTACATCTGGGCAGAGGTTTTAAATTCAAAGAGGAAATTGAACGTCAGTTCACCAAAATACGAGGTTAGTTGTCTTTACAGTTTGCCATGCTAGAGTTCAACATCACAGCCGCTAACAATACATACAGATTTGGCAGAAGTATGTAAAAATTGAACTTCTGGTGAATTTTCAAACAGTGAATTACTTGTTCTTTCTAATATTGTTGCAATCAGACACTAACATGCTCTCGAGTGTCGTGTAAGGATGTTCAACTATTGCCTTTAGAAGTTGAATCGACTTCTCATCCTCGACTCATCGTTTGCAGACAACCAATCTTCCTCATTCGCCCAAAACCAAAAACTACACCAATGGATCTTCCTCATAGCATATTATTTCAAATTAAATTAATTTCTGCACTGATTGACAATGAACCTAATTTCCAAGCATATGACTTGTTGATTGCACATCTAAGAATATGGTACTAACTGACAGTCGTAGTCATGCAACCCAGGTCCTGAATTTAAAATAGTTACTCTCACGGTGTAGTCATTACTGTACTGGTCCATCCTTCATTGGTTGCAATATGAATAGGCCGTTCACCACAAGCTTATCGAATCCTAGGGGTGACCAAACACAATAAGGTCCCCTACGAATATGCCCAATGAGACTCTTTATTTGGCGTGATAGTGTTATTTTATTTTATTTTCATTTTTTTCCCTCGGTATCCAAAAATAACAACTACCATTGGTTAGGACGTAATCCGTCTCTTTAGGATTACAATAACAAAATAAAGTTGAACTCGGGACGGAAAGAAAGCTATACTAGTCAAAAATCTCTATAGTGCACACGGACTTGGCTACCAGGATAGGAAGAACGCCATGAATCCAAGCTTCCATACGCTTTCTACCGCGGTATTAGTGGATTTCTACTCCAAGCAAATGTCACTGCTCCTAGAGCATTATTGGAGTGCTCTAAGAGTATAGTGTAGATGCCGCGATCTGCTCCTAGAGCACTTATTCCTGCTCTGAGCCCAATCCGGAGGAATGGGAGTTATGCAGGGTCATAGTACGGATTTTGTGGAACATCAAGAGTAAATTCTGTTGCAGCTTATCTTCAGCAACTGCATGGCCTGCTATTGAGTACTAATTACACTAAGCGGGTGATCAGTTGGACAAAGCACAGAGGCAGAAGACGGTCGGGGATTGCGGCACTTGAGGTTTGTATATACATATAGAGAGGAAGAGAAAGCTAAAATTTACATTATGGATACGATGAAGCAATTAGCGATATAATTGAAAGAGGAACCTTACGATTCTACTCATTAATGCATGAGCATGCTACCATTATGTTCGAACTTAGCCGGTTGATGCCTAACTACGTTACAGATGCTACTGTAACTATTGTATTAAATTTCTTCAGGACAAATGCTTTTGTTGATTTTCCACAGCCGAAGCTCTGGAAACTTGACATTTAGAGGCTCAAAGCAGTGCGGAAATAACAATGGAAGGAGCGACGTCACCTTCTCATGAGGAGTACAACAAAACTGCGGTGGTTGTTAGCCCAAATTGCCTTCTTATACTGTAACCTTCATCCCCCCTCTTCTCATCCTCTGTTGCCGTCTGTGGTATGGATGAGCGAATGATGACCAGCTTCTTAGCGCCGTATCACTTTTCAGTTCCCATCTACCTCACTGCGGGATAAGGAAGGCACACTAAGAATCCAGTTATCAACGAGCTTAAGAACCTATTCGCTCTACGATATGCGTAAGTCATTTGACAATACAGTCGTGCTCGAAATCGCCTTGACCAGTTTACACTGAGAAACTCTTTCCTGGCCCCACTGCCAAGGCATTAGCGCGGATCATTATTGAGCTGGTCGTGTTAAATTGAGGGCGAAACAGAAATGCGCTGTGTACTGTATGTACCCTGACGGAAAATTACACCATGCGTGTAAAATGTCGGTGGAATTCCATAGAATCGTATAGTGGATCTGCAAATCATGTGGGGAGGGCTGCCTAGTGCCGGGTAACCTGATGATCTTCCGGGCGACTTCAGTTCTCCTTCTCATGCTGTGCGGCGTGTACTGGTCATCACCTGTGAGGCTGTCTCTTTGGCCTAGAGAACCTCAACAAGTGATATTAGCGACCAACAACCATTCTGACCACTTGGCTGTTGTTTGTAGGCGAACAACACCCTCAACCGCTCCTGATGGTGTAAGCCCTCAACTAATAATTACTCACCTTTAGTCTGTCGTTACAGTAGGCCCAAGAAAATGACTCCCAGTTTTCTCGTTTACCATGATGACTATGGCGTTCAACAAAGCATGGCGCTTGACACGTGGGGGGCGACGATACATCGCAATATGCACCAACACCTGGCAACTTCCGTTGGTCAGCCGCCTCCCCGTCCGACATAAGCTGCATCAACGTCGATCCCATTTCCCCTATCGATTACGCATCTCCACATCAAACTGCTTCGCAAAAGAATAGTCTTCCTTTACCCCAGTACGGTGATTTGGGGGAAGATCGAACATATGACATCCACTACTTGATCGAGTGGAAGGTCACTCTCAATAACAGGACGGTGGCGAAAGATACAGAACAAGATCTGGTTCTAGTCCCTCGATTTCACTGGAGGCCCTTTTTACAGTACAACCAAAGCTAAAGGAGCTACTTGTACGAAAGTACCCACATCGAAAACTTGAATCGGATGACACGTCTGTTGTCGTATCCGCCACTCGGCAGAAGGGCCTCACTCTGAGGTTTGATGGAACGGACATTGATTGGACCTCTATAGAAAAGCAGCTTTTGATTGGGGAGACTTTTTTCTTGCTGGCAAGAAACTGAGACTAGTTATCTCATTCAATTACATGGAGAACGCTTCGACCTCAAACGGAAGTGGCAGGACGACTGGTAAACGAGGCACTTCGTCTGCCACCTAGCGGATGCTGCTTCAACGTCGCGCAGAGATCAATGCTGAAGAGGAGGCCACTGGCCAGCCTGACTGGGACCATTTTTACAGTCTGATACGTTGTTCTAGCCGAACGTGTGAGCTGGGGCCGCACTGCTGGCGCGATCCTATCAGCAAGAAGCATATTAAGCTGACTGTACAAAATCTGGGGGGCCTTGTGAATCATATGGAGCAGGGGGGTGTATTGACATCGCACGATGACGTTCCTGAGTCATTCGTGAAAAAATTATATATACAGGAGCAGCAGCGACTTGAGAGACAAATGGGAGCTTTCCAATCCACAACTGGATATCCTCCCATAAATATCAGCAATGTCCTCCCTGCGTAGTCCTCCCCTCTTTCTGTTCCAAGTTCGCCGACCCCTATGTCGGCCATGTGTCCAGGAGAGAACCCTACGATTTTCTCGAAATTCCCGGTCTGCGAGACCTTGCTGTTACTGAATATAGTGACCGGCAACAATCACAAGTGAGTGATGAAAAACTCAAGGCAGAGTTTCGCAAAGCCCGCGGCACTGCACTTGAATATAGACTAGACCTTGTGCAAGTTCATGAGGATCAGGATCCAGAATCTTTCATCAAAAACGCTGTTAAAAGAGGCATTGCTCGGCGTTTTGTCGGGGACATTAATTGTTGAGTCAAACATTGCACGTGCAACATTAAAGATGGACTAATTGCTGGATCCACATGAGAGAGCTTTACATATGTACAGTACCTCAGGCATTTATCGAAATATAGAACGTAACAAATTTATATTCAACTATTAAGGTTCCTCAATATTCCAGCCTGCGTGTCGAAAATGACCTTTCGCGCTCTTTTCTCTTGCGCCTACAACATCAACACACCATTCGAGAAAAGTATTAAACCCCTGATCGGGGTTCTCTTCATACGTCAGCCACTGTCGTTTGATAAATCCTTTTAGCTCAGCGAAGAACTCTTCGATCGGGTTCAGATCCGGGGAGTAAGGCAGCAAGTATACCAATTTGACCCCAGCCGCAGAGAAAATCTGCTTAAGGCTCCCCGTATGATGGAAAGATGCATTGTCCATGACAAGAACAGATTCGGCTCTGGCCATCTCCCGCAGTGATGTAGGAGTTGTCGTATAAAATCCTCGAAAACAACAGCATCCGTCGATCCCTGGAAACCCCGCAAAAGGATGACACCATCTTGGGTATATGCGGGAAGTATCTGGTATCGCTGTCCGCGGTGAAACCGAGAATCTGGATAGGTGTCACTCCCAATGGAGACCATCCAGTCCGTCTGAAACCCGCTCGTTTATTACAGCCAGACTCATCCACATACACCAAGTGGTAGGATCGGAAAGACGATATAGTCTGGAGATAGTAGTCTCGTAATTCAGCATTTCGCTCCCTCGCTATCCGCCTTGCGGCTTTCTTAGACCATCCAACAGACGCCAGTGCCCTGCCAATGCTATATATAGTCACAAGCATGTGGAATTCATCCCACAAGAAGACCACCATCTCATCCTGGTATAGATCTGGTTTCTCGAGTAGACGCTCACAAAGAAGTTCTAGCATAGGTAGGGTGATCGTTCGTCGCCGGCCGATGCCGTTGGTTGGTGCTCTGACACTGCCAAAGCATCTTAGATTCGAGCGGATGGTCCTGATTGACCGTGGGGTGCAGTGGGCAGCTTCGGCGATTTGTGCATTAGTATGTGGCTGAGTGTCTTGTATCATGTCACGAATTAGCTCGAGCCGCCATGTTTCAAGTCTTGGCGCCATATCTGTACCACTAGCACTGCCCGAACCAATGCTGTGGACCGTGGCCCTTAATGCTGTGTGACGTGATCTCTGGTTGGGCTTCACGGACCACGGTGTCACGTGGCATGCACTATTCCTTCGGGCCGCGGCTTTCTCCAATAGCAGTTTGTCTCTTGCCGCCCCGCTGCGGCCCTTCTCGTTCAGCACGGGGCTGAGCATTCACTGCGGATGACAGGGTCTCGTCTGTCTATCATACAATAGCGCTCTCTCCCATCTTGAGATATAGTAGATGACCCATCAATCCCTACGACTGTCTTTCGGCTCTTCCAAGTATTCGTTACTGAATGTTTATTCCTAAGTTGACTACGCTAGACCTTCCACATGGCCTGCCCCCCGCGAGATGCTTTCCAAATCGGCTGGATCTGTGCCCTCCCGATTGAGGCTGCCGCAGCCACCGAAATGCTGGACGAGAAATTCGGGATTCTCGAGTTGCAAGATGCGGCGGACTCCAATACGTACACATTAGGTCGAATCGGCAAACACCACGTCGTAATCGCCTGCCTACCCGGCGGACAATACGGGACTACCTCAGCCACTACCGTCGCAAATAACATGATTCGCACATTCTCCAAGTCACTTCGAATCGGGTTGATGGTCGGTATCGGGGGCGGAAATCCGTCGGCTGATCATGATATACGGCTCGGCGATGTCGTCATCAGCTACCCCGAAGGCACTTGTGGGGGGTAATTCAATATGATTTGGGGAAGGTTGTTGCAGGGGGTGAATTCGAACGAACCGGGTCTTTGAACAGTCCCCCGAGGTCACTGCTAACAGCACTCGGCATGATGAGGGCTGCTGAGCTAACGGATGATCCTCGATATCCCCAATTTATTCGCAGCGCGACCGAAAGAAACGCGAGAACTCGGAAAAGTTTCACCCGACCGGATACACTGCTCGATCGACTGTTTAAGCCACAGTACGAGCATCCTACAACCGCGCGGAGCTGTGATGGATGCCTGGTAGAATGGGAAGAGCCAAGAAGTGAACGTGAGAACAGTGATCCGCAACTACACTACGGTATCATTGCGTCTGGAAATTCCGTCATCAAACATGGGGGGACAAGGGAGCAGCTGAGGTCGAAGACAGGAGCGCTATGCTTTGAGATGGAGGCAGCCGGTTTGATGTTGGACTTTCCCTGCATCGTCATCCGCGGTGTTTGCGATTATGCCGACTCGCATAAGAACAAGGAGTGGCAAGGATACGCGGCCTTAGCAGCAGCATCATATACGAAAGAGCTGCTGGGATATATTCCCGTGGGCCATATTTCACAAGAGGAATTAGCGGTGGATGTGTGTAGTATGGACAATACATATTAGCTCAGGCTTCGATCGAGAGTGATTTGCTAACGCAACAATATATAGATGAATTAAAAGAAGAAATCAGAGGCACCAATCAACGCTTAGACCGAGCATACGATCAACAAGAACAACACCATCATGAGCAGAAAACAAGAGCCTTGACGGATCAGCAACAGCGTTGTCACCAAGCTTTCAAGATTGGGAATTACACAGAACAAAAGGACATCAATCCAAGAAGAGCAGAAGGAACCTGCCAGTGGGCTCTACAGAGTGATGAATACGTCCGCTGGTCGGAGAGTTGCCACAATGATCTCCTCTGGGTGTCAGCCGATCCAGGCTGCGGGAAGTCTGTACTAGCAAGATCCATAGTCGATGACTACATGCAGGGTTCTGGTCCAGCGGTGACAATATGTTACTTTTTTTTCAAAGACAACGATGAACAGAACCATCTTGCTGCAGCACTGTGTTCCGTACTTCATCAGCTCTTCAGCCAGCGGCCTCATCTATTGTTGCATGCTATACCATCCTGGGAAAAGAACGGGGAGAGTCTCCGACAAGAGGTTGACGAGCTATGGCGGGTCTTTCTAACGGCAACATCAGCTGACCTATCACACAAGACGATATGTATATTTGATGCGCTTGATGAATGCCGTGAGATTGACCAAGATCGATTGATTTTGAAGCTCCAGTCCTTTCACCGCTATGCATGTTCCTCGACACGGGATACCTGTTTAAAATTCCTTGTCACCAGTCGTCCCTATAACCACATCCAGAATCGCTTCCGCGCGATCACAGACTCTTTCCCACGCCTACACTTAAAGGGAGAGGAAGAAAATGATCAGATCCATAAAGAAATAGATCTAGTCGTGAAGATCCGAGTACGGGAACTTGCGAAAACTGCGCTATTGTCATGGGATATACAACAGCGACTTGAGGACCAACTTTTACAAATGGAACACCGGACATATCTTTGGCTATATTTAGCCATTGATGACATTCAATCTACTTTCGAGAATAGCCTTCGGCCAACTGAGGTGTCAATCCAACTAATACCTCCTTCAGTGAATGCAGCATATGAAAAAATCCTCTGTCGAGTCCCAGCCGATCAAAAGGATACAGTCAGAAAGATCTTGGAGATTATCGTGGCGGCACGGCGTCCTCTGACAATACGAGAAATGGCCATGGCGTTGGGTATTGCCACCTGCTCGGAATCGCAAACGGCAAAACAGGCTGGCCTAGATCCAATTCATTTGGACAAGAAGCTTCGGCAATTATGCGGCCTGTTTGTCAATACTAATAACTCCAAAATCTATCTCATCCATCAGACAGCCCGGGAGTTTCTCATTGAAAAGAAAAGTTCGAATAATGTCAATCTTGCATACTGGAGCAGCCTGAGTGATGCAGAAGATCGGATGGCTCAGATTTGTTTGCGATACCTGTTGATGGAGGATTTGGAAGACGACGAAGGCAAATCATGCTCTAATATCCGAAACCTCTTGGAATATTCAGCAGTACATTGGGCCGATCATGTACGGAGGATGGCTTTGACGTCAGGCCAAGAAGTGACCGATCGATTGCATCAACTATATGACATGAGTGGAAAGCGGTTCTCGCTGTGGTTTCCCCTATTTTGGAAGGCAGTGAAGCCATCCGAGAGAACACCCAGAATGAAGGCACTGCATCTGGCAGCATTCAATGGCCATGATGAGGAGATTCGCTTCCTGCTTTCTGTTGGAAAAACGAATGTTAATACAGCAGACGATACATCAACATATCCGGTCATGTGGGCCTCATCGAATGGACATGACAAGACTGTGCAGATGCTGCTAGAGCGAGGAGCCGATGTCAACGCCCAAGGTGGAGAGTACGGAAATGCGCTCCAGGCTGCTTGTTCGGGAGGGCACGACGAGATCGTGCAGTTGCTGCTACAGCGCGGAGCTGATGTCAACGCCCAGGGTGGAGCGTACGGAAATGCGCTCCAGGCTGCTTGTTTTAAAGGACACCACAAGATCGTCGAGATGCTGCTAGAGCGAGGAGCCGATGTCAACGCCCAGGGTGGACGGTACGGAAATGCGCTCCAGGCTGCTTGTTTAGGAGGACACGTCAAGATTGTGCAGATGCTACTAGAGCGAGGAGCTAATGTCAACGCCCAAGGTGGACTGTACGGAAATGCGCTCCAATATGCATGTTTGAAAGGACACGTGAAGATTGTGCAGGTGCTGCTAGAGCGAGGAGCCAATGTCAACGCCCAGGGTGGAGGTTACGGAAATGCGCTCCAGGGTACCTGTTTTAAAGGACACCACAAGATTGTGCAGATGCTGCTAGAGCGAGGAGCCGATGTCAACGCCCAGGGTGGACAGTACGGAAATGCGCTCTGGGCTGCTTGTTTTGAAGCACAGGACAAAATTGTGCAGATGCTGCTAGAGCGAGGAGCCGATGTCAACGCCCAGGGTGGAGAGTACGGAAATGCGCTCCAGGCTGCTTGTTCGGGAGGACACGACAGGATTGTGCAGATGCTGCTAGAGCGAGGAGCCAATGTCAACGCCCAAGGTGGACAGTACGGAAATGCGATCCGGGCTGCTTGTTTGGGCGGACACGTGAAGATTGTGCAGGTGCTGCTAGAGCGAGGAGCCAATGTGAACGCCCAGGGTGGAGAGTACGGAAATGCGCTCCAGGGTACCTGTTTTAAAGGACACCACAAGATTGTGCAGATGCTGCTAGAGCGAGGAGCTGATGTCAACGCCCAGGGTGAACGGTACGGAAATGCGCTCCAGGCTGCTTGTTCGGGAGGACACGACGAGATTGTGCAGATGCTGCTAGAGCGAGGCGCTGATGTCAACGCCCAGGGTGGACGGTACGAAAATGCGCTCCAGGCTACTTGTTCGGGAGGACACGACAAGATTGTACAGATGCTGCTAGAGCGAGGAGCCGATGTCAACGCCAAGGGTAAAGGTTGCGAAAATGCGTTCCAGGATGCATGTTTTAAAGGACACCACAAGATCGTCCAGATGCTGCTAGAGCGAGGAGCTGATGTCAACGCCCAGGGTGGACGGCACGGAAATGCGCTCCAGGCTACTTGTTCGGGAGGACACGACAAGATTGTACAGATGCTGCTAGAGCGAGGAGCCGATGTCAACGCCCAGGGTGGAGAGTACGGAAATGCGCTCCAGGCTGCTTGTTCGGGAGGACACGACGAGATTGTGAAGATGCTGCTAGAGCGAGGAGCTGATGTCAACGCCCAGGGTGGAGAGTACGGAAATGCGCTCCAGGCTGCTTGTTCGGGAGGACACGACAAGATTGTACAGATGCTGCTAGAGCGAGGAGCCGATGTCAACGCCCAGGGTGGACAGTACGGAAATGCGCTCTGGGCTGCTTGTTTTGAAGCACAGGACAAAATTGTGCAGATGCTGGTAGAGCGAGGAGCCGATGTCAACGCCCAGGGTGGAGAGTACGGAAATGCGCTCCAGGCTGCTTGTTCGGGAGGACACGACGAGATTGTGAAGATGCTGCTAGAGCGAGGAGCTGATGTCAACGCCCAGGGTGGAGAGTACGGAAATGCGCTCCGGGTTGCTTGTTCGGGAGGACACGACAAGATCGTGCAGATGCTGCTAGAGCGAGGAGCCGATGTTAACACCCAAGGTGGAGAGTACGGAAATGCGCTCCAGGCTGCTTGTTCGGGAGGGCACGACGAGATCGTGCTGTTGCTGCTACAGCGCGGAGCTGATGTCAACGCCCAGGGTGGACGGTACGGAAATGCGCTCCAGGCTGCTTGTTCGGGAGGACACGACAAGATTGTGAGGATGCTGCTAGAGCGAGGAGCCGATGTCAACGCCCAGGGTGGACGGTACGGAAATGCGCTCTGGGCTGCTTGTTCGGGAGGACACGTGAGGATTGTGCAGATGCTGCTAGAGCGAAGAGCCGATGTCAACGCCCAGGGTGAACGGTACGGAAATGCGCTCCAGGCTGCTTGTTCGGGCGGACACGTGAAGATTGTGCAGGTGCTGCTAGAGCGAGGAGCCAATGTGAACGCCCAGGGTGGAGGTTACGGAAGTGCGCTCCAGGCTGCTTGTTTTAAAGGACACGACAAGATTGTACAGATGCTGCTAGAGCGAAGAGCTGATGTCAACGCCCAGGGTGGAGAGTACGGAAATGCGCTCCAGGCTGCTTGTTTGGGAGGACACGACGAGTTCGTACAGTTGCTGCTAGAGCGCGGGGCCGATGTCAACGCCCAAGGTGGACAATACGGAAATGCGCTCCGGGCTGCTTGTTCGGGAGGACACGACAAGATTGTGCAGATGCTGCTAGAGCGAAGAGCCGATGTCAACGCCCAGGGTGGACGGTCCGGAAATGCGCTCCAGGCTGCTTGTTCGGGAGGACACGACAAGATTGTGAAGATGCTGCTAGAGCGAGGAGCCGATGTCAACGCCCAGGGTGGACATTACGGAAATGCGCTCCAGGCTGCTTGTTCGGGAGGACACGACAAGATCGTGCAGATACTGTTAGAGCATGGAGCTTATCAATGAACACCCTATCTCCCCTTGTCGAAAAGTCTCATATAGTATTGTCATTTTATAATTGCCACATGATTTGCAGATCCACTATACGATTCCATGGAATTCCACCGACGTTTTACACCCATGGTGTAATTTTCCGTCAGGGTACATACAGTACACACCGCATTTTTATTTCGCCCTCAATTTAACACGGCCGGCTCAATAAATGATCCGCGCTAAGGCCTTGGCAGTGGGGCCAGGAAAGAGTTTCTCAGTGTATATTGGTCAAGGCGATTTCGAGCACGACTGTACAGAGCATGTAGCAAAGCTCTCGATCCCGAAGCTAAGGTACTGGTTTATGAGATGATGCCCAAGCTCCTAAGTCCGTCAGGGTCTTTTGTATTCTTATTGAAATCCTCCATCGCATCTATGGCTCCTTTAATCTGGAGCTCCGCTTGCACCAGACATTGACTAATGTTATCAGTCTTTCCCACGGAAATTAAGTGGAGCTTTCGCAGATTTGAATTTTGAATACGTAAGTTAGCCTCCTGGGCCCTAGAATCTTGCAGCTCGCTTTCCAGCTTTTTAATCATTGCTGCAGCTACTTGAATTCTTTGTTCAAGCTTTTGCGCCTCCGTATTCGCATCGTGTTTGGAGCTGTGGTCTGAGAATTTTCCAGCTAACTCTGCTCGGACTTCGCCCTTTCGAATAGCTATGACAAGCTCAATATAGAGGTTGGTGGACATGTCGCTAAGATGCTTTTGAAACAAATGTGTCTTTTTTTCTTCAAAAACCCATCTATATCGATCCCTTTCTAAAGGATGGAGTCGCACCTCTGACGGGGACACATCAATGCCCAGTCTATCTTGTACTTGTTAGCCAACCGAGAAGATTTGGAAGGGAATGTCTTACTGATATGATTTGCGAGTTCTTCCCTACAATTTTTGCGTTCTAGTGCGCGCTTCCTGTTGGCTGGTGTCGACATTATCTACAGCACTTGCAGTTTTCAAATATAGACACCGAGAGCCTCGACCGAAAATTCTGTCACGTAACCCAATTTCATCCTTAGTAGTCCATATATCATTGATTGCGCCTGAAATATGACATAAGCTATGACAAAAACCAGCGAAAACTGGAGTGCCTTGAAAGATCGACTGGTCAACGTCCAATGGATATTCCCCTTCGCTAAATCATCCAGACTAAACCAGGGTGGATATGTGTCAAAGAGGTCTCGACCAACGGCAAAATACTTGAGTATACGAATTTCAGAAGTAAATACTGTATATTAGGTAGGAGCAACCCGTGACAAGCCCGGAACAAACTTTGGAGCATATCTGCATTCCGTACTTTGTTAAGTTCAACTTGTTTCTAAACGCTACCATGCTTTCAATCCAAGGACCTATTATAACTTCAATGAGAACAATGAGTTTTCTTATTCTTTTCTCTGTGGTGTTGAACATTTTTCGATGCTCACTGGCAAGTTGAACTTCATAATTTTTTTTAGATAGGAGTAACATGGATCAAAATGTTGAACAGATACTAGTCATGTCCTATTTGAATAGCGTCCCGTTTATCTTTCATTATTATGGTGGTTGAACTTCGTGAGGGATTTTGACGTTACGACTGGATGTCAAGATTTGAACGGCTGTATGTCTTGTCCATCATGCCACAATCCATAGACTTTATACGGGCCAGGGCCGAAGCTATATAGTATCTGGGAGAATGTGACATTTGCTTCAGTTTTCGGATTACATAGGTTTGAGAACTGGACGTGTTTATTTAAATCTCGCAATTAAGATGGGTGAGGTTTTGCTCGGTTATCAGCAATTGAAGATAGTCATTGAAATACTTCACGATAAATACATCCTGGTAGAGTAACGGTCGGCAACTTGTTGCTACATTTGTTGTCACGCACCATTCTTATAGAAAGTGGAATACGCATAAATGTTTAAAAGTAAACAGGAAGGATAAGCCGAGGATGGAGAGAAGATTGAAAATGATATCGCAATATATAGAGAAGAAAAGATAGCAGAAAAACATTTAACCGGAACGCTTTAGGAGCGTCAAAAGATGGAATGAAATCTAATTACTTATTCTTTATTTGATTCAATCCATGATCTCTTGTGTCCACGAGGAGGCTGATAGCAGTGTGTGTCGACGAGATGAAGTACCAAATCGTGAAAGTTCTCAAATTTCATTGAGCAAGCAGGATGTTCACAAGAATAATACCCTTTTAATTTAGTCAAATGGGCTTCGACGTGATTATGCCACTTCGTGCGGTTGACGATAAACTGGTGCATCCGCTTTGATGGAGGCAGATTCGCATTGCCTAAACAGAACGGGCAAAACCCTGCCTTGATTGGGGCATTGCGAAACATCAATGGATCACATCGCAGTAGCTCCTGAGGTCGTTCAAGATGGTTCTTGCAGTGAGATTCCCACTTTGCTGGGTCGTTAAACCAACTGTCACATTCGAAACACATTTCCGCAAAATCGTACTTGCTCATATGGCAAAGCTTAGTTTTATAACAACGATAAAGGTGTAGCCATCTTCGATGAGGATAGAAACTAAGGTTGTTAGCGTAGAATCATTATCAATTATCAAGGGAACTAACTTGTCCATTTTTTCTCCACACGGACATTTCCCATCTACTGGCTGGAGGCCAGAACGATAAGCAACAGGGCGTATTTCTTTGCAGAGAGACTCCAGCGCCTCTAACGTCTGTCTTCCTTGGCAACTTCGTAAGCTAACCCTCTGAGGGAGCACTGTCGCTAATAAATCACGCTCCGGCATAACCCTTCGTCTGTAGTGGAAAAGATTCTGTTCGTGTAATTCGCCTGGGTGCCCAGAGGATTTTGTCAGAGTATTGGGCTGCAACATTTGAACCATCTTTAGCTCCTCTTTATAGAGTCGCTGCTTTTCATTGTAAACTTGATGTTGCTTGACTTGAATTTCGCGTTTCTGTTTATGGTCATTCGTAAAAGGTAATAAAGCACCTAGGGAATCCATGTCTCTGTTGAGAGCACGAACATCATCCCGGTCTTCGAACTCAAATTCCGCCTTTGCGGGAAGTGACTGTAACAGTTGAGGGTTTTGATAAATCCCCATTCCGCGGCGGTTTTGGATATGCCCATGCCGGCTTTCAATGCCAAGATAAGTTGCTGGGCCATCTACTTCGCTAAGCGGATGGGCATAGTACTTTCCGTATGTATCTCGATTGGACTGTCCCGCGAACTTCATGCGTGCCGATTCAGAGTGCTTCTTATCTGCTAAGATTTAGCCAGCGTCTGGGGAACTTCAAACGCTGCGGGAATGTACCTGCTTCCATGAGCGCCCATCTTCGGCAGGCGCGGATGGTGACGTTTCGAATGAACCCACTGCGGTGACCCAGCCCGACAAACTCTTTGCCAAAAGCATCTGCTCCCCGAGCTTTTCCGCTACTCTTGTTCACATGTTGTTCACTGAATGGTCGGAATACTGGAACCTCCAGAACATGTTCCTTGAAGACAATAACTTGCAAGACTTCATTTTTGATGGGAGAGGTGTTTGTGTAGGCTTCTGCCGTATTCAGGATTTCACCGATTGAAGAAAAATCCCGAAATGCATCGTCGGCAGATGCCATCGGCAAAAAGAATGTAAGAATATTGAAAAAAAGGGGTACTTCCTCCCTGTAGATTTCGTAGAAGGCGTGGATTGGGAGTTCCCATCGTTTTTTTCTCCAGTGGCCTTTAACGAATTCTCGCTGGTAGGTAAGTACTAGCACAGATTGTCCATCAACATTCTCGATACTAAGAATGAAATGCTAATATAGTGACTTAGTATAGAGCCTGTCTTTCTCACCATCTACTTAAACCCACACTTACCTTGTAACAGGCCGCCATAACTCTGGCTTCTAGCTCCTTATCTTCCTTGTCTGTACCATGTTCTCTTGACACCTTTCGCCGACATGTCGACTCATGAACCTCTCCTGTTCTTGCTGATGTGAAACAGTACAAAAGAATCGCCGCACTTAGTTGCACTCTCGTTCTATCAGGGATCTCACCGCGAAACTCGTGAAAGTCCCTACACCATAGCTGAGTCATAAGCACAGTAAGGTCATTTGGCGACAGCCCATCTTTATCCATTTCGTCAGTCGAAAGGGAGATCTTTTCTTTAAGCCCTTGAATAATCCATTAGACAGATCGATTAGCATACCAATCAACCCAGAAACAGGTAAAAATGTCGGACCTCTCGCAGTGTTGTAGACACCTCTATCGGGAAGTTGTATTTTCTCCTAAGGGACATGCCTGCCTCAAAATCTCTGCGAAAGGACTCAACCGTTCCAATCGTAGGCCTCTCTTTGATCCGACCTTTCATGCCACGCGCTGCAAACTCTAAAAAGGCCTTATAGGTCTTGATATCTGGAGGGTCTATAGCTTGGGGATGTAGCGAAATAAACCTGAAATGAACAGACAATTGAGTAAGTCAATATCACTCCGAAGTAAACGATGCTAGTAGTACTAACTTGTCAAAAATGTGAAGTGCACGGTCATACTGGTCTCCGGTACGTGGGAGGATAGCTCGGGCGATTTCCGAGTTATCATGCTCACTAAAATCAACAAGATGAGAAAATTTCAATAATGGATCTTCAGATTTCATTTTTGAAATGACGGGGCGTAGGGAGAAGTAGGAGGATAATGGCCACCCAGCGGCATGGTGCTGGGTTTTATCTTTGCGAAATCGCTAAGACTTTCCCTGCACCAGAATGGGCCAATGCACCTGTTCAACTACGAGGCTCAGCCTTCAGGCAGTCTTGGGTGAAGAGTATTCAGGGTCCTGAATTGCCGCCTGAAGCCGCCTGAAGAGCGGCGGGATCGCCCATGCCCGATTGGGCGACCCTGGGTGACCACCGCCATACATGTACTGTTGCATGTATCCTTTTCTTTTTTTTTTTTTGTTTTTTGGCGTTGGATTCCAATTAAACTCAGTTACTTGTAATATATATTTGTAGTTCTTATATTTACCTTTTCTAGCAAATCACTAGATGGATCTGCATGTCTAGTTCAAAGCTCAAACATCTTCTGTTCCATGTAACGCCGGGCTATGTCATGACCAGCAATCGTAACAACTATATTCTCTGAACAGCATCCAGTAAATTAAAAAGCATTGTGGAATTCATCGAGGCGTGGGAAGGTTAAGTGAGTAATTGTGGAGGCTATGGAGTATTGAGCTATTCTTTGTTTTAGTAATCAATAAAGCTATGTTTCTCGCACCTCTATTTGGTTAGATATTCGATAATTGAGCAATTTGTTTGTGTGATGAGGGATCTACAGGGTGGGAGAGAAATATATATATCTCACAGGATGTCTTTCACTGCTCAACAAACAACACACGCCACATACGATCAATATAGCGCATCATCACACAAACGAAAATACCACACCAACCGATAATATATAGACAAGCTGCCGCACTATGTATATCTGCCACGGTTGTGAGATTGTGTGGTACATTGGCGTCCCCAGATTTAGATCCGTGGCATATCGACGCCTCATCGGGTAGAATTTCTCCTCACCAATGTCGGCTTGATATAGATCGATATAGTTAGCCAACGGCTGCTGCCTAGTGAGGATGACCAGCATGCGCCAAGAACTATGCGCCAGAAGTGAGCGATTCTCCATGTATTGTAACGAGAGGACGAATGGGGAAGAATCCAATGGGTCTGCCCGCCCCGCAATTAAAGCCAGACCAGCGAGAACCAGGACAGCTGCAACCGAAGCTGTCACATAAGCAGAGAAGAGTATCTATTTTGATCGAATTTCCGCGAGCCCTGATAGGATAATGAGATCGGCACGCTACTCCTTTCGTTAATACCAGCTAACCGCCGAATCCACATGGCAGAACGGTCAGATTTATTAATAGTCCGGAGAATTCCCCCTAGCAACACCCCCCTGTGCGAAACGCCCTCTCAGGACTCGCGGTTTGGCTTAGCGCGTTGCTATATCGATCGGGCACCAATAACATCGCCGTTTGGCCTGGTGCGACTGCAGTAGCCGCCGGCCATGTGCCAATCAGAATGCTGTGCCCAGACAATATCCCTGCTAGCGCCCTGCAGCCGCCAGCACCCTGTTTATAGATGTTTCGAGTTCGATCAGTGAGCTTGGACTGAAGGATCGCATCTCTATATGTACCCGCCATTCCCTGGTCCGATTGCGATCTCCATCTCTCCTTCATACGCTGCTCACTTTCACTCCTTTCTTTCTCGGATCTGCTGGACAGGCTTAAGCTAAAGAACATAATACCTCCTTCACCTCACCCATTGAACATATTGCCCTCCAAAATCACCACCATGCGCCTGCCATCTCTCCTCGTCTGCTTCGCGGCAGTCTCCCTGGCTCAGCCGACCCGCTTCTTCGACGATATCTACAATTACTCGGAGAACCTGGCTGAATTCTACAGCAAAGTGAGCGAGCACATCAATAACGCCAAGCATCAGTCCAAGCCCTCCATGGCTTGCAACCCGTCCACAATCACGCTGCCCTCCTTTGCGTCCGGCCTCCCGAGTCCCACTGGCCTCTCGCCAATGTACGTTGCGCTGGGACGAGGCACACAGGTATGTCATTTACTCCAAAACCTCGAAAGCCATTCACTAACAGTCGCATTTCCCAGAACTACACCTGTGCAGACTCGACCGAAAACTCCATCCCGGTGGCCATCGGCGCCCTCGCCAACCTGTACAACGCCACCTGCATCGCATCGAATTTCCCCGACCTGATGGAGATGCTGCCCAACATCGCCTACAACATCCCGCTCCCGGATTTTGAGTATACCGCTCTCCCACCGGCCAACATCGACCTGATGGGCCACCACTTCTTCTACGACTCCACCACCCCGGAGTTCAACCTCGACACCACCACCAGCAAGCAGTACGGGGTTGCTATGACCAAGAAGCAGAGTTCAATCAACGCGCCCTCGGATGCATTCAAGGGCGATTATGGTGCCGTTGCGTGGCTCTACCTCACTACGACCACGGGTACGGTGGGCAACTACAAGAGTGTCTACCGGGTCAACACGGCTGGCGGGAATCCGCCCACGACGTGCAAGGGCATGCCGTCTGTGTTCACCATGCAGTACTCGGCCAACTACTACTTCTTTGGATCATCTTAGTTGTCTTTTTGTGTTTTTGTATATAGAAGGGGAGGCTATCGTCAGTAGTATTTAAATAACTTACGAATTCCTTTCTTTCTTTCTTTCTTCTCCATAAAAGGAAAGGGCTCAACTCGGTCATGTGACTACACTGACTCAGCAGGAAACAAAAAAATCACTAACCTAGTCAGGCTAGCGTCTTTCTGATTTTCGAAGCAAAAAAAATCTCGGCCGCCGCAACGACGCCGACACTCAGACAGAGCTCGCAGCACATTCAACCCTCCCAGCTGCGTTACCCAGCTCCTTCGACAGAGATTATTCTTCATACGCAACAATAATGGCTTTCACTCCTCGAGGTCGTGGTGGCCCCCCTGGACGGGGCGGTCGTGGTGGTGGCCGTGGTGGTCGAGGTTTGTTTTATCCAGTCGATTTCTGCAGCAGTTCGACGCATGGACATTGGTTGCTGGTGAACATTACTGGCTCAATGACCATGCGATGTCTTGTCTCCGGATGCAATTGAAGGGGTTTGGTGTGCTGATCGTTGGTTTTTTTCCCTTCCCAGGTGGCTTCGGAGACCGAGGTGGCTTTGGCGGTCGCGGCGGTGGTCGTGGTGGCCGCGGTGGCCCCCCTGGCCGTGGCGGTCGTGGTGGTCGTGGTGCTCCTCGTGGAGGCCGTGGTGGCGCGAGTGGTGCTCGGGGTGGTGCGAAGGTTGTCATTGTAAGTGCTGGACATTCGACGACAAAGAGAAAAAAGAAAAAGTCGCTAACCACACACTCCGTTGTATAGGAACCCCACCGTCACGCTGGTGTGTTCGTCGCCCGTGGTGGTAAGGAGGATCTGCTCGTCTCCAAGAACTTGACCCCCGGCGAGGCCGTGTACGGCGAGAAGCGCATCTCGGTCGAGTCGCCCGCTGAGGACGGCGCTGTCACCAAGGTGGAATACCGCGTGTGGAACCCGTTCCGCAGCAAGTTGGCGGCCGGTATCCTGGGTGGTCTGGACGACATTTACATGAAGCCCGGCGCGAAGGTGCTGTACCTGGGTGCTGCCTCGGGTACCTCTGTCAGCCACGTCGCCGACATCGTTGGCCCGACTGGTAACGTCTACGCGGTCGAGTTCTCCCACCGATCCGGCCGTGATCTGATCGGCATGGCGACGCACCGCACCAACGTCATCCCCATCGTCGAGGACGCCCGTCACCCGCTCCGCTACCGCATGCTCGTGCCCATGGTCGATGTCATCTTTGCCGATGTGGCCCAGCCCGACCAGGCCCGTATCGTGGGCTTGAACGCCCACATGTTCCTCAAGGCTGAGGGCGGCGTCATCGTCTCCATCAAGGCCAACTGTATCGACTCCACGGCCAAGCCCGAGGTGGTCTTTGCCCGTGAGGTCCAGAAGATGCGTGAGGAGAAGATCAAGCCCAAGGAGCAGCTGACCCTGGAACCGTTCGAGCGTGATCACTGTATCGTGGCCGGTATTTACAAGCGGTCTGCATAAATCCGGGTTGGCTGTTTCTGATGTCTATTTCATTTCATGCTTTCTTCTCTCGGCGTCCAGTGTTTTCTTTCCGACAGGTTTCTTGCCCATGTACTTTTTTTCTCTTTGTTGGTTCGTCGCAAAAATTTAGGTCTCTGTTCTGATTGAAATGTACACGCTGGAATGTGTCCGTCGTCTATGCCGTCTAGAATATGAGAGACCGTACTTGCTATTAGTTACTTCTTCGGAAGTCGGTTGAGTAAGAAGTATTAAACCCACATCTGTGTTGGACCCTCGGACTTGCGCCGGTCCTCCATCATCAACTTCCCGGGCTGGTCGGGTATCGGATTTCCCACCGACCACGACCCGGAATGGGTGGATACGCAATGATGGAGAGAAAGCGTGGGGGTATTGGACCTCTCGGTCAACCCCGCAAGGGCGAAGTAACTATATAAGGCGTGGGATCTTTCATTCCTCCGTTGTTGGTTTAGTATACTAATTTCACAGCCTCCCTCACACCATCATGTCGATTCTCATCACCGGTGCCGGCGGCTACGTCGGCCAGGAACTGGCCTCTGCCCTTCTGGCCAACACTCCAGCCTCGACCACCGTAACAATCACCGACGTCGTCGAACCAGCCGTTCCAGAGTCAGCGACACAGCATGCTAGCCGTTTGAAGCGCGTGCGCGCCGACCTAACCACCCCCAAAGAGGTCGACGAGCTGATCAGCGCCTCGCACCCCTACGAGACCGTCTACATCCTGCACGGAATCATGTCAAGCGGCTCAGAGGCGAACTTCGAGCTCGGCATGCGGGTCAACCTTGACGCAACGCGCTACATCCTCGACCGGCTTCGCGCCACCATGCCCGGCGTAAAGGTTGTCTTCACCTCGTCGCTGGCCGTCTACGGGCCCGCACCACCAGGCTTCCTCATCAATGAGACCAACTTCGCGCCCGTGCCGTCGTCGTCCTACGGATCCCAGAAACTGATCATTGAGACTCTACTGAATGACTACTCGCGCCGCGGATTCCTCGACGGCCGCTGCGTGCGCCTCCCTACCGTCACCGTGCGAGCGGGCAAGCCTACCCAGGCGGCGAGCAGTTTCGCGAGTGATATCATCCGCGAACCCTTCCATGGCAAGAAGGCTATCCTCCCCGTCGCTAAGGAGACGGAGATGTGGATCTGCTCGCCGTATACAATTGTCAAGAACTTGCTCCATGCGCGTGATGTGCCGAAGGAGGCCTTTGGGGAGTCGCGGTCTGTGAACCTCCCGGGCCTGAAGGTTAGTGTGCAGGAGATGCTGGATGCATTGGAGCTGGTGGGGGGTAAGGAGAGACGGGCCCTCGTCGAGGAAAAGTATGATGCGGCAACGGATAAGATCGTGCAGTCGTGGACGCCGCAGTTTGACACGGTGCGGGCGTTCCAGCTGGGGTTTGCGGCGGATATTGGGATGCTGGAGAATATTCAGCAGTTTGCCAGCGGATTTGTACAGTAAAGGTATCAGGTAAATAAATTGTGAAGCACTCGACAGGGTGGAAAGCAGAACATAGGAAGTAATCGGAAAGACAGCATAATGCGGGTCACATGATTGGCTGCGAACAATTTGCCTTCCGAACTTCAACTCACCCCATGAATCAATCGCTCTTTCCACACCTCCCTTCCCTCCCACCCTCTCCTTCCTGCCATCTCCCACACAATGGCTTCCCGCCGCCTCGCTTTCAACCTCAACCAGGCTCTGCGGAGCCGTGCGGCTCTGAAGTCCATCCAGCCCGTCAAGCGAGGCTTTGCGTCGCCCGTTGCGTTGCCGTCCACCACCCAGTCGACCACCCTCTCCAACGGTTTCACCGTGCGCCCCCCCGCAAACCATCTCAATGGCATGACAACCTCGCTAACACAGCTTAGATCGCCACTGAGCACTCCCCATGGGCCCAGACCTCCACCGTCGGCGTGTGGATCGATGCCGGTAGCCGGGCAGAGACTGACAAGACCAACGGCACTGCGCACTTCCTCGAGCACCTTGCCTTCAAGGTCGGATCCTACGAACCCCCAACGCGAACCGTCTATCTGACATGTCTTACAGGGCACAAACAAGCGGTCGCAGCACCAATTGGAACTCGAGATCGAGAACATGGGCGCTCACCTCAACGCCTACACCTCGGTATGGCCGGAATACCCAACACCCAATACAGCCCCCTCCACAGGTACTAACTGCACTCGCAGCGTGAAAACACCGTCTACTACGCCAAGTCCTTCAACGCCGACGTCCCCAAGGCCGTCGACATCCTCGCCGACATCCTCCAGAACTCCAAGCTGGAGCCAGCCGCCATCGAGCGGGAGCGCGACGTGATCCTGCGCGAGCAGGAGGAGGTTGACAAGCAGCTTGAAGAGGTTGTTTTCGACCACCTGCACGCCACCGCGTTCCAGAACCAGCCCCTGGGTCGCACCATCCTCGGCCCCAAGGAGAACATCCAGACCATCTCCCGGGACAACCTGACCGACTACATCAAGACCAACTACACTGCCGACCGCATGGTCCTGGTCGGTTCCGGTGGCATCCCTCACGAGCAGCTTGTGCGTCTGGCTGAGCAGCACTTCGGTGCTCTCCCCAGCAAGGCCCCGACCTCCGCGGCCCAGGCTCTCACTGCCGAGCAGAAGCGCACCCCCGAGTTCATTGGCTCCGAGGTCCGTCTGCGTGATGACACTGTCGGCTCCGCTCACATCGCTCTCGCCGTCGAGGGTGTCAGCTGGAAGGATGATGACTACTTCACTGCCCTGGTCACCCAGGCCATCGTCGGCAACTGGGACCGTGCCATGGGCCAGTCTCCTTTCCTTGGCAGCAAGCTCAGCGCCCACGTCAACAACCACAACCTTGCCAACAGCTTCATGAGCTTTTCCACCAGCTACAGTGACACTGGGTGAGTTTTAAGCCGTCTCAAATAATTTTGAATTTGCTGCTAATATCGCAATTAACAGTCTCTGGGGTATCTACCTGGTCTCGGAGAACTTCAGCCAGCTGGATGACCTGGTCCACTTCACCCTCCGTGAGTGGTCCCGCCTCTGCAACAACGTCACCTCCGCCGAGGTCGAGCGCGCCAAGGCCCAGCTCAAGGCCTCCATCCTCCTGTCTCTGGACGGCACCACCGCCGTTGCTGAGGACATCGGCCGTCAGATCATCACCACCGGCCGCCGCCTCAGCCCCGAGGACATCGAGCGCGCCGTCGGCCAGATCTCCGAGAAGGACGTCATGGACTTCGCCAGCCGCAAGCTGTGGGATCAGGACATCGCCATGAGCGCCGTCGGCAGCATCGAGGGTGTCCTCGACTACCAGCGCATCCGCGGCGACATGACCCGCATGCTGTCGTGATTTGATTCTTGTGCGTGTGAAAGATGACTGACTGGACTGCTTGCCACCACAGAGGTGGTTAGAGGTTTTTGTGTGTGTTTGAATGTATTATCAATCATTGCCCTTGGAGATTGTTGTTAGATCCCAACCTGTGTGAAATAGCAGTTAATTGGTTTTGCCACAGTAGAGCTTTATATCGTCTGTTCTGTTCCCCGAAAGGAGGGACAGCAGGCTGTTTCTTTTGTCGAGTTAGTTCTCGTGCTGGAAATTGGATTCTTTCCTTTGTTGATACACTTCCATCTTCCATAAAAAACGTAGCTTCATGTCATTTGTGAATTTATCTTAGTCCTAGACATGTACTCCCTCAACCTCGAAAACATAGTAAACCCATTCCACAACTCTTCCCCTCCTTTCTCGGTCTTCTCCGGCATACCTACCTGCTCCAACGCAAAAGATGCACCCACAGAACCATAACACGCAGCTTCAACAACGCTTCCACCCGTCTTGAGATAGCCCACCGCAAATGCACCCAGGAAGGCATTCCCGGCCCCAGTTGGATCAATTACTTTCGCATGCTGCTTCGGCGGCTTGGAGTCGGAGTCGGGGTCATAGAATGGGGGAATCCATACCGGAGACGGAAGAGTGCGTGATCGAAGTAGACATCCAAGCTCTCCAGCTCTGATGAGCATAAGCCCGTTTCCGGATGGACCAACACCTCTTTCCAAGAATTTTAAAGCCAGTTCCTCGATTTTCGTTTTCGTTTGGTCTTTTTCTGAATATTCTTCCGAGGCCGAAGCTGATGGTGAGAGTGAGAGTGATTCTTCAAAGAAAGCAGCTAGTTCTAGGTGATTTGGAGAAAACACGTCCACCAACGCTGCGGCTTCTAGACATGTTTGTAGGTTCTCGGATTGGCAGGACGGTGGTGCAGGTTCCCAGATTATCAGAGGGCGGTTCGTAATACCTGCCTTTTGACGAAGAGCAAGAAGACTCTCGATGCGAGGTTTGATATCGTGCGGAGTGTGCAGGTAGTGAAACACATTTGAACCCAGAAGTGCCGTGCTCGCTATGCTGCTGTCTTGAACTGCGAGGACGGGTGTGGTATACTTGAAGTCCTTGGCTAGAGGATTAGTTAGTTAGTATGAATTTATCACAGCAAGGGAGAAATTAATCAAGACTTGTAGATAATGGTGAATCGTACGTCCAAATGTAGTATCTTTGTACTCAAGTAAACCCCGAGTTGATGGCTTATCCGTTTCTTTCTCTATAATCAACGTCGTATTCCAGCTCTCCAGGCAATCTTGCACAGATCCTGGAAAGTCATTTCCAATATGAAGCGGCCAGCCTATTGAGCGGCTCTGTGGAGGGGGGAGAAATAATCTAGCTCCGAGTGTGGCTACATATGTAGGATGCGGTTGGATCCTATGTCAGTGGGGGTGTATGTTGCGATATAAACGAAGATTAAAACTAACCATAGACTCCAGAGCCCCCGACTACATTTGTTAAAGGGGTTTGATCTGCGACTCGGATCTCGTCGAGGACTACCAGGCCCAGGCTTGTGAAGGAGATGTCAGATGTGGACATGGTAAATTGATCCAGGTAGTTCTGATATAGCCGCAAAATAATATCAGTTTGCAATTTGTGGGTGCTATGCTATCTGCAGAAAAGGAGAATTGGGAGATTCGGGATGTTGATGTCGGGTAGAATAATAGTCTGTCATCTCATACTGCGTCGCTAAGCCGCTTAGCCCGATTCGGTAACGATTATCTAAGCACGGGCCGAACCAGCTCCGATCGGTTTGATAATTTTGTCTGCGCAACACAACTGCACCAGTCGTCAGCTTTGATCACCATGGGCAAACGAGGCGGCAAAAAAGTGAGACGCGGAATAGTTACCTAATTGCCAACGAGTACTGACCCTCCTTCTCACAGGGCGGTGGCCGTGGCGGCGGGGTGCGCAAACCCTCGGCCTACCAAGATATTCCCAAGACCAACGAGAAGCTCGAGCGCTACTACAATGAGCCGGGCATTATTCCGGAGGAGGACCGGGAGGAATTCTGGACTACCATGCGAAGAGATCTCCCTAACAGCTTCCGCTTTACGGGCTCGCGAGGGTACGTCTCTTTTACCACACCTTCCACACGTGGATGATCGTTTTCCAGGCAATGAAGCTAATTGAAGTTGCAACAATTACAGACATGCGCTCGCTGTTCAGCAGCGTCTCAAGGATTTCTATATTCCCAAGATCACCTCGATCCAGTACGAGGGCGAGTTCGTCGAGCCGCCGCGCCCAGTCTCTTGGTACCCGGACCAGCTCGCGTGGTCGATGACCACCCCGAAGAATGTGGTGAGACGGTTCGCGCCCTTTTCCGCTTTCCAGAAGTTCCTTGTCGCCGAGACGGATGTCGGGAACATCAGCCGCCAGGAGGTTGTCAGTATGATTCCTCCGCTGCTCATCGATGTGCGGCCTGGGATGACGGTGTTGGACATGTGCGCTGCACCGGGAAGCAAGTCCGCGCAGCTCATGGAAATGATTCATGCTGGTGAGGAGGAGTCTATCTTGCAGGTCCGGGAGCAGGTGGAAAGCGGCAATGCGGGTCCGGAGCCCTTGGGCCCGGAGGGACTGAATGATGACGGCCGCAGCACTGGGCTGTTGATCGCCAATGACAGTGACAACAAGCGGGCTCATATGCTGATCCACCAGTTGAAGCGACTGAGCTCGGCGAACCTGATTGTCACGAACCACGATGCTACGATGTATCCGTCCATCAGGCTGCCGCAGCTGCCTGCGGAGGATGGAAATAAGCAGAAGACCAGATACTTGAAGTTTGATCGCATTCTGGCTGATGTTCCTTGCTCTGGAGACGGTACTGCTCGGAAGAATATCAGTGTCTGGAAGGAGTGGAACCCCGCCAACGCCCTGGGATTATACGCCACCCAGGCTCGGATTCTGGTTCGCGCCCTGCAAATGCTCAAGGTTGGCGGTCGGGTTGTCTACTCTACGTGTAGTATGAACCCCGTCGAGAACGAGGCTGTGGTCGCCAGTGCAATTGAGCGCTGCGGCGGTGCTGCCAATGTCAAAATCATCGACTGCAGCCAGGAGCTGCCCGGTTTGAAGCGGGCTTCTGGCCTGCGGAATTGGAAGGTGATGGACCGTGAGGGTCGTATCTGGAACAGCTGGAAAGAGGTTGAGGGGCACAGAGAGAAGGAAGGCATTGAGGGCTTGGGAAGACTCGCCGAGGGCATGTTCACACCCACGGGAGAGACGGCTGACCTGCCGCTCGACCGGTGCATCCGGATCTACCCTCACATGCAGGATACCGGTGGATTCTTCATCACGGTTCTCGAGAAGACCTCCGAGATCAAGGCCAAGTCGGAGAACAGCAATGTCATCCCGAAGGCATCCGTGGCGGCTCTCGCTGCTGAGCTTGACAGGAACAAAAACGGGCATGGACAGCCTCTGGAGAAACTACAGGCACTGGATGAGCTTGTTGTTCCCGATGAGGAAGCCCAGGAAGAAGCCTCGAAGAACGCAACTGTCGCGGAGTCCTCTCACGGGCTCCCATACTCCGCGACCCTTGACGCTTCTACTACTGTTGCCCCAGCGAAGCGGGTGGGAGAGGACGACCTTGAAGATGAACTCCCGGCTAAGAAAACCAGACTTGATGACGGCACAGAGGTTTTGATTGGAGATCGCCCCGTTCATCGCCCCTCGTTTACAGTTGAGACTGAGCACGTCGATACGCCTGGGGACTCGACGCCCACTGTTACTGCAACCGCTGCGACAGCATCGACAGAGAAACCCCTGAAGAAGAGAGGCCCCCAGCAGGAGGAGCCGTTCAAGTATCTCGACCCCAACCATGAGGTGCTTCTTCCCATCTACGAGTTCTATCAATTATCAGAAAGGTTCCCCCGAGACCGCTTCATGGTCCGCAACGCCCAAGGAATTCCGACGAAGACGGTGTACTACACCAGTGCCTTGGCGCGCGATATTCTTACACACAATGAGCGCCAGGGCATGAAGTTCGTGCATTGCGGCGTGAAAATGTTTGTGAAGCAAGACGCACAGCGGGAGAATGTGTGCCGGTGGCGCATCCAGACAGACGGGCTGCGCATCATTGAGGCTTCGCTGGGCCCCGCCCGAACCATCACGCTGACCAAGAAGCCTACTCTGCACCGGCTGCTCGTGGAGATGTTCCCGAAGGTGGACGACGAGGGCTGGAGGGCTCTCGGTGAGATCGGTGAGCAGGTGAAGGATATTCCCATGGGATGCAGCATTCTGCGCATTGAAGCCAGCGACGCCGAGGATGGCATCAGGTAAGTCTCTTTCAATTTTTGAAACTCAATTCTATTCGTACTAATCTGGATCTAGTGAGCGGATGGTGTTGCCCCTGTGGCGGTCTCTGCACTCGTTGAACCTCATGTTACCCAAAGAGGAGCGTCGGGCCATGCTGTTGCGTCTTTTCAACGACGACACGCCACTCATCAATTCCACGCTGAAGAAGAACGGTGCGGGCGACATCTCGACCCCAGACCCGTCGGCGGTTGAGACTCCCACTCTTGAGCCGGCCGTCGAAGCCGAGGACGTCGCGATGATGCATGAGAACGTCCAGCTGGGCGAGGATGAGCAGGAGCAAGTTGACACGCGGGAGACGTGGACGAAGGCAGGCGACGAAGAGGACCGTTTCAACACAACAGTCTAGCCATTGAACTTGGAATTCCCGGATATTTTCTTTTTACAATTATTTACGATGATTGATGGTGGTCAATGTACTAAAAAAAAAAAGCACTTCTTTCTTCTGCATGGAAATTTCCCGAATCTCCGTCTCTCTTCATAACATAATCTACCCGAGTGCTCCGGTGGAGCGATCTGCATGCGGTTGTTTTCGATCCACTCGGAGAATCGTCGGCACACATACTCGGCATACATAGCGGATTGGATGGAGCTCTGAAGTGGATGACCCAGCTAGTACACCGGGTAAATTCAGCCACCAGCACGGCGTCTTGATGAAGTTTGTTTGCCGACTTTGATCAGGCCATTGACCCCGCAGGAGATTGATTGATGCCAGGGTTTCGTCTTGATTATTCTTAATTCAGGGCACGTCCACGGACATGGTTACAGAATCCGGCATGATTGGAGAGAGATGCTCTTGTAAGGCCGTGCTAGTGAAGTCTCGCAATCGGGGGCCTGACAAGCGCAGACAGAGCGTAGCAACATGGGGTCCGGTCGAAAGAACACCGAGGCAGACCAGACCCTGACAACCGTGCACGACTTGCAATAAGTGGAAAAATCGCGGTGGGCTCCCCGCTCCCAGACAGCCTCGCCGCCGGGGGATCTTCAGCGTAATTGCCCGGAGTGAGCTGGCGCAGGTCCACATCTCCTGCGACACTCTACATCATCGGGGCGCCGCGACTGGTGGGTGCGCATGGAGACGCACCCCGCCTGATGCCCCTGTCGATGATGTGACGATGAAGCGAATTACTGTGTAGGAGCCGGTCCGCAACCCCATATTGCTTGTTCTCTCCGGACCTATCTATAAATTAGCTGCAGGGGTCCGTTCTTCATTCTTCTCACCCCCGACGATCCCTTGTTTGTCGTTGTTCGCGGTAGAGAAAGAAAAACATGAAGCTCTTGTCTACCTGGGCTGTTGCCTGTCTGGCGGCTCAGGCAGCGGGTGCTGCACTCAGCCATAATGTCAATGGCTTTACAATCAGAGAGCATTCGGACCCGGCGAAGAGGGCCCTGTTGCAGAAACACGTACGTTTCGGCCTCGTCCCTTGCGGCATGTCGGAACTATACTGACTCAGCGGTTGTATGTATGTAGGTGACCTGGGACGAGAACTCGCTATTTATCAATGGCGAGAGACTCATGATCTTCAGCGGTGAAGCTCATCCATTCCGGTATGAGTTGTCTCTAACTTCAATTGGGGCGCGATTTGTTTTGACATGAATTATCCGCAGACTACCCGTTCCGTCCTTGTGGGTTGATGTCTTCCAGAAGGTCAAGGCTCTGGGGTTCAACTGCGTTTCGTTCTATACCCACTGGGCCCTGATGGAAGGTAAACCCGGCCACTACAGCGCTGAGGGCGTGTTCGATTTGGAGCCCTTCTTCGAAGCGGCCAAGGAGGCGGGTATTTATCTTCTGGCTCGCCCGGGCCCGTACATCAACGCCGAAGCGTCTGGTGGTGGGTTCCCTGGATGGCTTCAGCGCGTGAATGCCACTCTGCGGACTGACCAGCCGGCCTATCTGAAGGCCACCAACAAGTATGTTTGTTCCATACTCGCATCCATAGATGTCTACAGCTGCTTACTTGTTGTTCTAGCTACATCTCCAACGTCGCTTCGACAATTGCCAAAGCGCAGATCACCAACGGCGGCCCGGTCATCCTTTACCAGCCTGAAAACGAGTACTCCGGCGCTTGCTGTGGCGTTGATTTTCCCGATGGAGAATACATGCAGTATGTCGAGAACCAGGCTCGCAATGCCGGTATCGTCGTGCCTCTCATTAGTAACGATGCCTACCCCGGCGGTCACAATGCCCCGGGCAGCGGCGTTGGTGCGGTCGATATCTACGGCCATGATAGCTATCCCCTTGGCTTTGACTGTGCGAACCCCAGCACCTGGCCCTCTGGTGACCTTCCCACGAACTTCTGGACCTTGCATACGGAGCAGAGTCCCTCGACCCCGTATTCCATCAACGAGGTATGTCGTGTTCATTTGACTTTGGAGTACGCTTGTCTAATGGCGGTATAGTTCCAAGGTGGCTCGTTTGATCCATGGGGAGGCGAAGGATTCCTCGCCTGCTCCGAGCTTCTGAACAGCGCGTTTGAGCGAGTGTTCTACAAGAACAACTTCAGTTTCCGCGTTGCTATCATGAATCTGTACATGGTATGGAGACACCCAGCTTTCACTTGTCCATGGCCAGCTTCTGACTTCTGCAGATCTTTGGTGGTACCAACTGGGGCAACCTGGGCCATCCTGGTGGCTATTCGTCTTATGACTATGGTTCCGCGATTACGGAGTCGCGCAACGTCACCCGGGAGAAGTACAGCGAGCTCAAGCTGATTGCAAACTTCATGAAAGTGTCTCCGGCATACCTTTTGACGGAACCCCGTAACCTGACGACGACCACGTATACGAACAATGCTGCGTTGACGGTGACACCTCTGATTGGAAGCAACGGCTCAGATACGTCGTTCTTCGTGATCAGACACACCGACTACTCCAGCGAGTCGTCCGACCAATACAAGCTCAAGCTTCCTACAAGTGCTGGCCAGTTGACCATCCCGCAACTCGGTGACAGCAGCCTTAGCCTCAACGGCCGCGACTCGAAGATTCATGTTGTTGACTACGATGTGGCTGGCACGAACATCATCTACTCTACGGCTGAAGTCTTCACCTGGAAGAAGTTCGCTGACCACAAGGTTCTCGTTCTGTACGGTGGTGCTGATGAGCATCATGAGTTGGAGGTTGCTGTGGATGGGAAGATGTCAGTCCTTGAGGGCTCTGAGTCCAAGATTGCGTCCAAGCAAAATGGCAAATCCGTCATCATTGGATGGGATGTTTCGCCCACTCGTCAAATTGTCCAGGTGGGCGATCTGAAGATCCTCCTCCTTGGTAAGTCTCTTTCAAGGCAATGCGAAGTTTTAATTCACAGCTAATGTAATAACTAGACCGGAACTCCGCCTTCAACTACTGGGTCCCGGAGCTCTCTACTCAAGGCACGACGCCCGGCTACAGCTCCCAGAAGACCACTGCCTCGTCGATCATCGTCAAGGCCGGCTATCTCGTGCGAACCGCATACCTGCAAGGCAGCGATCTCCACATCACTGCAGACTTCAACGCTACTACTCCTATTGAAGTGATTGGTGCTCCATCCAAGGCCAAGAACCTGGTGATCAACGGCAAAAAGGCTCATGTCAATGTTGACAAGAACGGCTTCTGGTCCACCAGTGTCGAGTACTCGGCACCTAAGCTCAAGCTCCCAGCCCTCAAGGATCTGGACTGGAAGTACATTGACTCACTCCCCGAGATCCAAAACTCGTACGACGACTCGGTCTGGCCGGGGGCCAACCAGCCCTTCACCAGAAACAGCGTCAACCCACTCAAGACGCCGACCTCGCTCTACTCGTGCGACTATGGCTTCAACACAGGCACCCTGCTCTACCGCGGCCACTTCGTTTCCACCGGCAAAGAGGACAGCTTCTTCGTGCACACCGAGGGCGGTTTGGCTTACGGCCATTCCGTCTGGCTGAACGAGACCTACGTTGGCTCGTGGGCTGGAACGAGCGTCTACCAGGACTACAACTCCACATACTCGCTTCCCAAGCTTCAAGCCGGCAAGTCCTACGTGATCACAGTGGTCGTCGATAACATGGGTCTGGACGAGGACTGGACCGTCGGCTCCGAGGAGATGAAAGACCCTCGCGGTATCCTGAACTACGCCCTCTCCGGCCGCCCGGCCAGCTCCATCACCTGGAAGATGACCGGCAACCTCGGCGGCGAGGACTACCGCGATCAGGTGCGTGGCCCGCTGAACGAGGGCGGGATGTACGCCGAGCGTCAGGGCTTCCACCAGCCCCAGCCGCCATCGCAGCGCTGGAACTCCGGCAGTCCACTGGAAGGTCTGTCGGAGGCTGGCATCCGCTTCTACAGTGCTAGCTTTGATCTCGATCTGCCGTCGGGCTATGACATCCCTCTGTACTTCAACTTCGGCAACTCCACCTCCCCGCCGTCGGCGTATCGTGCCCAGCTGTATGTCAACGGGTACCAGTTTGGCAAGTATGTGAACAACATCGGGCCCCAGACGAGCTACCCTGTTCCAGAGGGCATTCTTAACTACCATGGCACCAACTGGGTGGCCTTGACGCTGTGGGCGCAGGAGTCAGACGGTGCGCACCTGGATAGTTTCGAGCTGGTGAACACCACGCCGGTGCTGACGGGCATGGGCGAGGTGCACTCGGTCGAGCAGCCGAAGTGGGCGAAGCGAGCGGGTGCATATTAATTATCTACCTATTATTGATCGGTGTAAATAATAGCTATTGGTGGTAGATGTGAATCAACAAGAAGTGTGGTGTGGTTACCCGTATACTTTAGGGCTTGTTTTGTTTATCGATAACCAGGAACTACTTACTACTAGCGCCGATCATCCCAGCCTCTCCTTGCACTTACTTCCCTCTTTCCTCCTCCCTTGTCTCACCTTGTCTGTTGTTTAACTACCATGCCCTTCTCGAGTCGCGACCGGTGTCCTTTATTCTCATTTTCATCCATGATCGACTGCTAAATCCACCTCCCATCTCCCACCAGCGCATCGCCATCTCCGCAGTTCCGCCCAACCTCCCTCAGCCGAAGTTCCCCAGGCAACCGCCGACCTCACTTGTACAAAACCAAAGCCACTTTCTTTTCAGAAGTGCAAAATGGACTCCATAATCCCCCCAGCAGGGGACCTGTCCTCCGAAAAAGCCGCGCCGCTCGCCGTCCCTTTCAAACGCGAGGAGCTCATCGGCTCCCCCTCTTCAAGCGCCAACCAACGCCGGTACACCACAATCTCGATCCCGAGCACCTACGGCCAACAAGACTCGAGCACCTCCCCCGGAACCGTGGTCGGCATAGTCCTCGGCAGCGTGGGCGGCTTCGTCCTCCTCCTGTACCTAGTCATCATTGCCCTGAACCCCGGCGGCTTCTCGCGAGGAGGAGGCTTATCCGTCGACGAGGAGATCGTCATACGCAGCCGGCACGGAACGCTATCCTCGAGCCGTCCATCCAGCCGTCGGCGCCGCAGCGAAGTCGTCGAGGTGGTCGAGGAGCGCGGTAGTCGCCGGCCATCGTCGTCGCGATACCGTCGCCGGGACTCGGATGATCGCATCGTTGTCGAGGAGTCAGTCACTGCTACTACGACTACAGATGATGTCGTGGAGGTCGTTGAGGAGGAATCCTCGACGGCTTCGACCTTGTCCACTGTGCCGAAGAGGCACAAGCGCGGTTCGAGTGGGAGGGGTGCTTATCGCAGTGTTGATCCCCGCGAGTATGGGGGTGGGGGTTCGTATGCCAGTCGGTATCGGTGATTCTTTGTATTAGTGGGGCGTGAGGTTTTTTTTTTCTAGGATCGGAGTTTACTGATACCCATTTTGTGCTTTTATGCTCTGCTCTGCTCTGCTATGCTATGCGTGATGATTATGATGTATCTGGGTTTTGTTATGATATGAGTCTTCTGAGGTCCATTCTGTTTATCTCCTTCACTCGAAATACTGAAACTATATACGATATGCAATCCATTCAAGACAGTTTTTCTTTCAGCAAGACGCCATTCTTGTAGATTGTCAAGTTGAAGCGCAGCGTTCCTTTCCACATGGTCTTTATTGATGGTCATATACGGTTTCGCATAACTCTCTGTAAGCGATTGACGCGAATATGCCCGAACATAGATATAGTGAGAATTATAGCATTTCAGAATTGGTTTTATAATATTATACAATTGAAGGCGACACCGTCTTCCACTGCGGATATCATAGAGTTTTTTGTAGACATATAGCGGACACACTCTCCCAGTGTTCATGAACTTGCAGTCCCACGGTCCGTAAGCTCTATATATTCATCCCGCACACGGTATTGTACAGTTCTCATAACATGTAACCCTTGATCGGCATCTGCTGGGTGGATAATCGGATCTTCCTCTCGTTCCCAGCCCCTCAATCGATCTACATTAGTAGAAGTATAAGACCGATTTCTTTGAGAGGTCGTATATGTTGAGTCAGGTTTTGTCAATTGAGACCTGGTTCCATAGACACCTTCGGTGTATGAAACTCCATATTTGTCCTCGTAGGCCGCAACGAAAGATTTGAGAAATGCGGTTACTAGGCAGCTGACGCTCAGGGCGAGGTATATTTCGGTAGTGACAGTTGCAAAGGCCCCAATGAGAGCCGGATCATTGGAGGCAATTTGTAGTGTTGTGTAGTGAAAGCGAAGTGCTGCGAGGGGGACAAGTCTAGTAGATTGAACTTGGGTCAGTCCAAAGGTTCATAGATTTAGGAAGTGAACTCACAGAATTCGGCTCTCTAGAGCTAAGAAAACGATAACCTTTTTCTTTATCGATATCCTGACTTTATGGATTGCCAGTCCGGAATATAGGAGAACTAGGACCTCGGTGATGATATCAATAGCTGTGATAGCTTGCCACCGGGGAAGCTACGGCATTGTCAGTGCTGGTACACAAAGCCTGTAGCAACTTCTCAAACACTTACTAGACTATCACACTGAGCGGCGCTGATGTCGTACCATGGGTCGTGGCTACAGCGAATGGCTAACAAAATTATGGCAAGCAATGTCCAGATAATCATACCACCGAGAATCATGCGAATAAATCGACGTTGCATATGTGAGAAGAGAGTATCATAGAATACGCAGGTAGTAATCTTAGAGAAACCCAAGACTAGAATAGAAAGAATGTCGGCAGCGTATCCGGCCTAATAAACTGTTAGTATCCCAATATCTCCGTTAAGTTTAATATCAGGCTTACCTTGAGCATTCGATTGTCTGTGGCCCTCACGGACTCTGCCCGAGTCCCCCAGCCATAGTGGACTTGAGCTAGCACCACTGATGCTTGAGCAGACGCCGCAATCTATATGATGTTAGTCGAAGGGGATAAAAAAGTAAAAGATAATTGCTCTGTGAAGAAATCAATAATCCCCTACCACAAGTACACCAAATAAGTAGTCATCCGTTTGTATAATGTGTCTGTGGTATGAAGAGTATACTCGTCCTAGGAGAGCAGACAGAACCAAAACTAAGTAGAATGCGGCGATCACAACAATCAATCCGCTATGATCGTTGTCATTGTTTGTGGTCAGCGGAGCGCTCACACCCGAGGGAAGCGTCCTCGAGACAGTCGTCATGACGGGTTAACGAGCCAGAATAACAGGACATCAGGAGTCTGCTTTAATACATGAAAGACAGGGATGTGATTTAGGGGCATTTGTCTCTTTCTTTTTGTCTTTTTTTTCCTTCTGGGTGGGAGAGAGATAAAGCCACGGCATTTGTATCCCCGATGAATTACCCGGCTTTCCCAGCGACAAAGTATATTTCGCCCTTTCAAGATAAGGGGCAATCTGCAAACACGGAGAATGTTCCAAAATGTAGCCACTAGGAACTCTAAATACCAACACGCCCAGGGCTTTCCATCTCGAGTGACCAGGGCGTGCGACGATCGGAGCTGCGCCGCATAGGGCAACAAATTCATTTTGGCCGCCTTCGTTTGATAATGTCCAGGAAATAGGATGAAACAATGTTTGGTAGAGGGCACCTAACAAATGCTCTCCAAAAAATGGGGCCTTTTGAGGTAAAATATACAAATGAGGGCAAGTGAGCAGTTCGCGGTCATCTACACGGTCTCCACACGGTCCATCGAAGGAATCCTTTCCTGCGATCTGGTACGCCCAACTCGAGCCGTCCACAACACGCGGATTTTGCTTGGCATAGATTGGATTATTTGTTCTTCCAGCCTTTTCACTCGGAGAATGTAGGTCTAATTGCACTAAGCAGACTAGCTAAACTATATAATTTTCCGTACAGGGATGAGATTGAGCGCTGCCTCAAGAGTGGCCCAGGCGGGCCGGCGGCGGTAAACAGTAGGAGATCGGCGCCCGGCCCCTGCCGTAGGGGGTGGGTGGATATCCAGGATGCACAAGGATTCGGGGGTGGTTCGGGATTTCGGGTCTACTACTATGTATGTCCTCTAGAGTAAAAAAGGTTTAGTGACACGTTATCTCAACCCCTCAGCTCCTGCTGTTATCCCACCCTTTTTCTCACATTTTGTTCCCTTCCGTCTTCTCGGTCACACGATATCCAATCCTCATGGAGATCACTCACAAATCATCAAGCTTGGAAGCGCGGGACAGGGAAATCCAACCCATGGATGAAGATGTTCCTCCAAAAGAAGGAACCGCATTGGATGATAATGACATGCACCGAATGGGGAAGGTCCAAGAGTTCAAGGTGTGTCTGCTCATCCAACGGCATTGAATTGATTCCTCAGCTCATACTCTCAAACAGAGAAATTTACGACCTCTGGCTGCATTGAGTTTTGCTTCAGTCCTGCAAGCAACCTGGGAGTTCATCCTGATGTGAGTAGACTAAAAAGTCCTTAGCACGTCTCTAGCTCACCAGTGTTGTGTTTTCAGCTCGAACTATCAAGGCTTGCAGAATGGCGGCCTACCTGGCATGTTCTGGTCTTATATCTGGACCTTTATTGGATTTGGGTTTATTATCGCCTCACTCTCCGAGATGGCGTCGATGGCACCAACATCTGGTGGACAATATCATTGGGTCTCGGAGTTTTCTTCTCCTCGATACCAAAAGTTCCTCAGTTATATTACAGGTCTCTCTCGCTGCAACCCCTAATTATAGGACTTGATTACTGATTCCTCCATTATCAGGCTGGATGTCGGTATTGGCCTGGCAAGCTGGGTCAGCCTCTGGCTCTTTCCTCACTGGAACAATCATTCAGGGATTGATCAGCGTCCGAGATCCGCATTATGTTCCAGAAAACTGGCAAGGCACTTTATTTGTCTTTGCGATGGTTTTAGTGATCTACATTGTTAATGTCTACGCGTCCGATTTGATGCCAGTGATGAATAATCTCTTGATGCTTCTTCATATTCTGTCCTGGGCAGTCATTATAATAGTCCTGTGGGCTATGGCCCCTCATCAATCCGCCAAGGCTGTGTTTGTCACACAGTGGGAAAACTTTGGAGGCTGGTCCACTATGGGATTGAGTGTGATGATCGGACAAATATCAGCCATCTACGGCTCCCTGAGTATGCACCAAACCTTTTTGTGAATACATGTCAAATATACTAACATATCCCATAGGCTCTGATGCAACTGCACACATGTCCGAAGAGGTGACAGATGCTGGACGAAACGTGCCTCTCGCCATTGCCTGGGGCTACTTTAGCAATGGTATAATGGCTACCGTTTTGCTGATTACTTACCTCTTCGCTACTCCATCGGTGAAAGACTCCCTTGACGACGACAGCGGATTCCCATTTATCTACGTCTTTAAACAAGCAACCTCAGTATCAGGAGTCAACGGGCTAACGGCGATTATCCTCTTACCGGTTATCTTCAGCAACATTCTCTTCAACGCCTCTACCTCCCGCCAAACTTTCGCCTTTGCGCGTGACAAGGGCCTGCCATTTTCTCGATGGATTGGTAAAGTTGATGCAAAGCGCAAAATCCCCACGAATGCCATCGCCCTGTCCTGCATAATCAGCTGTGCGTTGTCTCTCATCAATATCGGATCCACGACTGCATTCAATGCCATTATCTCTCTAAATGTGGCTGCGCTTATGTACACATATATTATCTCAATCAGCTGTGTTATCTACCGGAAGATTTGGCATCCTGATACCCTCCCACCTCGTCGATGGGATATGGGACGATGGGGATTGGCTGTGAACATCATCGGGCTGATATATTGCTACTTCGCGCTGTTCTGGTCACTGTGGCCAAGCAATATCCCGGTGACGCTGGACAACTTTAACTGGAGTGTGGTTATATTTGGGGGCGTCTTCATCATCAGTCTGGTGATGTACGTGATCAAGGGACGCAAGGATTATGCTGGGCCGGCAGTGATTGTCCAGTGGTGATTAACCAACGAGCCCATGGTTAGTAATTGTAGGATAATATTGTTTAGACCCTGATCACTCTTAATTACCACGATCAATCTAGAGCTTTCTTACAGGTGGGAAAGTATCAACTACACAGAAACGAAACGAACGAGCCCCGTATGTATATTAAGTACAAGCACACCAGACCACCAAAAAAAAGAGAATAGCAACAGAAAAGGACACAAACAACCCACAATTCCAAGCAACACCGAAAAACAAACGCCATTGGCCCAAAAATCAAACCCAGACCCAAACCCAGCACCGGCTCTTAATATTTCACAGCGAGATCCCAACCCACCCATCCTATCTCGCAGTGCAATCACACACGCGCATAGGGAGATCTAAGAAGAAGCCGCCGCGCCGAGCTGAAAAACAGCCAACCTATTTCCAGGTCAACCAGCATGATGTTGACTGACACCACCTAGAACAAAATATCCAAGCAGCAGCAACAAGCCAAGGCAGCCATAATTCCCGCGCAGAGACCACCACCCGCACCCGTGGAGCTCCTACCACCGGGCGCGCCGGCGTAGTACCCCTGTTGTGGCGGGTATCCCTGCTGCTGCGGATAGTACATGGGCTGGCCCTGGGGCTGGTAATAGGGACCGCCCGGCTGCTGCTGGCCACCGCCGTAGTTGTAGTTCTGCTGGGGATAACCTCCGTACGGCTGCTGCTGCTGTTGGGCGTAGTAGTCGTTTGCGGAGCCGCCTTGTTGGGGGTAAGCGCCGCCGGTCCCTTGGTAGGAAGGGGGTGGGCTGGTCTGGGTGTGTTTATGGATATTAGTCAAACCGAATATTGATTTCGCGGAGGGATGGATGAGATGTATATGATGGAAAAGCATTGCGAAAATGTGGCTTGCACGTACCGGCTTGTTGTAGGACATGGCGGTTTTAGCTCGTGGATGTGGAGCTGCGAACGAAGCTGTCAATCCTCCCGTGCAGATCCGAGGATTGTGGGGCGTAAAGGGCGTGGTCTTTGCTCAGTTGGGGCTCTGAGCTGGTATATATGATATGGGACAAGGATGGAAGCGGTGGAAGAGATTGGGAAATCGGAGGGCTTCGAGAGGCAACGGAAGGGCGGCAAGAGGTGGAAACCGGAAGCGCCGAGAAACTAACTGCAGGTGACGAACTAGAAGAGGCGCAGTCCGGGGATCCGGATGAGTAAGGTTTGGTGCCTGAGGCAACATTTTCTATACTACAGTAGGCAGGTCTGTTGGGAGCATGATAAGAAAGCAATAAATTGGAATATGACACATTCGCTGAGGCGAGGCTTTTAAGTCGTCGCAACGGTCCACGTATGAGACAATCCGGAATATGGAATAATGCACGAGCGCACAAACACGAAAATACAGAGAGCGTCCATGTTATAGACAAGACTATGCCTGGTCCTCGAGCGAGGCCTTCAGTTCGTCCTCAGCATCAGCCACCGCGTCCTTCTCCTGCGCCAGTTCGGCCTCGGCCGTCGGGGCACCGTTCACGCCCTGCTTGATCGCGGGCTTCTTCGCATCGTCGGTGGTACGGCCGTTGGGCTCGGCGGCGATCTTGGCCTCTTCCTCCTCCAGGCGGGTGATCTCCTCCTTGGCTTTCTTGATGTTCTGTGCATAAAATTAGCAAACGCGAAAATGGAAGCGGGAGGGAAACAATGGCTTGCTTACCTCCTCGGTCTTGCTGGCTTGGTTCTTCTTCCACTCCTGGATCTTAGCCGCAAGCTTCTCCACGACGGCGGGCACGTCGGCCTGGTTCATGGGCGGGTCGACCTTGACCTTGGCGAACTCCTCGATGATGCCGACGTTCATGTTGAACTTGGCCGCCTCGGGAGCAGCACCCGCAGCACCACCCTTCTTCCCCTTCTTGCCCTTCTTGCCGCCGGTGCCGGCGAAGTAGTCCTCCTCGCGCTCCTCCTTGCGAACAACCCGAACGCCCTTCAGACCAGAGTCGTCCACCTTGCGGCCGACCTCGGCGCGGAAGTTGCTGCCCTCGTCCTTCTTGTCATCCAGACCGAGCGCGGAAAAGTTGAAAGCCGGGTCGAAGTGGCGGATCAGACCCTGCGCGGTCAGGATCTCATCCGAGAAAGCCGGGTGCGAGGCCTCCTCCAGCTTCTTATCAGCAACCTTCTTGCGCTTCTCGCGCTCAAAAGCATCACGCTCGGCCTTCTGGCGCTCGCGACGAACACGCCAGGCCTCATCCTCATACTCCTTGTAGGCACGGCGGGCTTTGTAGTAGTTGTCCTTGATAGAGCGGATCGCAGCGAACTTCTCCTGCTGCTCGGCGCGCAGCTTGGTGCGCTCATCGCGCAGCGAGTTGAGGTTCTTGAACACGCCGTCCTGGTCGGCCTTGATGGCATCCAGCTGCTTCTGGATCTCGGTATACTTGTCGCTCAGAGCCTTGGACTCCGGGTTGTCCAGGGTCTTCTTGAGCTCGGCGATCTGGGCCTTGAGGTCATTGATGCCCTTCTGGGCCTCGTCCAGTCCGGCAAAGCTCTTACGCTGCTTGCGCATGTTCGAGATGTCCGACAGGGCCTTGCGCTCGTCCACCAGACGCAGGGTGCCCGAGTCGACCTGCTTCTCCAGACGGGCAATTTCCCGGTCGATGTCGTCGACGCTCTTGAAAGCCATCTTGCCGCGCGAGTTGTTCTGCTCCGCAATGCGGGCCTTCAGAGTGGACTCGATCGCATTGATCTTCTCCAGGGTGCTGGACCGCGAGGACTTGAAACCCTGCTGCTTCTGGCGGATCGACGACAGTTCGGTACGGAGTTCCTGCTGCTTCTTGGCGACGGGGGAGTCCTGGTTGTTGGGTTTGGCACCTTCCAGCTTGGCTTTGACTGCGTTCTAAGGTGACTGTGTTAGCCATTGACTCGATCGGGCAAAAATTGCGGCAACCCGATCACGAGCCCACACCGTCCGAAGTGAGGGCATGAGTGAAGGCTGTGGAATTGATTGCTCAAAATATGATGAGACCATCAATGACAGTGGGTGATCATACCAGCTTCTCCTGAGCAGCAGTGTGCTCCTTTTCGGCTTGTGCGAGACTGGCCTTGTAGGCCTCCTCATCGGGCTTGGAAGGCCTGACCCGAGCCTCTGGGGCAGGGGCATCAGCAGCAGCAGCGACAGCAGCCATTGTGAAAGAAACCAAAAAAAAAATTCTTTCAAAAGAAGAGCGAAATCAAGAAAGGAACAAAGGAAGAGAAAAAACGAAGACGGGAAGGCGAAAAATAATAATAACGGCGAAGCCATTCCCCTTTCGATGATTCGGCCTGGTTCTCCGCTTAACTAATGGACGGGCAGAATTAAGTGTTCCCGCCAGCCGATTTTTGTTCGACTGACACTCACCTTTCCCCTTCACACCCTCCCACCCACCACCGCGACCATGGACGGAGACATTGCGTCGCAGAATGCAGATGCTGCCAATACGGAGATGATCCGTCTCTGGCGCACCTGGAAGACAGTGCTGGAGCTGCTGGTCGACCGGGTAGGCACTAGACCACCTGCTACCCTTGATCAAAGCTGACCATTGCGATTTGGCACGCAGGGCTACGAAATCACAGAAGGTGAACTGAAGATCACACTGGACCAGTTCAAAGACAAATTCTCCGACCCACTGGGATATCCTGAGTATGCAATCATCCATCCAAAGAGAACGAAAGAAAAATAAAAAGCACCTGCTAATCCACCCGCCCCCAGTCGCAACAAGATGAAAACCTCCGCGCGGCCCACGGAGCTCATGAAACAGAAATACACCCCTCTCCCCAGCAAATCCAACCCCGACCCACAGCCCGACTGCGGCCTGATCTACGTAGACTTCTGTCCCGACTCGACGGCCGTGGGCACGAAGCAAGTGCGGGCCTTCAACCACTTCATCGACGAGAACAACTACCACACCGGCATCTTCATCACGCAAACGCCCATCTCGCCCTCGGCTGTGCGTTTACTGTCTGGCATCCCCGGCCGCATCTGCGAGCACTTCCAGGAGCAGGATCTGCTGGTCAACATCACCCGCCACGAACTGGTGCCGAAGCATGTGCTTCTCAGTCCCGAGGAGAAGGCCCGTCTGCTGGAGCGCTACCGCCTGAAGGAGTCGCAGTTGCCGCGTATACAGGTGTCGGATCCTGTGGCACGGTATCTGGGTCTACGGAGGGGGCAGGTGGTGAAGATTATTCGGAAGAGTGAGACGGCTGGGCGGTATGCCAGTTATCGCTGGGTGATTTAGGTCGGGATTGGGTTTCTACTGCAGGGTTTGTCGAGTCTGTTGCGTCTGCTCGAGTGGAAGTCGTCCCCTATGTGTGACATTATACCCGCAGGGAGAAGACAAGATGGATACCCACCGAGACCAGGAGCAAAAAGAAAGAAAAAACTGTATTATGGGCAGCATGGCGTACCGGCGAAGTGTGTCTCCGTCATTCATTGTGGGAAATGGGGATGAGGATTCTTCTGATCTACATAGTAATGTCCATTGTCGCGATCAATCAATCAATTAGAGGAAATGTACTTGATACCTTCTTGTCTTCAGGTATTTGTTAACTATTCACAATTCGTTTCGTCGTGAGTTCGTATATATGACAAGAGTCAGACTGCTATGTCCATTGAAGCCCAACTCCAACCCAACCAACTCCAATGCTAAACAAGTCACCAGGGAAATACCAGACACAAACTCCCAGACCAGAAATTAACCCCTAAGCAAATAAATCCAACCCGATAGAAAAGAAGAACAACGAAAGTCGTCACGCAGGGTATAGTAACATATGTAATAAAACCTCACACCTTCTCGTCCGAACCATTACGCTCGGACAAGAGCCCACCGACATCCTGCAACTCAACGCCCACTCGAATCGACAAGTCAGAGGGCGGCCGATACGGCGGCACTGGCAGTGGAGCAGCAGCAGCAGCAGCAGCAGCAGCAGCAGCAGATGATTCACCAGCCGCAAGAGGAGAAGAAAGGTGAGTGTGAAGGGGAGGGAGCTGCTGAGAGGGATGAACTGGGAATTGCGTAGCAGCGACAGCTGGAGCAGCAGGCGGAACAACAGCAGAAGGCGGCGAAGAAGCCACTCGTGTAATACCGCCGATATCTTCTAGAAACGCACGACTCCCGCGCCCGGACCACTGCTGTGGCTCGAGGAGATCGTGGTCTCGCGCCAGGGTTTGTGGACCGGCGGGCGAGGGCGGGGTTTGGTCTAGTAGGCCGCCGACATCGAAGAAAGATATCCGGCGCGGGGAGGAGAGGGTTGAGGTTGAGCGCGGCGCGAGAAGGGGTTTCTCGCGCGGGGACTGGATGGTGGGAATGTATTCTTTCGGAGAGACAGGGTAGCCGCCGTCATGCTCATTCTCATGGTACTCGGCGGACGGTCTGCTCTTCTGGCTATCTGCCGCAAAGGACCAGGTCTGGTCAATTGTCCCCGTGCGCGCCATTGCATAAGGGGCGACGGGCGGCGTAGGGCGGGGGAGAGCCAGATCCGACACGGCGGATGAACCCGACGAGTAGAGTTTTGGGTTGAGGCGGATGCCCAGGTCCGCTGCGAGGTCGGAGTCGCTGCCCCATTGGTTATGCATGACGGTGTTTCTGCGGACGGAGGATTGATCCATGCTCTCGGTGACAGAGGCGGAGCCCTGGTGAGGCTTATACTTTGGTTTCTTGACGCCGCGGTCACGGACGAAGGAGCCGATGACGAGGCAGTTGGAGACGGCGGTTGCGCCGAGGATCTCGAACGAGGCGATCAGCGAGCGGTACTGCTGCGAGCCGTGGTGTTCTATCACGGAGGGCACGCGATAGCAGGTGATCCCGACGAGGATCAGCGAGAGGCAGAAGAGGAGCACGAGCGAGATCTTGCGCTTGAGTGGCATGTGCGCCATGAGGACGATGGGCACGGGAAAAGCGATTAGCAGTAAGTCGGTGATCACGTCGCAGGTGCCCATTGTGATGAGATTCGCGTACCCGGCGCGACAGGCTGGTCCGGGGTCGGGCACGACCTGCCAGTAGTGATCGAAGGGGTGGCATTCGATGAGGGTTGCGAACACGACAGCCACGAGGGTCAAGGCGAGGAAGAAGTGAATGAGGCGCAGGAAGACCACGACAGAGCGGCGCCAAACCAAGCCGGTGACACGCTTCAGGAACTCGCAGACGGTCAGTTTGGCCGTCCAGATAAAGATGGCGTAGAAGATGCGGGCGGCCAGAACGAGCTTGGAGCCAATCTGTCGCGAATGGATATCGGCCGCTGACAGCCCCGCGGTGGTGGTGTTATTCGTTCCATAGATCAGCACGAAATGCACCAGGACCATGCGGATGACGAGCGGGATCACGCTGGCCATCATGATCTTGTCCTCGGGGAAGAGGCGCTCGATGCGGACATAGCGCCCGCACAGCCGGACGACGATGATGGCTAGGGAGAAGGCGGTTGCCCACCAGCTCATCATCAGGGTCGGGTTGACCTGCTCGCGTGTCTGGCTGGCGGGCGGGCTGGGGGAGAGGCTGAGGCCGGCCATGGCAGGTGGTCGGTGCTTTCACATAGCTAGCTCTAGTGGGGCGGCGGATTCGGGTAGTGGGTGAGGATGATTCGAGTGGTGTCGTTCTAGAGAGGGGAGGAGAGGTACTAGGATATATGTAAGGAGTAATCATCAAACGAGAAGAGATAGAAGTAAGAAAGGTTCAGCCACGCGAGAGGGGTCGGCCTGACCCGGAGGAAAAGAAAGTTATACGATAACATGGTCGAGTCCAGCCAGTGACGTTAGGGTTTTAATCGCGCAGTGATAGCCTAGGCGCTCGTGTTGCGGTGTACTAGTAGATACATCGCTATCAGCAAGGATCAATCCGGCACGGCCCACCCGAAACGACCAGGACTTTTGTTCTGGGGGCTGAGTGGCTGCGCCCGAGTGTATGTTGCATTCTGAATCGATAGGAGACCCGTCGGACTCCTGCTCTCTATGTCTATCATTACTCGCTAGTCCAGTCACAGACCAAACCCTAATCACCCTAATCACCATAATCATCATAATCACCTTGACCATCCCCGAACAGGCTCAATCCCCTGGCTAGCTAGCATGCAGTCCCGCCAGCACGCTTCGCAACTCACGCAAGAACGTAGTCACCTCTTCCTCCGTCCCAACCGTGATCCGAAGACTACCCTCACAGCCCAGCTCCTTACCTCGAAAGCGCACGACCACGCCGCGCTTCTCCGCCATAGCCTCGTAAGTCGCCGCCGCGGTGACATTGCTGGGTGACCCATCCTTATCAAGGATCTGCACCAGCAGGAAGTTGGCCGCGTGCCCGCCCAGGAACCGGCCCACGCCCGGGATTAGCGGGAGCTCGCGCAGGAGCCGCTCGCGCTGGGCGACGATCTGCGTGCGGTAGCGGCGCATCACGGCCATGTTGGGCGCGGACAACGCGGCCGTTGCAAGCGCGCTGGTCGGGCTGGAGATGTTGTATGGTGCTTTGAGGCTGTTGAGCAGCTGGGCGATCGCGGGTGAACTGTACGCCACGCCTAGTCGGATCCCTGCTAGCCCAAACGCTTTGCTGAGCGTTTGCATCACGACCAGGTTCGGCCACTCGGTTACCCATTCGGCGAGGCTGGCGCCCTCCTCGGCGAAATCGATGTATGCCTCGTCGACGACCACCACCCCGTTCCACGTCGGGTGCTCGAGCACCGCCTGGATGTCTTCCTTGCGGATCAGGTTCGCCGTCGGATTCCCGGGGGAGCAGATATAGGCCAGCTTGATGGACGGGTCTGCCGAGAGTGCTTCGTTGACCTTGTCCGGCTGAAGATGGAACCCATTGGCTGCGTCGAGGGGGACCTTGACGATCGCGACGTCATTGACCTGCGCGCTGACGCTGTACATGCCGTATGTTGGCGGACAGGTCAGGATCTTGTCCTTGCCCGGCACGCAGAAACACCGGAGCAGCGCGTCGATGGCCTCGTCGGAGCCGACGCCGACGAAGAGGTTCTCCGGTCGCAGGGTCTTGGGGGTGTGGTGGTGAGTATTGCGAAGGTTACAGAAGAGCTGCTTCAATTCGATCTGGTGACTTGACTGAAAGTCAGCTTGATGTGGTCTTGTCTTCCATGGAAGGTTTGCACGTACGGATCCGGGTACCGGTTCAACCCCAGGAAATCAATCTCAGGCTTCGATGCGCCTGTTGAACCTCCCGCGCCATCTGCCTGCAATGCGCCCTCACTGTTCAGGACCAGACCGGGGCCGTAGGCATTCTCGTTGGCGTCAAGGAGCACGTTCGTCCCGTCATCTTTGTAGTCACTGACTCAATTAGCGCGGACCACCGGTATCGGGGAATAAGGGCGGACACACTCTCTGGCACAGCGGTAGGGCTGCAATTGCAGGATATTCGGTCGTGCACATTTTGACAAGTCGAAGGGTGATGTGCGGGCTGCCATTGTGCAATGGTATCTATGTGCAAGGGTAGACAAGAAAGGTCGAGAGAAAAGTGGGTGGGGTGGCGGGGAGATGGTTTTATCGGGCGGAATGAGTCAGTGCACCTATAGTAGAACACCAGAGGTACAGTATATGCTACTAGAGTAGAACTCAAGAGGTACATTACGAGATACCTGTAGACAATAAATAAGCGTGACTGCCACAGTAACGCTTTATGTATGCTGATAGTCTTTGTTCTTTTGGTACATGTCAAAACCACAACGCCCTCATATGCCCAATGACCCTATACATCTAGATGATACTCATTCCTTCTTCTCCTTCTTCGGCGCCTCGCTGGCTGCCACGGCGTTGCTGCGCGCCTTCTTGTGTTTCTCCCGTTTCTCCTGTATATATTTCCAGCTCTTGCCAATGCCCGCTGTCAGCGGCCCCTTGATGGTCTGCACCGTGCTGGGCCACCGGATCGTCTTCATGATAGACGTCGAGACCTCCTCCTGGAGCTGGCTGTCGCTGGCAATGCGCTGCTCAAAGGGGCCACCTTGCGGCCGCCGGACCTCGTGATCGGTGTCGGTGCTCTCCTCCATCATCTTGTTGAACTCCGCGCGCGGGATCGCATAGCGCCCCTGGTATTGGAAGTATAGCTTCTCGCGGAACGAGTCGGGGAGACGCCGGACCATGTTGCCGCGCCTGACCGGGTCCATGTCCTGGACCATGGCCAAGATGGCCTCGGGATCATCGATCCAGTCGTTCTGGCTGCACCGGGGATCCTGGAAGTTGACGTTGGGGAGGTTGGTGATCAGTGGCGCGTACAGTCGCCGGAAGTGTGCCATCTGACCAGACACGATATTGCGCACCTTGCCGGGGTCTTCGGCCGGGAGGACCATGCGCAGGTCTCCCATGTAGCTGAGTCCGGCAATGGTGCTGTAGAGCTCGAACTCGCTGAACCGCTCTGGGAGCAGCAGTAGCGCCACTCGCAGAGCAGACAGGAGATTCATCTGGTTGGCTAACCGAACCTTAGGGTGGTCCCGCAGGATCTTGACCGGCTTGTGCAGACGACCGGCAAGGTACAGGGTATTCCACTGAGTGAGATCGCGACACAACGTGTCCAGATTCACCACGCCGTATTTGATCAATGTCCCATTGACCGTGATATGGGTATTGAAATAGACCCCAGCCCCAAAGCGGTCCTGCACCTGCGACACCACGTACGAGCCGAGCGAGCCCAAGCCGGAGTAGTGGTCACGATGTTGGCCCAAGTTCAAATCGTGCCAATGCTGGGAATAGGAGACCCCAAAGATAAAATCAATCATTTTCCCCGACCCTTTTTGCATCTGCTGGATAGCTACCGGGGCAGAGGGGTGTGCGGAGGTTGACGGACTCGCACTGCCGGACTGTGGGAAGACCCCGGATCCATAAGCAAATGCATACCGGATTGGTGCTCGGAATTGCCAGAGGATCTGCCGTAAAGCTTCCTTGAATTCTTGGTTGATTATCATGTGCTGGTTCACCCCGAAATCCTTGGACGGAAGCTCGGAGAAGTTGCTGATCGACAGGTTCGGGTTGTGATCCCAATCCTTATCCGCTAGTAATGGGGAGGTCGAGAACGATGCCGAGGACGTCCTCGTACACCCGTATAACAGCGACAGCCTAGAGCTGCTTGACAATCCATGCCCCGCTAACCCGCGACGGCCATGCTGTAAGATCGAGCGGGATTCGATCGAGAAGAAGCGGGTTGAGGCGGGCACCCCCGGAAGAGAAGAAGGATTGACACGAATGCGTGAGAGAGAGCCGGGGACAGCGCTCCGGTAAGCAACCATCTAGAGAATGGATCGTCAGTATTCTTTGCCTCGATAGAAGTGATCTGAAGTGCGTACCGCTATTTCTCGCATGGCTGCAATTCGGAATGGGAAGAGGGACGGAGCGCACGGCGCGAGCAACGAAGCAGACCAGGGAGCATCGGTGGTTGGTTCAAGCAGTGGGCAGTGACCAAGTGTGGACGAGAAAGGAGAAACAAATGTCGCACTGGCTCCTTCCCTCTGACGTGCTTCCGAGGTGCCTTCCCGTTTGGGCTGGGCTTAGGTAATGAGACGCACATCACGTGAGGGCGTGTGTTGACATGCCCGGCAACCGAGTAAACAGACACCACCACTGGCGTGTTTGAACCGGCACATTTCACCTCCCACCCCCAAGACGCGGCCTTGTTTTTCTGTTTTGGAATTGGGGCACTCTGTCCCGCTCTCGACACACATCATGGGCTCCGAAATGGATACCTTCGCCGCCCGCCTGGCCAGCTTCGATATAGTGCTGAAGCCCGAGAAGCGGAGATCGTCCGTCACAAAAGGCTCCAAGCACATTGCATGGCCTCACAAGAGTCCCTCGCCCGCAGATGTATGCTCGGAATTTTCTTTCAATTGTTGTCCGATCACTGACTTGCTGAATTCCTAGTTGGCGCATGCGGGTTTCTACTATAAGCCCTACGAGACCAATCCCGACAACACGACATGTTTCCACTGCCACCGAGCACTGGATGGCTGGGAAGAGGAGGATAACCCGATTGACGAGCATCTCAAGCATGCGCCGGACTGCGCATGGGCCATTATGATGGATATCCAACAACGCAGCTCCAACCCCGCCGAGATCGAGGATCCGACTGGCGAGCGCGTCACACAAGCGCGACTTGCCACCTTTGGGTCGGCATGGCCTCACGATGGAAAGCGAGGTTGGGTGTGTCAGTCAGATAAGGTATAAGTGTCACAAACACATTCTCAGCTCATGCTAACGCGCCGCGCGACAGATGGTCCAAGGCGGGTGGTTCTTTGCCCCGACGGAAGAAAGCAATGATTTGGCCAGTTGTGTCTACTGTAAGCTGTCTCTCGACGGCTGGGAGCCCAAGGATGATCCTTTGTAAGTATCCCATAGCGCTTTCTTGCGCATCACTACTAACCGTCATGTAGTGATGAACACCACCGCCGCTCCTCGGATTGCTCTTTTTTCGTCTTTGCCCAACCCCCAACCAAGAAAGGGAAAGCGTCCAAAGCCAAGAAACCGCGTAGTTCGAAGGCATCCCGGCTGTCGACACAGTCCGTTGCTACCACAGTTGCTGCCGACGAACCCGAGATGGATGTCGACGACGCAATGGACCAGAGCATTATGTCCCAAGCTACCACGAAATCATCCAAGTCCACCAAGAAGTCTACCAAAGCCAAAGGAAAGGGCACGAAGAGCAAGAAAGAAGAACCCGTCGATGCGATAGATGTCGACAGCATCGAACTTGCGCAACCAGAGCCACCGAAACCAAAACCGAAACGAGCGACTCGTGGAAAGAAGAGAGCCAGCGAGGAGATGAACGCGCAGCCCGTCGACATTGAAGAGTCGGAAGACACAAAGCCTGAGGAGCCTCCTGCAAAACGACGTGCCACGAGAACACGCAGCAGCAGCGTTGCGCAATCAAACAAATACGAGACCAATGACTACGCCATGCCGGATGCTGAGCCAGTGGACGAGCCTGTCCCTGAAAAAGAGACCAAAAAGGGTCGGAAGGCCTCGAAGAAGGGGGCTGCATCGAAGAGTCGAAAGGTGTCGGATGTTTCTACAGCTTCTCGAGCGACATCCAAAGCTCGCGTGCCGCGTGATTCGGAGATAGAGGCGGCCATTGAAGCAGGCCTAGAAGCCGACGAGCAGGAATCAGCCGAGCCAGACCCGGAGCCCGCGCAGACGCGTACATTGAAGAAAACAAAATCGACCAAGAAATCCAAGGCCGCCACAAAAGCCGAGCAGCAAGCGCAGGATGCGGATGAGGAAGTAGTTGATCGCGAAGAACCCGTGGCAGTGGAGGAGATTGAGTCACCGGTCAAGGAATCACCAGCCAAGTCGAAGACTGCGAAGGCCCCCAAAAAGGGAACCAAGAAGACCAAGTCCAAGGCGCAAGAGACGCGAGAGTCAATCGGTGCCAAGTCTGTTGCTGACGATCATGACCGCCATGAGTCTTTTGTGTCTGTGGAAATTATCAATCGTCACCCAGGGCCAAGTCAGGAGCCAGAGCCTGAGTCTGAGCTTGAACCTGAACCTGAACCGACCAGCAAGACTGCGTCGAAGAAGGGAACCAAGAAGAAGGATGCTCCGGCGAAGAAGTCCAAGAAATCTGCCAAGAAAACAACACACCATGAGGAGCCGGTCGAGCCGGAGGAGGTCCTCGAGTCTCCCGTCCAAGTTGACGATGATGATGACTTCCAGACTCCAGAGGATATACCTGACCAGGTCGAGATGGTAGCGCCTCCGCAGCAGCTTTCTCCAACGCCTCAACGCTCACACCGGACAACGCGAAACGTGCCGGCAAAGACTACGAAGAGATACAGCGATATCCCAGCCGAGCACCTCGCCGAGTCCTTGGCTAGTTCCCAGTCGCGGCATAATGTTCCAGAGCAGCGTAAGGCTAAGAAGGTTGCCTCACCTCCGGCAGCTCGTCAATACGCCCCATCAATGTCACCGCAGTCTTCAGATGCTGAGAATCGGCCACCATCTGCGCGACCTTCCGCATCACGTCCACCAATTGTCGTATCGCCACCGAAGGAGCGCACCCCGCTGGCCGCTACCACGCCCTCGCCATCAAAACGCAATGTCTCCGCCAAGCCGGTGCACCCATGGACTCCGGTGGATGTTGACTTCATCCTCTCCGGCGAAGCCAGCGATAAAGAGAACGCCGATCTGGCCGGAGTTCTCAAAGATGCCAAAGCAGGGCTGACCAGCCCGGAGAAGAAGATGACGGTGGAGGAATGGATTATGTGGAACGCAAAGAACGGCGAGGAACGACTGAAACGGGAATGCGAGAGGCTCGTCGGCGTGTTTGAGAGAGAAGGTGGACGGGCCATGCGGCGCCTGGACGCGATCGAGTGCATTGACTGAGTTGCGGCATTGCCAGGCGTTAGTTCTTTTGGGGAATATGGACATCGGCGTTAATCTGATATGATGTTATTTCAATTTGCAATGCGAATGCCTTTCACGCAAAACACCTAATACGTAGTAAAGTCCCCCAAAACGCCGGGTATCTATGTCATGAATTTTCCCCCTATAAAGGTCAAGCAATAATGCCCAACCGTCCCTCCCACTCATCCTCCTGCTTCACGCCGTTCTCCCCACCCTTCCTCCGCTTCTCATTCCTCTTCCGCCTCTTCTCCTCCCTCTCCTTCGACTCCTGCTCCTCGCGCTCTCTCAGCCTCTCCCCAAGATCCAGCTGCCACGCCCTCCTCTCCTCCTCCTCCCTCACCCTCTTCCGATGCGCCAACATCCTCAACCTCTCCCTCACCTCCGCAACAGAAGCCCTGGCAACCTCCCCACTCTGGCCCGTCGCAATCAAATGCTGCTTGCTATTGTAGTGCTCCACAAGCTGCAAGTTATCCTTGAACGTCAGGTCGCAGTCTTTGCAGTAGAACCCGGCGCCTCGTCCTCTCTTGCCCACTGCCGACCCCGCCGCCACGATCGTCGTCTTGCCCACTTGCGAGTACACATCCAGTCGCTGGCTGCGCGCGCTCGTTGCATCCAGTGCGCTGTAGTCGACCGGTGCATGGTATTTCTTGCCCAGGAGCTTTGCTTCGTATCGCGCTTTGCCTTCAGCTTTGCGGCGTGCTTCTTCGTCGGCGGCTTTTTGCGCGTATTCTTCTTTGTCCCATGTTTTGCGGAACGAGGTGTCAGAGTCGCCCGCTGTGGGTTTGGACATTTTGGAGGTGTTTATGGCTGGAGAAGAGGGATTTGGACGACGTGTCGGTGTCGGTGTCGGTGGTTGTCTGGACAGGAAAAGATGCTGTGCAAAGGATGTTGGAGCTTGAGTGGCGGGTGGGTTAGTAAGCGTCAGCTGTGAAAGCTGCGACGATGTTACCTACATGGAGCTATAGCTATAAGATTGTAAATGATGGTGTTAACGATCATTTACATGTTTCTTTTATTTATTTGTTCCCTATGCTGGGAATGTTTAGCTAGCGCTGATGTTGTGGCGTCGGGGCTGGTGTCTGCTCAGCCTCGAGTTGATGGGCCCGTCGCACAGTATATAACCAGCCCATCGGAGAAGCGTCGCAAGAGCAGACATATTTCCCACTGTTGCTGTAAGCCTGCAATTCTATATATCCTATTTACTTTCCAAGCAGGTCAACGTGGCAGTCTCACCCAGACAAACAAACCAGGCACCAATTTTCCACCCCTACATACATATACATCAACTAACCCCAACACCAACCCCCGGTCAGCACCACCACAGTTCACCATGACCCAACCTCCAAACCAACCCCCGACTCCCTCAAACCAAAGCCTAACAGCCCTCCCCTCAGAACTCCACATCCAAATAGCTACCTCCCTCTCCTACCCAGACGCACTAGCCCTAAAACACACCTCCCGCCATTTCTACAGCCTAGTCTACACTGGCGTGCATTTGAAAGTCAACTGGCTCGTCGAGCGCTTCGAGCGCAAACTCGAGTGTCCCATGGAGCAATGCTCCTTCCGCACGGACGAATCGTTCTGTAACTGGCGCATTCGGAGGATTATGGACCGCCGCCGACGCCATTTGGAGTGTCGTGCCACCAGGGGTGGGTGTTGGGTTGTTGAGGGGAGGACTTGTCGGCAGGTGCCTGTTTGGTGGTTTCAAGGGAAGGCTCCAAGGAGGATTTTGAGAGTGTGGGGGGTTGAAGGTTTGTGTTTTATTGTTCTAGTGTTGTTGACGTTGGGGAGATGGGTGAGGCTGATATATACTTCGTGATTTTCACAGCATTAATTATCGGGGCTATGTCTGTTCTGCTACATATTTTGTGGACTCTTCTACAGAGGTGAGTAGTGAAATAGTCCATCTTCATATGATCAAATTGCTGACATTTTGTCTCTGTTAGGATGGCCAATTAGGCAGACATTGTCCAGCAGCAGCGCTCTTTTGAGGCTGGGTTGGGTTGCTGAGAACTACTTCATTTCCAGAATCCAGTGCCTCCATCTGTCTAACGCCATCAAGGCATTACTAACTATTTGTGTACCATCATTAACCCGCCTGAGAGCTGGTCTGAGAAACACCCAGCGCATAGTAAGCTCTATGATGGTATAACCTTTTAACGAAGATGTCGACTAACCGCAAGATGCAAGGACTAGATCTACACTCCGTCATGAAAATCTTAATAAGATCAACCCATAACGCCAGGAGAAGCAATAATCCGTTGTTGAAAGTTTGAGAACCTGATACTATCACTGACGTCACAACGACGCCAGCAGCTGCATTTATAGACCAATGCGATCACATCAGTCAAACAGGAAAGCTACTACATACAACTAAATACCACCCTACACAGATATATTTGTCGCGCGAACTCTCCTACATTTTCACATATCTACACCACCGTCAAAATGTCCACCAACGCAACCATCAACACCTCCACGGGCCAACACCCCGTGGATCCCTACAAAACACAGAATTTCGAGAACCCGCCACTGTCCCAGAAGATTGAGGACCTGGTCAACTTCATCTCGGAAATCAAGTTTGGCATGTTGACCACCATGCAGTCGAATGGAGATCTATTGGTCTCGCGCTGTATGGCACTAGCCTCAACGGTATGTCCTCCATTCATGAGTTAATCCGCTTCTCGTTTCCGCAAAAGCTAACTAATAATCCCCTCTCAAGGAACATGGCGGCATCGACCTAATCTTCCACACAAACCTCTTCTCCGGCAAAACAATGGACCTGACAACCCACCCCAGAGAAACAAACATGTCCTTCCTCGACCCCATCAGCGGCGGCTGGGCCAGCATCTCTGGATCTGCTAGCGTGCTCGCTGACCCAGAGACTGTGCAAAAATTCTACTCGCCCGCCCTAAAGGCATGGCTCGGCGACATGGGCGACGGGGTGCACGATGGCGGGCCCACGGATCCGCGCATTGGTGTCATTCGGCTGGAGGCGAAGCTGGCGACGCACGTTATGTCGAAGAAGGGGATTTTGGGGCGCGCGTATGACACTGTGAAGGGAGCTGTTAAGGGGGATGTGCCCAGTATCAATTCTATTAGGGAGATTACAGGGGAGGAGTTTGTGGAGTGGAGGGGGAGCCATTGAGATGGATGATGAATGATTTATGGGTTGTTGTTGAATGAATGAATGGAGAGATTAGAATAGAACAAGGAACATATCTGGATTCTGGTGTTGAAAGACAAAAAGCAAAAGGAAAACAGATTTGTCCCTCGTAATGTATGTGCCCAGTCTGATACTCCAAACATTTGCAGGATTTCCCTTTCCTTCCACTTCAGTCACCGTTGAAAGGAAAATAATCGAACAAGCAGTTACTTGACCATAGTCACCAGTAAAAACAATGTATCTCAATCGCAGTAGAATGAACCCCCCCTTGACCATGGGTATCGTGAATTCATATCGCTCAAACGCCAGACCTCTCCAAGCCATTGAAAAGATAAAAAGAGAAAACAAATTAGATCTGCAGGAACGTCAGTAAGCAAGGTAGAGTAGATGATATGAGAAAAAGAAAACCCACCAGTCTAAGAGGCAGGCGAGCTGGCACCCGACCGTTGTGAAGAAGCATGGCGATCTGCTTCTGCGGAGTCGCCTGAAGCTTGCGGTAGGCCTCACGGACGTGGCGAGGCTCGATGGGAGTGCGGCCTTCCTCAGGCGGATCGAAGAGACCGGTCTCGCGCTTGCGTTTCTTAGAGTTCTCGCTGTCGCCACCACCACGGTTCTTCTCATGGTCCTCACGCTCTTTCACCTTCAGAGCCTCCTCCGTCAGGGTCTGGACAATCTCAAAGGTGAGGAAACCCAGGATGTCGACGATGTCGTCGTTCGGCTTGGACTCAGTCACGATGCCGAAGCCGGCCCACTCGCGGAAACGCTTGCTCTTACGGTAGGTGAAGGAGGCCTGGCGGCACTCAGACCAAAAGACGTACTCCTCCCGAGTCATGTACTTGGTGCGTTCGTCGGCGGCCGCAAGGCGCTGCAGGGTTGCGTAATTCTGTTCTTCCTCTTCCTCGTCTTCCTCGTCCTCGCGCTCTGGGACCTGGATGGAGTAGAAGGAATTGACATCCCAGGCAAGGCCGACCTTGGCACGCTTGTTCTTAGGTTTGGCGGCCATATCCTGAGGACCGGCAACGCCGCCAGCAATGGTGTCATCAGCAGCTGCAAAGTCGGCCGCATCGCCACCGCCCTTGTCATCTGAGTCCTTGACGTTCTTGCGGACATCCTTCCAGGACAGGAAAGTGCGCAGGCGCGAGACTTTAGCCTTGTCGTGGCGAATCAGAAAGATGAGATCGTCAGTAGAGATCGAGCGCACGCCACGACGGGTAGCAAGCTGGGTGCTGCGGCTCAGCTGTGAGCGGGTTAGCACAGAACATGAAAGAAAGGGGTGGGGATTCTTACAATCTCAATGACCTGCTGGCGAGTGATTTCTTCAATCAGTGTGGTGGTTTCGGCGGACGGCTCGGCAGTTTCACCAGAGACAAACATCATCTTTTGAATCAAATCAGCAAGCATATCTTTGAAGAAGTTCTCAGTGTCAGTCTTGTTGTCCGTGTGGATGCCTTCCTGGGCGTCGTTAGAATCCTGGGAATCGGTATCCGAATCAGAAGATTCATGGTCAGCAATCGAATTCGCGGAAGCAGCACACTCGCTGTCAACTCCATAGCCAGGGTCGCGACCCAGAAGCAGGTTAGTGAAGCAGGGTGTGAGGGTGAAGCCCACTGCTTTGACAGGCTTGGGCGGTCCACCCATTGGACCTGCCAAATTTCCATCGCGGCCCGAACCAGCCTGGTCAGCGGCAGGATCATCGGGCTGTGGGTTTGCCTCTGGGATCGCCGCATTTGCACCAAGGCCCGGGCCGACCACGTCGTCATCGTCGTCGTTGTCCTTGCGATCTCCGTTCTTGTGAGTTGGTTCGTCGTCATCGGAGCTTTCATCATCTTCCTTTTCCTCCTCTTCCTCTTGGGCAAACGCATGTTCATGGGCCCAAGCAGCCTGACCAAAATCTCCCGGGGTAGGAGCATTGTCATCGGGGCCCGGTTCGCCCTGGGCAGAGGCGACAGAAGGAGACTCGGACAGGTAATAGACCTGCTTCGGGGTAGGCAGCTGTTCGTGCCAGGGCAGGACACCTTCATCACCAGACTCCTCGTCGGCCTCGTAGGGAAGATCTTTCTCATCCGCAAGATCAGGCTCAACTCCCGGGAAGTAGTCCTTCATGAAACGTCGGACAGCCTTCATGATCTCGCGGTCACTCTCAGTCGGAGAGCCGGTATCCTCGATCGAGGAGCCGGGGTCTGTGACCTCAGACTCGGTGGGCAGGATCTCGAAGCTCGAGCTAGCAGAGAGGGTCTCCGAGCACTGTTTCTTCTGGACCGGTTTCTTGACCATCACATACATGGTGCAAAGGATACAGGATAAGAAGCAGGGCGTTAAGAATGAGCAGGGTGTGTGAAGAGAGGTTCGGGTGCGGTCGGTTGTGAATCGGATAGAAAGGATGAGAGGAAGCAGGTTGGGAAGGCAGAAAGACAAGGTAACAGAGGGGGTAAACAGACACTCTCTGCTTGGTTATTCGCGAAGCAGCACCGCATGAAAAGATGCACCACCTCATGGAGAAGGCATATCAGGCGATGCACTGACTAGTGCCTGTGCGATATTCCTCCACACCAGTCATGGTCCAGCCATATTGTTTCGAGACCAGGAAGACATCCAGACACTGATACACTGACGACACGGAGGAGGGTAGATAGGACTCACCTGTTGGATCTCCTGCCGATACTTTGGCGCACGATCTGAGCTCATGGTGGCGGTGGAGGGTCAATGGTAGTGGGAAGTGGAAGAGAGAAGAGCAGAGATAAAGGCACCAGTGCGCCGAGACAATTAATCAGCGTGGGGAACCAACAACCTCTCGCGACACAAACCACAGCACCAAACTGACGATGTGAAGTACCGCGCGACAGATGGAGTGGCAGCAGATAGGGATCACGATAGCCGGGGAAAGGTTCTTCCGGGGTCCCGCCCTATTCTTTCTCCGCTACACTTGATTTTCAAGTTCTCTCTATTCCCTCAATTCTGCCAATATGTTGCACTTGGTAGGCCTGGGTCTTGCAGATGAGACTGACATCACAGTCCGAGGACTGGAGATTGTCAAGAAGGCCGAACGGGTGTACCTCGAAGCATACACCAGTATCCTGCTGGTCGACAAGGCCAAGCTCGTGAGTGTTCTTGATCTGGTTATACAACTACCGATATCTAATGTCCAATGGCCAGTAGGAAGCGTTCTATGGCCGTCCCGTGATTGAGGCCGACCGTGAACTAGTGGAGAGCGGCAGCGACGACATCCTGGCCGGCGCAGACCAAAAGGATGTAGTATTCCTAGTGGTCGGCGATCCATTTGGGTATGCTTCTCTCTCTCTCTCTCTCTCTCTCCAATTGGCCGACCCATACTAATTCAAATCCAGCGCAACAACACACACCGACCTCGTCCTCCGCGCCCGCGAACTAGGCATTGAAACCCGCGTCGTGCCCAACGCCTCCATCATGTCCGGCATCGGCTGCACCGGTCTGCAGCTGTACAACTTCGGCCAAACCGTGAGCATGGTCTTTTTCACCGAAACCTGGAAACCATCCTCCTTCTATGACCGCGTCAAGGAGAACGTGCAGATGGGCCTGCACACCCTGGTCTTGCTGGATATCAAGGTGAAGGAACAGTCGCTCGAGAACCTTGCGCGTGGGCGGCGCATCTTCGAGCCGCCACGGTACATGACCGTTGCGCAATGCGCGGCGCAGATGCTGGAGACGGAGGAGGAGCGCAAAGAGGGTGTGTACGGGCCGGACAGTTTGGCGGTCGGAGCGGCCCGAGTGGGCGCGCCGGACCAGAAAATGGTTGTTGGGACCCTACAGGAATTGTCGCAGGTGGAGATGGGGGCGCCGTTGCATAGTCTCGTGTTGCTGGGCCGGCGGACGCACGATCTGGAGAGGGACTATATTCGAACGTACGCGGTGGATCAGGGGACCTTTGATGCGAGCTATCAGAAGGGCTATGGGCATAGTCTGTGATTCTCCCATATGAGTTATGATGTTAGATAATAAAATTAAAATATCCTCACCAATAATCATTCAGTATCTACTGTTGTATAGTGGTCCAATTGATCTCGGTTGTTAGTGGATCACTGGCCGAGCTCGGGCCAAATGCAATCCGATCGAATTCGATCTATCACCAACCCTTGTCAACCCCAGCCATGTCTGAATGACTTGACTCCGACACCTTTCCGTACACCACCCACGATCGCTCTCTACCCCCGCCTCTCATCCTCACCCTCCACCACCACAATGCCCGTCTACATGCTCCACGGCTTCCGCTGGCCCCGCGCAGGCTTCACCGGCATTCGCGTGTACATCGTGCTACACAACCTGGAAGAAGCGGCAGCCGAATACCTCCAGCAACCACTGACGACAGAACTCCTTCTCAAATCGTTCGAGCGCACACAGGCCGACCTGATGCCTCGCCTGCCGGAGCTGCGCTTCATCGAGTACTACGATCCCGCCGATGAGTCTAGCAACACCGTCAGCCAGGACTATGCGTACGTCGGCGCACGCGTGCTGACCATCCCCGACGGCGGCGAGATCCCCGCGGGTATGGGGCCTGGTGAGAATATTGAGGATGCTGTTGAACAGGGCTCGGGCTTGACGCAGGACCAGATGGCTGCGTTGGAGGAATTGAGGGATCGTATTGCGCCTGGTGAGAAGATTGGTTGGCATTTGGTTTATAATGGGGATCCGGAGCGCTGGTATCCCCCTTCCGAGGATGAGGAGGATGAGTTTGATGATGTTAGTTATGGGAGCGAGAAGGGCGAGCGGACCACTGAGCCAGGGACTCCGGGGTCACCGCAGAGTGTTGCTGTGAGTTTGCTTCTATTTAACTTGCAGTGTGACTGGATGAACGCTAATTGTTGGTCTGTTTAGTCTCGGTTGACCAAGTTCTTCAACCGACTGAGCACGTCCACCGCTGCCACCAACGATTGATCGTGCCGGGCCATGGCTAGCACCTCAGCCTTTTGCAGGGCTTTTCCCCCTTTGAGCAATGGAGTTTTGTTTTGCGTGTCCTTGGCACTTGTGTTCGGGACTGACGAATTCGATGCCTTATGATTGTCTATATATTGCGCTACATATTCACCACTATTACATATTTGTTACTTGTATCCATTACTATAAGATCCTAAAACCTTTGGGGCCAAACGAATAGTGCCATGGTAATAATTTAAGTCAGATTAACTACTCCTCTACTACTCCTCCAGATACACAGTGTCGAGCAAGGCGGTGAACCCCGGCAGTATACGAGGGGGAGCTCTGCTGATAACGACGACCTTCTGCAACTCCCCGAGCTTGACGGATGCCGGCCCGGTGATCTCTGTCGCGATGGTTCTTTCGTTTATCCTGGTCCAGAACCGCCAGTGAGTATTCCCAGGGTATCTTTCGAGTCCATACTAATGCCGGTAAAAGGGGGAAGACTCGACTGGCAAAGTGGTATGCGCCGTACAGCGTGAGTGTCCATCTGAACCCCCTCGAAGAGACGATGGACTGACCGCAGCCACAGGATGAGGAGAAAGTAAAGCTCAAAGGCGAGGTTCGTTCCACTTCATCGTCATCACCACCACCACCACCACCATCACGACGCTCCAAGCACACTCCACTGCAGACACCCACAACTAACACCTACTCAGGTCCACCGCCTCGTTGCACCACGAGACCAGAAATACCAATCCAACTTTGTCGAATTCCGCCGCAGCACCAAGATCGTCTACCGCCGGTACGCAGGGCTATTCTTCTGCGTCTGCGTGGACGCCAACGACAACGAGCTGGCATACCTGGAGGCCATCCATTTCTTTGTCGAGGTGCTGGACCAGTTCTTTGGGAATGTGTGTGAACTGGACTTGGTGTTTAATTTCTACAAGGTGTGTTCGGCTCGGGCGACACATATTCTCTTGGACGTGCTAACTCTCATCCAGGTCTATGCCATTCTGGACGAGGTCTTTCTCGCGGGCGAGATTGAAGAGACGAGCAAGCAGGTCGTTCTGACCCGGCTGGAGCATTTGGATAAGCTGGAGTGATCCTTATTCCTGCCAGCTGAATTATCACTGCTACTACTATAACGGCGGGCCTCGCCCATGGCCGTTGTTCCAGTCATCCATTCATTGCATGGCGTTCCGGGTTCCGGGGATATCTATTGTTTGTCTGTATACATGGAAAGAAAAGAAATTGCACTCGCTCGACATTCCGTGGCTCAATGTCGAGATCACCGCCCCGGCTAGGGTCCGATGCCAAGCTTTTCCCTTTGATTCTTCATGTCCGCCCTGGTCGTCGGGTCTGTAGTACAGGATCCCCCAACTGCCGAAAATCACTGCCGTAGATGCGCCGGGAGGGACAGGCACCAGCATATCCATACCACGGGCCACCCTTTTCTTCGGCATGTTAAGCTCAGATAAGATTTATCTTTAATTGAACCTCGACCCTGGTCCGGAGGTGATCGCGACATCGATGGCGAAGGTGAGCACGCGGGCTTGGCGTGGCACATTTAAGGAGTTGCTCCCACGCTGCTTGCTGCCGATGGTGATTTCTTTTTCTTTTCTACTTAGAACCCACAGTCTTCTTCTGTGCATTTTCATTCTTTCCATATTTCTGTGCCAGAGTGGATGGACTCGAACTCACTAACTACAGACGACCTCATGATGACTCTATACCAGCATCACCGACTACAACTGACTTATTCCCTTGAAACAACAGCCTCACGCTTACTTACCTTCTTCACTGCCACACGTTATCAGCCTTTAACCGCCACCAGTGCCAGTGCCACTCGACACGACAAAGTGGCTTTATGATGATGATGGTCATTCTCACCTGTCACAACAACACAAGACATACACTTCGCCGAACCGAATACCTACGCTCTGGCCTGGCCCCTGACGAGATTGACCAGATTTGCCTCCAAGCCTCACAAGCCCCTCAACCCGAAAGGGGCAAGAGATAGTCGTTCCCCCCTCGTGTCCGGACTCCGTCATCCAGGGGGCGCCTCGTTCCTGACCAGATTTTTTACTTTGACGATCTTACCGGCTGAAAAGGGGTTTAATTGCTCCTCTTGGCATCTTTCCATGGACGATTCCGGCACGGTCGAGACCCGATAATGCAGGTCCCACTGTTCAATCAATCTGTGGATTGGGTCGGTGGGCCGACCGGGGCGTTGACATTTTTATTTGGTGATTGATTTCTCCGGCCGACAGACAGCCACTCATCAGCCATGAATCGGACGATCGCCGACAAGAGTTTCAAGATGAGTAGAAGGACAAGTGGATGATAGTCCTCTGTGCATTCGGCATGCAACAGTTGTACTATGGCTAGTACTGCGACTCTATCTGCACAGTCGACAAATCGGCATTTGGCGATACGAACGGGGAATCTTTCCGCATTACGCGTTCCTGCCCCCGTCGACCAATCACCGCCCGAATGTCTTACGCGGCTGGGTCTTGGCATACAATACAGCGCTGGTACAGACAGCCATACCATACATACCATACATACAGACTCCGCCCCTGGCCCTTGACAATCTGCAGGCCATGACATCTTCAGTGTTGAAGTTGGAAGGGCCGTTTTCTGGCCCTCACCGGTGGCGGGTTGGATCTGTCGGAACGTCAGGGAGATCACAAAGGCAAATCGGGGGGCCAGCAACCTGATTTGCCTTGCTCTCGGAAAAAGAGTGGTTAGGTTTAAAAAAGGCTGAAATCCAGGATGGTAACGATTGGCAGTCCACCCGGTCAAGCCAAGGCAGAGTGGAAACCTCGCCACTCTCGCGGGGGTCCCCTACTCTGGTTCGTTAATGAGTTATTATTGGGGCGCTGGCACAGACATACTTACTCCTGTCCGCGCCCCCTTAACTTATCGACCCCCCCAAGATCGACCCGCTTTAAAAGCCTCCCCCCCTTTTCGAGAACTTTTTCTATTCCCTTGCTTTCCCTTTCTTTATTTTTTTCCAACTTATCCTATACACTCTTTACAATCCCTCTATCTATCATATCACCAGTCACCATGTCGATGATGCTCTCCGATAACTTGGCTCCTCAGCCCGTCACTGACATTTTCACCGACGACACATGCATTGACCGCCGCAAGTGCCACCGGACGGTGCCCATGAAGGTGCTGGCTCTGGGTGTTGGCCGCACTGGAACTGCCTGTAAGTTTTAGTCAATCAAACCCAAAAACTAAGAGAATTGGGACTGACTTCTCCCTCTCTAGCTCTCCGCAAGGCTCTGGAGCGTCTCGGCTACACCAAGTGCTACCACATGATGTGTGCCTCTGTTGAGAACCCGCCTGACTGCCTGATGTGGCACGATGCCCTCAACGCCAAGTACGACGGCGTGGGCGAGTTCGGCCGGAAGGAATGGGACCAGCTGCTGGGCGACTGCCAGGCCGTGTGCGACTGGCCCGCCTGCGCCTTTGCAAAGGAGCTGATCGAGGCCTACCCCAACGCCAAGGTCATCCTGACCACCCGCGATGTTGACCCGTGGCACGCCTCCGTCATGAAGACCGTCCACTGGCGCATGTCCGACCCGGAGCACAAATTTGTGTCCAACTTCTCCTGGGCCGCCGGCATGTACTACCCCATGCTGAACAAGTTCTTCGAGACCTTCTTCCGCGGTGACTTCCCCAACAAGGGCAAGGAGGTCTACAATGACCACGTCGCCGAGGTCCGCAGCCTCGTGCCCCCGGAGCGTCTGCTCGAGTACAACATCAACGACGGCTGGGCTCCCCTCTGCGAGTTCCTGGAGGAGGAGGTCCCCGACCACCCCTTCCCCCGCGGCAACGACATGGCCGACTTCTACAAGCGCTGCTCGACCCGCAACCGCCGCCAGATGATGAACGCCGCCCTCCAGGCCTTCACCATGGGCGGTGCCCTGCTGGCCACCGGTCTGGCTGCCACCATGGCCTTCAAGCGCTTCTCCCGCTAAATCTTCCACTCGTTCAAGTGCGGCGCGGGCGCCCGCTATTTACCTGCCATTTTCTCTTCTGTCTGCATTGACTGCAATCTCTCGCCATACTTCTGCTTCTAATATTCCCCTGTTCTTTTTCTGTTACATTTTCTATTTCAGTATATATCTTTGTGTGTGTGTGTGTTCGCATTTCTCTCTTCTGCAAATTATTTCCTTTTGTCTTGAACACTGTTTTGGTTTGTGTCATGGAGGGGCATCATTACATCAGGAGGGGCTGTTTGTCTGTTGGATCAACAAAAAAAAGATATATCATTGTGCATCGTCGGAGGCAAAGGGGCCGTTTCCTGCTGGCTGGATCCGATCCAGCCTCGCACAAACATGCCCCGGTCCGTCCCGGCCCAGGCGCACATGGAATGAGTTGTGAAATGAGCATCAAAATGAAGATAGTACAGTATACATAACTTGGTCTCTTTGAAGCATGTCTCTGGTCTCCGTAGCTGCCATCATGGATCGGATTCTCCTACGTCGTACTCGTACGTACTCCAGCCCCCAAACCTGATGCTTGGCCACCTTAGCGCCTTGGCTGTCGTTAGTGGCGTCTGTGCATCTGCTGGAGAGATCTTTTTTTATCTCTGCCGGTTTGGCGGCTGTGCTGGCGGCCTTGGGGCCCCTGTCGTGTGTGGCTTTGGATGAAATGCCGAAAACCTGAATGCGAGTCGAACAGAACGCCTCGTACAAGGCCACTACGGCTAGGGGCCGTTATGTATGCGTATTCTGGTTTGAAGTTTCCCTCCACTGATTACTGTCAACCCCCACTTGGGGTCCGCGCTAGATTTGGTGTGTCCCTCCGTTTCCGTCGGGGATGTGTTTCATGACTATAATTGATTATTGGAGATGGACTTGGCTTGTCCGACAAGTAATTATGAATGCATCGCAAAAGAAATGTATTCAGTGTTCGGCCTGGAATACGAATTTAATCGTTGCGATTACTATATTTGTATGCATTCACCATCTCGGGCAAGTACGAGTCAGAGATCTGAACAATGCTACCCTGGAACAAGATGATTCAATGACTTGGGGCGTGCCGCACGTGGCGGTCGCCGGAGATGGTTATAGATGGGACAGGCCAACCGTGGTAGGTGCTCGCCTGGTGAGATCCGGCGTCTTGGGTGTGGGGTTATTCGTACCTTCTTCAATGAACTCATCCTACTGTCTAGTTGTATAGTAGAGTTGAGAAAGGAAATCTCTAATCTGTCTCCCAAGGGACTGACGTGGCCCCAAGCGAATTACCATTACCGTATAGTTGGTTGTACCGGGGCACCCTGGCACTCTGGCGATTGCACTCGCACAACCCCGACGGTTGGACACTGGGATCCCTTCTTCTGAGGAGTTGAATATCCAATCCAGCCACTGTAGTTAATTCTCAATCATTTCCTAGCAATCAATGGACTATGGATACGGCCAGGATGAACTAATACCCGCTGACTCAACCCCGGCAAATTCCTGACCAATCAGAATGAAGGGGCGAGTTTCCGTACTCGCTCCCTCTCTCCCTCTCCGTGCTCGCTGATCATTCCCCTAATGTCTTGGATTTTTTGATGCTGGTGTCGGCCCTACCCCTTAATCGCCTCCTGCACATATCCCCCATCCTCTCTGCGATGATCTGAAAACGGAGGATCCATGGTCGCCTCCGTCTTTTCCTCCGCCGCGAGGCCGCTCGGTCCCGCGGCGCTCGCCCTCCTGGGCGTGTTGCTCTGGCTCTGCGCGATATCAGGCGCGAACGCTGAGGAGACCTCCTTCTACAAATCGGTGAGTTGTTGTCTGACCCTCGTCTCCCTGCCTTCCGCGCCTGTCGGTCCTCAATTCGGTTTAATTTTCTTTTACTGACCCTCGCCACCTCTTTCGCGCAGAGACCCGACATCTACCCCCCGGTCTTCAAAGTCGAATTAAGCAATCCGAAGAAACTGAGTCCCGGATACTACTTTATCACGCCCTACGAGGCTAAGAATCCCGGCCCGTATATCTTCGATAATGATGGAGTACGCCGCATACTGCCCCCGCGACAACGGTGAAGAAGAACTGACGGGACTTTAGGAACTCGTATGGAGTGGCTGGGGCAATTCGGGACC